AAATTTAAAATATAAATATAATTCGAATATTTTATTTATTTAATATTTATAATTATTATAAGTTAAAAAAATATATACAATATATATGTCATTCCGTAAAGTATAAAATTTTTTATAACACAAATAAATAAAAATTTAAATATATATATTGCGTATAATATATATTCATAATCAAATTATACAATATAAATTTTATCAATTAAATTTAATACACATTTATATTATTTTATTTATTATCTATCGTATCAATACACATAAAAACTTCCCAAACTCCCACCAAATTCAAACGCAAAAGAAACAACAAAATTCAAATAAAAACCAAATTCAAACTCAAATTTTCCCAAACCTAGAGAGCCTCAAATTTTATGGGCCTAGGCATCGGCCTAGGCGCCCCATGTCCAGGACAGGGCGTGGTTCTAAATTATTATTAAATAAAGGATTATGTTAGCAGCAGATTCATTTTTTTTGTTAAATTCATTTTAAAAATATTTGATATCAATTTTTTATTCTAATGCTCGATTCGGAGACAATTGTTTACAAGATGAGTGACAAAAATAAGTACGGTTTGAAAGTCTAGTTCAAACATGACATAAAAAAACTGTGATTGATCTTAAAAAATAAGCCCAAAAATCTTTGAATTATGTTTGACCCGGCCTGATGTTTATTAATATTTAAATATATATATATATATATTAATTTTTGAAATAAATACGAAAATTAAAAGAATATGGCGTGATGGTAAAGTTTCAAATCAAATCATGCTTGTGCCACCTTTTTCAGACCCGATTTGCAATCGGGCCGTGCTGGCCCAGTACGGTCTAAAATCGTGTTGGGCTAGCCCAAATTGACACTCCAGGAGTTAGAACTCCAACTTCACAATTTAATTTTTTATTACATGACTATTTTCTTCTTTTGTATTTCTTTATATGTTTTTCTCTCTTTTTTTCTTTTTTTTTTTTTTTATGCATCAGCAAAAAATTTTCCTCTATTATATTTTCATCACTCTCATAGTTCTTCAACCATGGATAAGGAAAGCCAAGTTGTTGAAGATTATTTGTTCACTAAGGTCCCATACCTCACTTCAAATACAAAAGAATAGACCGTATGAGTTAATGGTATTGGAGTGCTCCTCGTAACGTATTTTTGGATGTACCGAGAAACATTATAAATATTTATCTTTATGGATGATCAGGTAATATCTATTTTTTTTTTAATATGGTTTCACCATTGAATAGTAAAATGAATACTTCGAAATTTTCACGCAGATAACAAAAATTCAAACCTATATATTTTATCCAAATCTTAGAACTATAGATAATTGTTTTAAACTATTCACAATGACCACAATAAATTATTACAATACATTTGTCTAACTTGTCTTGAATAGGAGGTCAAACATAAATCCCATCAAAGAATCTCCGATTAATGTCACGATGAAGAAGCCAGCATTTGTAAAATTCTCTATCTTGCACCAATTCCTAAACAAATAAGAAAGATTTTACAAGTAATTTCACTTTTTGGTAAATGTATATTTATATTTACTCTGCATATCTATATATTTGTATATAAGATTATCAATATCCTTAATGACATAATCACTTGACAGATGTCGTGGAAATTGTCATCGGTATAGGACAATCCAAATAAAAAGGGACCTAATTGCCTCCAGTAACTTATCACTATTGTACAAAAGTAATGCACTTTGTTGCTTTCATTTTTTACTTAATTTATTTGATAAGAAAATACTTTCTTCGATTTCTAGAAAATAAAAATACCTAACCAAATGACTATGTGAAATGATCTTCTAATGTTGAAGAAGAAATGGTTGGCCGTCCAATAAGTGCAATATTCATATTATATATATTTTATTGTTATATAAATTTTAAAATATTTAAATACATATTCTGATTTTTCTAATTGTATATATTAAATTTATTTTAAAATAATCAATATTATTAATTACATATAAATAATAAAATAATATCATAACTTACTATATTATTAGCTAATTAAATATCGTTATCTTAAATACTTTATCAGTTATCACTAATAAAAACATTATCATTTAAAATTATTTTTACAATTTCTATCAAAGCGGCTATTACTGTGCTAATATATAAAATCAGCATGCAACATTATACAAGAACCAACCATACATAATAGAGATAAATAATACATAAATTATGATTAAAATAATACAAATGCAATACATAAATTAATAACACACGATATAAATATAACATTACATTATATAAAAATAGACAACATATCATATAAATATACAATAGATAAATTATACTCCTTCCGTCCCACATATTTTGGGCTTATTACTGTAGATACGAAAATTTGGATAAAGTATAATTAGTAGGTAATTAAGAAGTGTATTAGTAAAAATAATTATAGATTATGATTAAGATAACTAAATAGTTTAATTAAAATTATAAAATTATAAAATTTAAAATTTAAAATGTGATTAAAGTGCATAATTATATTTCCAAAAATAGAAAAGACATGTTATGTGGTACGGACGAAAATAGAAAATAGGGACATATTATGTGAGACGGAGGGAGTATTAATATAATATAAATAGAGCGCACAACATCACATTGTAATGAACAAACAAAAAAATAATTAAATAACATAGTGTTGATTTCCCAACACCTTAGCTCATCTACTTCATCTAACTACCTCTCAAATTCCAATATATTTTTTATTTAAAAATAAAATAATCCAAAAAATTTTAAATCAAAATAACATTCAAAACGCATATCTAAACGAAGCTTGTATTTATATAACTTACTAAATAATTAAAATTAAAATCAATAAATAAATAAAGACACACAGTCACAGACAAAGCGATAGAATGGGCCATGCAACTATACTACATCATTAATGTGAACATCGTACACGTGTCCCTAATCATTAAATAAGTGGTCCATTAAGTAAAACCCAGGCCCAACCCCAACCCGCCACGTTGGATAATGACACCTTGCCGCCTCTCTCCCTCTTTTCTTACAATCCGACAAAATTTGAAACATCGTTATACCTATTTATTTTACCTCTTAGATCCTCTCACTTTGTATATTTTTTACGAGCACCCAAACCTTTTTCTACTTTGCATATTTGGGGGTAAACTTCCCAGATTTGTTTTTGGTTTATATTATATACTATGAGATTATTTGTTTAGTGAAATAGTTTGAAAAAAAAAAAATTTATAATATTTTTTATATGATAAAAAAAAATTATGTATATAATATAAAATTAATAAGTATGTAATATACTATTTCCTCCGTTCACAAACTAATGTCCTACTTTTCTATTTAAAATGTCTAAAAATAATTGTCCTCTTTCTATTTTTATACATATAATTTATTTTTTTACTCTTACTTTATTTATATTTTTTATATCTATATACAAAATAAATGGCTATTTTGTCAATTTACAATAAAAAACTAATTACCTAAAAAAACGTGTAAATATCACTTAGGACATTAAGAAAATGGACGGATGAAGTATTTTTTTTTTTTAAGAAATATATCTTTTGGAAAATATACTTTCCACAAAAAATATACAACCTATATATAGTTTAAATAAGAATTTGTCTTTTTGTAATTTCAAATTAATTTAATATTATTTATTTTATATAAATTTTAATAAAAATATATTATTATTTTTTACAAAATATTACATCAAAATGCTATTTAAATAAAAATTTAAATAAATATTTTATTTTATGTCAATTTTAAATCACAATCAAACAAATATTAGATATAACAATATTTTGTTAGAAGAAATTCATGAGTGTCTTTTTTTAATTTGGTTTTATTTTTTTTTATTATGCAATATTTTTTTATAAAAACATATTATTTTATTTTACAAAATATCATTTATAATATAATGGAAACCAAAAATCAAACAAACATAATACATAAAATAAAACTCCAAAAAAAATCTAATTTATAAGTTTGTTATTCCAATATTTTTTTTGTGAAACGATTTCCTATAAATATTATAAAAAATATACAATATATTTTTATTAATACAATATATAATTTATATACTTTATTTTTTCATAAAAATTAAAAATTTTAATATAAAATATTATTTTTTATATTATTAATATAATTTTGGATATATGAACGAACATTTTTCTATAGAATTATAATAATCATACGGTAAAATAATTGAAAAAAAAAATCCAGAGTGTATTTATTTGTAGAATTTGATTTTCGGATTTACTTTCAATTTTTTTTTCTTCAAAAATATCAAATTAAATATATATTTTTTATATTATACTCAAATTAAATTTTACATTCAAAATATCACATCAATATATATTTATATCACATCAAACAACTATTTCAATTCAAAATTTTATTATTTAAAATCAAAATCGAAAACTAAAATCTTATATGTAAATTAACACTCTCAAATAGACCTATGTTTTCAACCAAATATAAACTTTGAATTGAAATTATCTTTCAATTCTTTACCATAATAAAATACACATCAAATACCCTTTTTACTTATATTTTTAAAATTAATTTATTTAATATTTTTATATTTTTTCATGTATGATTTTAGTATAATATTTATAATAATAATAATAATACTGTAATATTCATTGAAAATTATATCAATTAAAAAATTATTAGACAAACACAGAAATCTTCGGCAAATTTAACAATTATCGGTATACTAAACTCGATATATCCATTCCCTAGACAAACACATCCTATATAAAATCACTCCCTCTACTACATATGATTTACTAAAAAGGCATAGCCACGTCCTAAATGGACAAGAAATTGATAAGGAAAAGTTATAGGGACCAAATAATAAGAAGGGTCTATTAAAGCAAATTATAAAATAAGAAGTCGCTAATCATAAAATGACGACATCTTTGCTACGCCCAATCAGTTTAAAAAACGTGTTTTCGCTTCCACTCACTTCCATCAATTATAAACCCTAATTAATAATTATCCCCTTTTTTCCCAACATCGCAAAATGCAGAGTGATCAAACGCAGAGTGGAAGAGTAGCTAACCTCAATGCTCAAAACGACGCCGTAGGCGATGAGCCTCCGTCTCCGATCGTCCGAGACATCCACGCTTTGGCGCCGCCTCTGCCGCCGGTCGCAGTCCGACCGTCGTCGGCGTCGGCGTCGTCGTCGCTGGCCGACAGCGGCGAGCAGTTCACGTCAATTAGCAGGGAGTTCAACGCCTTAGTCCTCGCAGGATCCAGGATTCGAACTGAGAACGAGACGAATCTGACCAGGATTGGTGAGGAAGCGAGCGGTTACTCGAACGAGGAGACGAATCCTCTGGCGATTGTGCTTCAGGATGCTAATCCGCCGCCGAGGTCGCCGGAGTACGGCCGTGGCGATGGAGCGGCGACGATGCAGCGCCAGGTGAAGAAGGAGGAGGCGGAATCGAAGATCGGAGCGTGGCAGAACGCGAAGATAGCGAAGATCAACAACCGGTTCAAACGAGAGGACGCGGTGATCAACGGCTGGGAGAGCGAGCAGGTTCAAGTCGCCACTTCAAGGATGAAGAAAGTTGAGGTGCGATTTCAGTTTCTGAGCATTCGATTTCCGCCATCGCCGCCTTAATTGAGCTTTTTTCAACTGTTTGATTGATTGCAGAGGAAGCTGGAGGAGAAGAGAGCAAAAGCGCTAGAAAGGATGCAAAACGACGTCGCAAGGGCGCACAGGAAGGCGGAGGAGCGGAGGGCAACGGCGGAGGCGCGGCGGGGAATCAAAGTAGCGAAGGTTCTGGAAATCGCCGCCTTGATGAAGGCCGTCGGAAAAGCTCCGGTGAAAAGATCCTTCTTCTAAGTAATCACGCAATTATATATATATATATATATCAAAATATTAATTAATATTTTGGTTATGAGTGTACTTTTTGTTATGTAAAATAGAATGTTTTTTTTTTTTTTTTTATGGGGATTTGAAAATTTGAAATTTTTGCTTAAGAGTGTGAGTTCGTTTATTGGATTTACATTTTAAATTTGATAATAATGATAATTTAAATTAGAATAATATTTTTTATGATATAATTATGGCTTGTTTACACATTCTTTTGTTTATTAATTATAGTCACTTTGTTACTAAAATATCAAAATTGAAATACATGGATGGTTCAATTTAGTTGAAGTTTGATTTTAAATTTTTATTTATAATAATACTTCTTTTTCACAAATATTATACTTACATATAAATTCTCAATGCATATAGGAAGTAGAAAATGTGTGTAACTACAAATTTGAACAATATTTAATCTAAATGACCATGCATGCTCCATAAAACTATCATTTTTATAATACATTAAATGAACAAAGTTCTAAAAATAGACCATGTATATAAAAAAAAAAATGGAACAGTATCATCAACTAAATCCGAGTAACAAAATCATGTTGGATCAATCTAATTGATAAAAAAAAATCTTCAAGAATCGACCGACCATTATTGATGGAAATTTTACGAGTCGACACTATTTTTCGACTTTGAACATGTTTTTTAAATTGATTGATACAACATTAACTTTCTATTTACTGGTTTGAACAAAGTTTGAAAATTATAAGCTATGTTTACATGTGTTTTTTAAACAATTTCACATTATTTTTAGAGAAGAATTATATTTCCTCGGTCCCAATCAAGATGATTCTTTTTGCTGAGAACACATATTTTAGGTAGGTAGATTACTAAATTATTAATAATAAATTATAATATTATTTTATTATTTTTTATATGAATAATTCGTTGATATTTTAAATATTTTTAGCATTATACTCCCTCCGTTTCTTAACAATTTATCTATTTTGATATGTCCCATAGCAAAACATTCATTTCTTTTTTTCTTTTTTTTTTAATTGTACTATCTGCCTAATATTACAAATACCCTTCCAATTTACAATAAATTACACAAATGTCATTACATTTATATCATACAATACTAATAAGGTTAATTTAATTTTTTTTATCTTTATTTCTATTTTATCCTAATATAATACTAATATTTTTAAAACTTCTGCGTAAAAGTCAAATGAATATATAGATATGAAATAGATGGAATATATCTCATTAAAATATATATACAATATGAATATCATTTTTTTAGATAATAAAATTTTTTATAATATAAATAAATAGACAAATTTATTTTTTTATTTATAATTAACTTAAAAACTAATTTTATAAAAAAATAAAAAAATATTAAATATAGATAAAAATATTTATTTATTAAAAAAATAAAAAATAATAAAAAAAATTAAGTGAGTCTTGTGTGTATGAGGTTATAATATAGGTCATTTTTCTGAAACTAACGAACAAAGAAAAGAGTATTAAATTTTTTGTTAATTTTTTTTTTTTTTTGGTAATAGAATAATACCACGTGTAAGGATCATATGTAGTGTCATATGAAGGTAAATCGATTTACAAACAAGGTATATTTAAAAAATAATAATAAAAAAAAAAATCGCATCACATATAGGATTTAGTTTTTATTTTAAAATATTATTAAAAACTATTTTTAATTAAGAATATAATATTTATACTTATTATTTATTAAAAAATTTACTATTTTAAAAACATTTCCTAATTCTGAAATTTCACAAATTGTGACCTTCCAATTACGATTTCCTTATTATTTTTAAAATATAAAAATCAATCAAAATCCAAGATCTTATTATCTTGAAGGGGTATTTTTGTAAATTCACTGTACAACGTCCTAACGGCCTTGACTGTGTCTTCCACGTCCTACGCCCACGCATATTATATATCTCTATAAATATTATATTTAGTAAGTATTAGAAACTGAAGAAAACTACTGCTCCATTACCTAAAATAAAATAAAAAATAGAGCGGAAATTCAAAAATCGATTGAAAGTTGAGTACCAGATCATGACGATGCTCCAACTGTTCCTGGCGGTGGCGTTCTCGGCGGCGCCGCTCATTCTGTACTTCCCGCCGATTCGAATCCTGAATATGTTCGTGCACTCTCTCGATTATCTCCTCAGCGACGCCGCTTCCTTAGCTAGGACCGTCTCCCCTCGCCTCCGCCTCGCTGCTTCCCGATTCAATTATCCTCACTTCGCCGCCGCTTCTAGAAGGTAGCTTACCTTAGATCTGTGGTGATCTATCAATGTCAGGTCAGATCGGATCGGATCGGATCGTTTTTCCTTTGCTTTTTTTTCCGCCGAATTTCCTTCGCCGCCTCGATTTTCTGTGTTTTTGAATTTTTGTTTTGATTTGTTTGGAGTTTTGGTTTTTTGATATTTTTGTGGACAGTTAATGATACGATCGAGTTTGATGCTTGTACATTGAGAAGGAATGGTGGTACTTTTGGAATTTGCGGATTTAGTTTCGGATCTGATATAATTGTTGAATGAAAAAAAAAATGGTGATGATCCATTATTATTTATATATTATCAATACAATTTCTTATAGCTTATTATAAAAAATACGGCGGCGGTGGTGTGTATGTATGTGATGTATAAAAATATATTATGTACTAAAATCAATTGTGATAACTGTTGTACGTAAATGTGATTGTTTGTTGTTCCTTAGCACAATGCTTTCAGCAGTAAAGTTGCCGGCAACAAATAGACTTACTTTTCTATAATAATAAATTAATGAATAATAATTTATTTTTTGACAAATTTAGGCTTGCTAAGACAGAGTTTTGAAATTTTAGAATTTAAAAAATAAAAATAAAAATAGTAAAAATTAATATTATATAATTATATAAGTGTTTTATTAAAAAAAATATATTTAATGTGATATTTTAGGAAAAAAACAATTATTGCTGATAATACCAAAATAATATGCTTTTACTTTTTGCAAATTTGTTTAAGAGTTGATAGTATATATATCTTGGTATTAATATGGGAACTATTTTTATTAGAATTAGGGGATGGACGAAAAATGATATATAGATTAAATTAGCCAAATTAAGTATGAATCTTCGCTAATAGTACGTTATATATGTACTTGCATACATCTCGTGTTGTTGCACGGATGATTACGTAATGACTATATGATATTTAATTTTTTACATTTTAAAAAATTGATTCATGAAAAAAAAAACGAAAGACATAATTTGTAATAAAATTAAAAAATAATTTTAAATGATGAGATAAAAAAACTAAATCATAAAATAAATAAAATGTGGAATACAAAGCATGTAAAAATAAATAAATATATATAATAATCACAATTAAAAACTATTAATTTAATCCATATTAAATTAAAAATCAAGATAAATTAAAAAATATATATAGTCTTATGTACCAGTGCTAAGAGAAGAAATTTTTGTCTTTTAGCGTTATTTCTCTCATTTTGTTAGCATATAATTTGAAATATATATATATACAGTTGAAATATAACATATAAGAAAAACAACTGCTCATCAAAATATTAGATTAAATTGAAAATCGAAATATATTTATTTTGTATTTTGCGTAGAGATGACAATGAATAGTAGACACCACTAGGTACCAGAATGGGTCAGATTCAACGGCACTCAAGATCTGACCCAAATACATATTATTGGACCCCAACCCAAATACATATTGTTAAATCAAAGATTTGACCCGGATCCAACTATACCCGGACTCGACCCAACCCGAGAGACCTGAAATACCTTTACAATTCCTAAAAATTGAACTTAAAATTGGACACGGACTGACGTATATTAAAATTTAGTACTTTATTAAAAAATATAATAAAATAATAATAATAATATGTCAACCGAGCTCAAACTATTTTTACTCTAGCCCTATCCGGACTTGATAAGGATACACAATACCCGACTGGATACTCAAATAATTAGACCCGCCCCAAATAAACGGACAGATCCGGGTCGGGTTTTGGGTATACTCGGAACCATTGCCATCCGTAGCAAGAGAAACCTAAAACAAAACCCTCATACACCAAAGACATTTCCCATAAAATTTATGTCAGCCATCAATATTTTTGTGTCTATTCTCTTTCACCCAAAAACCTACACATTCCCTCAAGAGTTATAAACAAACTTCCAAAATGGTGTAAAGAATTTATTGTGGTGAATAATAGCATACCAACTAAGGTGTTAAAAAGAGCTCGAAAACGAAAACTTACCCGGTCTCGCGTCATTTGTATATCATCGCATCGCGCCCGGGTCCAACGCCAATGTAATGAATTGGTACGCCGCTGAGTTCTTCTATCCTTTCTACATAGTTTCGTGCAGCCTTTGGAAGTTTAGAGTACTCTCGGATGCCAGATATGTCGCTTTGCCACCCGGGAATAACTTCATACTCCACCTGAATAAGGCAAATCGCAGCTTTTAACACAATGCTAGATTGCGTGTGTAGAGCGATACATAGAACTCGGTAGTTACATAACTTGATTGACGAAATCGAGGGTTCTTGAAAGATGTTTGATAGCATTTGGTAAGAAGCCTAAAACGATCTTTTCCTAAGATGTTTAGTTTAATGTATAAAGAGCAACACTAGTTGAGAGCACAAAAGAACAAACAACAGTACATTTATGATAATATAATACAAATGCAACATATAACAAATGCCCAAACAACACATACTATCATTGATTTCAGCACATAAAATATACTCCATCCGTCTCGAGTATCATGTCTGTTTTACCGTAGACATGGAATTTTGGAGGAGTATAATTAATAAATAATTAAGAATATATTAGTGAAAATAATTATTCGCATAATAAAAATAATTATAAATTAAGATAACTAATTAGTCTAATTAAAATAAAAAATATATATAAATTAAAATTTTTTTAAAAAGATTATAGAATATAATTTTTTCAAAAAAAAAAAGTGACAAAATAAGTGGGACAGAAGAAAATGGAATGATGAACATGATAAGTGGGACAGAGGGAATATGCATATATATATATATATATGTATAGAGCACGACCTAATATAGAGAACTGTCAGCACATAATTTCAACTAATGCAACATGTTGTATTATTGAAACAACATGTTCTCTCCCTATTTATGACATGCTTATTGTTGATTTCCTCCAATTAGCACAGTAACCTTCCTGTATAAAATACTCGTATGTAAATTTTTATTTATGCACAGAATCGTGACAAAGCTAAAGTTCTTCCCATATTATTTATCTGGCGCGTAGGATAATTATGCTATAAAATTTACACATGGTGCAAAACAAAGATATTATGTATATAATGTACCCTATTAATTTTTTTGTAGCCCTTTCAGCTTAACTCTAATTAGATAAGTTGCAGTCGAATGGTAGAAAATCTCGTCTAAAATTTACTCATCAACACATCTACCGAGTTAAGAGAAATAAGACAACTTCAGCTGTTAAAAGAGCATAATTGGGAAATGGGACTTGCCTTGATTTGTTCCAGAAGAGAGAGGTCGGCAGGGAAGGACTGGACAAGAGTGCCGTCACTGTGCTTATATGCAACACCCAATTGAATTTCGGGTAGGTCTGACAAAACATCGAGTTTGGTGAGGTTTAATGAGGAGATTCCATTTATCTGACAGCAAAACTTTAGTGCAACAATGTCGAGCCATCCACAACGACGTGGGCGTCCAGTTGTCGTGCCAAACTCATGCCCAGCTGACCTAAGTTGATCGCCATCTTTACCAAGGATTTCTGTCGGGAAAGGACCTGAACCAACCCGAGTAGTGTATGCTTTGACCTGTATAATCATCAATAGAGAAATGGAAACACTCAACTCAAATCACCATTTGCTGCAGCACAGAAGTGCAATTACAAGTAAATAATCTCCAAATGTAACATATAATAAACAGTCATTGTGTCAAGTGATCTAAATAAGATTAATCGTTGTATTGAGCCGAGATTTAGGATCTTGAGCTTGACATTGACGTACTCAATTTAAGTAAACAAGGTTAGAAGGGCTCGAATCTTGAGCTTAAGTTCAGCCTTGTTTCTACCAAACATGCTGAACTTGAGTTCGAATCCAAAATTCCTATCAAACAGGCAACATTTCATTAAACTAAGGCAAATAAATTAGCGTAAAGACGAGCCTAATCGAGCTACTCATTTATCAGATCAAATCAAGTATACTCAAGCTCAAGATAATCGGGTATTTTGAGCTTGAACTCGACTAATTAATTTAAGGTAGTGTTCGTTTGAAAGTTTTTCTCCAAATTCTACTATTTACCAAATTATTTCCCTAAAAAAACATCAAACCAAATACCTATTTTTCAATTTTTATATTATACTAAAAAATAATTTTACATTCAAAACATCTCATCAAAATCTATTTATATTGCATCATAAACTATTCTAATTTAATTTTTTTACTATTCAAATCCCAACTCAAAATCCGAAACCTCAAACAAACAAACCCTAAGTAGCAAGTTCGACCCTTATAAAGCTAAAACTCATTAAAGTCACCATCACTTACCACTCCTACAAGATCGCCGACAACTCTAGGAGCAATACCAAGGCCAGTGCATATTCCACCAGCAGACGGGCTGGACGAAGTTACAAAAGGGTAAGTTCCAAAGTCGATATCCAGCATGGTTGCCTGCCCACCTTCTACCAAAACCTTTTGTTTCCGAGATATAGCATCGTTCATGAAATGGACAGTATCAGTGATAAAGGGTTCCAACGTCTCGGCAAACCTTTTGTAATTTTCAACTTCCTCCTTAAGCATTTCAGCCCTGTAGTTAAAGCCATCGAACCGTGATGCTGCATCTGACAACAAAACATCGAGCTTGTCGGGAAAAGTATCCATGTGCCTCAAGTCACATACTCTAATACCATTCCGAATCACCTTGCTTGAATAGCAAGGACCGATGCCTCTCTTGGTTGTGCCAATGAATGATTTAGCGAGTTCAGTTTCCCTAAGGCCATCCACGGTTTGATGAAAATCAAACAACAGGTGAGCTCGATCAGATACTAAGATCCTCCCATCGCAGGCGACTCCATTGGCCTCGAGACCATCAATTTCCTTGAAAAAACTGGGGAGATGCACCACAACTCCATTGCCAATCACACAGGTAGTCTCCTCGTTCAGAATTCCTGAGGGAACAAGGTGAAGGGCGAACTTTTTACCTTCTGAATTGTAAATTGTGTGGCCGGCGTTGGCTCCACCCTGACATCATAAGATTCATAGTAAGGAACAAATCCTTAGATTTTAACAATGAACACCAGAAACAGTTCCTTCCCCCAAGTAAAGATGGTTTACTATTTTTTCCCTACTCAATCTACATTGTGTTTAATTTTTCCTCCAATTAATCTTCATATCCAACACTCATTCTCACCTCAAAATTTTCAAAACTCAAAACAGAAGTAAACAAAGCTTAAGAACACTGTGGAAGTAAATCCTTGAAATAGATTATGCATTGTCACTAAGTAACCCACTATAATGCATCAGAAAAGGACGAAGGAATCATAAAATTCTACTGTGAGACAATCTATAGTGTAACAATTTCGAAGAAGCATATGGTTATGGCCAACTTGAATGCAAAATTTTACAGTATGAATCAGACCTACATTTAAAAAATTTTAAGTGATTTTTACTGAAGCAAAGAGGTTTTCTAGAAACTATGAAAGAAATCAGGAACCAGAAGAAAATGTTACTGCAGAGCAACAAGCATGTTTCAGGTTTCATAAATGAATCCAACTGAAGAAGCAATCTCAATATCAACAGAAAACAAGCATTTTTCTACTTAGCATTTTAAACCAAAATAAGGAAAACCAAACTGCGTGAATTCTTACGCCTTTTCTTCAATCGAAGAAGAAGACGAACATACAGATCATAGGATTGAAACAAATCAAATAAACCGTTGTATGCTAACTCAGATCGAGTGCGGCCGCTTCTATTGTTTATTAATTTCTCGTGAAAATGCTAACCTGACAGCGCGCCACGATTTCGAAGTGCTTCGCGAGAACGTCGACGAGTTTTCCTTTGCCTTCGTCTCCCCACTGGCATCCAAGGACGCCGGAGACATGGCTTAGCGATTCAATCCGGCTCAATCCTGCTTCCGATTCGCCGATTTTTCGTTCTACCACGGCGGAGCACCGAATCGCGTTCGTCCGGTTGGTTTTCGGAAGAGAGAGGTGGAGCTGAGATCCACAAAGCTTCTCAGAGCGGATGCCATTGAACGCCGGCGGCGCAGAGGAGGAGGAGGAGATGTTCGTGGCGGCAGCGGCAGCGGCAGCCATAGAGAGTGTGTGTGCGTGTGTGAGTGTGCGAGAGAGGACAGGAGAAAAGTTCGGGCAGATTTGACTGCGGAAAATTTAAGCAGATGCAATTATATTAGCGTTATTACAAAAACCTAATCGTTATTCGTTACCAATGTTACAATTAAAAATCATATTTCTAAAAAATGTCAGGTAGTGTTTTATCTGTTGTGTTTATATAAAACTGCTTGTAATACACTATTTTACTATAAAAATACTTTCATTACATCTAAGATAAATATTTTATTTATATATGTTTTTAATAAATGTGATCTCAGCTCTATGTTATAGATTTTTGTATAATTTATTTACTTTACACAAAATAAAAACGTTAAAATAAACGAAAGGATATTATTTACTATTATTTAAATATTAATATTTTTTAATTTTGGCATCAAAAATAAATATTTATCTTACCAAGTAATATTATTTTTCTTTATAAAATATCATATGCATTGCTAAAAATAGAGTAAGAGATGGCCTGGTGGAAAGGGCTGAACTTATGACCCTGAAGTTACGAGGTATTGGCGACTGCGGTTCCTGCGTCTTAAAAAAATACTAAAACTTGCATAATTTTTTCTTTAATAAATAATAATGTTGAGGCAGATATTTTAACAATGAAGTAAACAAAATGTGGAGTTTGGGGTGTTTTTTATATTTCAGAAAGTTTACTACATAATCCCATGTGAATGTTTATCATGAATTAGAGTGATTTTTTTTTTTTTTTAATCTATGATAATTATGTTTACCTAAAAGTTTAAAGTTTATAATTAACGATTTATAGTGTCTTGCTTTGCCTCGTTTGTCTTCGGAATGCAATGAAAATAGACTAAAGACGCAGGTATTTTTCGAACAAATAAGTAATCCCATTATATCATTTTGTCCATTAAACATGGCAATCAAAATGTCCAACAAGTTAGGGTGCAGATTGAGAGGGCTTACATTGAAGTTGGATTTTACTAAGGAAGTGTTGAAATTAGACTCGGGAATGTATCGTCGGATTTGTGTCAATCCGGATACATAATCGGAATAAAGTTTTTGATCTAAATTTAATTATTTTATGTAGAGTTCATGTCGGATTATCATGTCTTATCAATTTTTACCAACTTTAATTGAAATATTGTTTAATTTTAAAGTTTGACATGTTAGAATTATAATATAAAATAGTATTTAACTAAAAATTATTTTTCAAAAATATAGTATTTAATATAAATATCATTTTATATAAAATAAATTTATATAATACTAATAAAATTATATATAAAATAATTTATATAAAAAAATAAAAAATTACAAATTATTCTACTTTGAGAATAATAATAATAATAACTAAAATTAAAAATATAGCATCAACCTAGCTCCAACTACGAAACAAACATACCTCAGTCTCCGTGTGAATACTCCTTGCTCGGAATCGAAGATAAGTCGAATAATGTCGACGCTGAGATTCCGGGAATCGGAGGCGGAACATCCGATGACACGGTGGCCGGGACATCTAGAATTGGCATTTGCGGGGCGGCCTCCGCTGACACCATGGCCGGGACATCTAAAATCATCGTCGCCGATGTTGATGGGTTTGAAGGTCGAATTCCTGACGACACTGGGACATCTAATATCGATGTCTCCGGGTTCGTCACCGATGTTGATGGATCTAAAGGTCGAAAATCTGACGACACCGCGACCAGTACATCTAAAATCGATGTCTCCGGGTTTGTCGCGGACGTCAATGGGTCTGAACGTCGAACATCCGATGGCACCGGAGGAGTGGGGATGGAGAAATGTGCGCAAAGGCGGGTCATCGTAGCCCTCAACCACCGGACCTCGGAGCAAAGCTCGGTCATATTACTCTTCATCCGAACTACTTCCGAATGCAACTCATCCAACAAAACGCTCGACCTCGATTCTTCCGGGGCAACAATGGTTTCCGGTTCTTGATTCCGAGCTTCATCGTCGAGCGCCGGGTCCTCTAGAGGATAAGTTTCATCATCATCGAGCACCGGCATCGATCTCTCCACTAATGTCCACAACATTCCATCCGAGCTTGTCGATCGTTTCGCCAAACCCATAAGATTCAACGTCCTAAACCCGACCGACATCATAGTTTGAACCGGATCCTCATTCGACTCATCGAGCATTTTCAGTCCCTTAGCCAATCTCGTCACGTAAGGCCCGATCGCAATCACTCTTAGGCGCGTGTCTTCTACTTGGTGGATTATGAACCGGGCGAGCATGTAGCCTACGTGAATCGGACATCGCTCGGACATACTCCATAAACAACACAAGTCTTGCGTTGTGACGACTCCCGTGCTCTCTCCCCGACCGGTTATCGTATGTGCCAAAATATTGTGAATGTACCGAAGCGACACTAACCGTAGAGTAGATGCCTTGGACTGTTTCGGATCATAATGTTGTTGTGTGCTTATCGTCGGCCAATAATCCTGCGGCAAAGGAGACATAGAAATAGGCAATGCCTCGTACTCGTGAGTCGCCACAAAATCCCGATCATATAGTCCCATAGCCACGGAGAAGTCTGTGAGGGACATGCTGTAATCTTGTCCCCGCAGCCGGAACTTCAGTGTATCGGGTTTATCAAAGTGATAGTAGGCGGGATCATGCGAGAATGTCGCCATGAACTCGAGTGTAAGATTTTGATAGCTGGGTTCGACGATCTCGAAAAACCTACGCCAAGCTCCAACGGAAATTAGCGAGTCGACCTCCTCTTTCAAATTCAACATAACTAAGGCATCCTCGTCGATGTATCGCCCCTTTAGGAAAGGCTTGTCCTTTAGCCTGTTATATCGATCAATTTGTTCAGACTCGGTGAAGATCAGGTTAGGGTCATCTGTACGATCAGGTTCGATCGGGGTTGTGTCCATTACTTTGGAGCGCTTTTGGCCGGATGCGCTTCCCTTACCCTTACTTGCACTTGCCTTCTTCGGTGTGACGCCATTTCTGGTAAAACAAAAACAGCATGTGTTAATAAAAGAAAACATTCACAATAATTTCATTACAATTCAGGTATTACATAAACACATGTCAACAATATACATGATGTATCAATACTTCAGCAAGCTTTACCAAACTAAAGATGCAAAATAGATACAATAAAACAATTAGAGTAAACTACAGTCTTTAAAGAAAACTGCGATTTCGTAAACTCTCTGATCCCAGCCCAAGATGTCCAAGAAATCGACAGAACTAGGCAACATCAACTACTACAGAGAATATACACATATATATATATTATATATAAACGATCAATGATTCCAAGGAAAACCAACGAACGGCTGTCTCACTTCCTATCACGATTCTTTATTAATACTAGTGGTATTTGAACATACCTCACACCTATGCCCTCAGTTGAAGTGGAGAAATGTTGAAGAAGGTCATCATTTGGCTGGAGGCTTTGGCTGAAGCTAGGCAACTAAAAGTGCAGCCGAAGAGGAGGTGAATTCATCGATACAATTGTTCAGGTGGATTCTCTCACTTGCTAGTACCATCATCTTTAATTGAAGAAGGTGAGAAGTAAAGGATGACAGTGTAGCAGACAAAGCATGCTTGTTAAGGTTTTAAATCAAATTTTGAACACGAGCATGTTTGTAACCGCTACACCGTGTTACTCAACATTCCTTGTAGATTTTCTATCAAGTCATTTCAAGAACCCATGATTTAACATTCATGATGCTCATTTAAGAGTGCTATGGGTTACACAAACTCACTCCTCACCATCTATGATAGTTCCAAATAAAATGTTGTAATTAATAACTAACTCCCTAATTTCTGCAGAATAAATTAAAGCCTAAAAGTTAAACCCTACCGTAAACATTAATCTTAGGTGTATATGCCAAAGCCCAGCAACATCATTCCTGCTTTTTTTCACCATAATTTGATACCACTACATACATTAAGTATTTTGTCAGCAATATATATAATAATAATTCCATTGTTCCAACATATCAAATGCCTCATTCTACCATAGAATATAATCTAATCAAATATAAATCATTACTATTCACATGTTGCATTGTTGTGCGTTTTTTTCTCCAAGAAAGTCCATCCAATATTCTCATTGTTAAAATAACTCAGGAATCCAAAATAATTAATTAAAAGGAACAACATAGCCATAGATTATGCATAATCATAATGCAAATTTGAGAACTTCGCAGAGGCAGATAGGAATGCATTCTGAATTCAGAGCAAAAATTTTAAAGAAGAAAGGATGATATCCAGGTAAGGTCACAGTCCAACCGATACTTCAATTGTTATATGAGAGAGACAAAGTAACAATAATAGAAATACTTACTGCCTCTTTCTTTTGGAAGCCTGTTTGCTCTCAAGGTTTCTTCGGGCAGCTTGGAATTCCTCTTCACTTGGCTCAGGAACTGCTTCGCCTCCATATTTTTGAAGCAGAGATGAAAACATCTTATCTTTTCTATCCGTCTGGCGTTGGGAAATGATGGCATATAGATCTGACTTTTCTTTCAACCTGCAACGGGTGTTTTCATGGGTATACATTAAATGTAATAAAACTAAACATACATAGTAAAAATAGTAAGTAACAGGACTAACTTCTTCTTCCGTCTCAATGGATTTGTAGGAGGTTTTGTTTTAGCCACCTTCTTTGCCCATTTCTCATATGCTTTGGTTGATTTTAAGTCTCCTACAAATCCACGCAGAAATAGAGGAATAAAGACAAAAGGAAGCCATTTCAAGATAAAGAACATGTAAAGTTAGACTATTATACCGAATAAAAAAAATGCATAACAGGAACATATAATTAGAATAGCAATTGCTAATATAAGGCAAAATAATACTAGCTCTAAAAAAAGCTAGCCTTTCTTGGCTATCTAAAGCAGCAATAATCCTTCAACATGTTCATAGTAGCATACTTCCCAAGAATCCAAGTTTGAAAAGCATATGAAATGTATTCTACTAGATAAATACTGAAGGCTTATTGAAACTTTAGAGCTAAGAAAGGCTAGCTTTAAAGCATAACAGTTAAGAGCACAGATTAGATGTTTCACCTGAAGAAATAGACTCATCAATTATATCCTTGAATCGATGAGAATCCAGCATTGGATCAGAGCAAATCATGCAGCAGAATAGTCTGGGGAAAAGAAGTCAACAATAAAATAACTGTGAAGTAAATAATAAGCACCACATGCGGGATGATATACCTGTCCATATTGCCCTTGCATTCTTTATATAGTTCTAGCAAATCTTTCTTCTCTGAATCAGAGCCTCTGTAGTTAGCTTCAAACTCTTCAATATCAGCCTCAGAAATCTGAAAGGGACATTCATGTACTTCATCACATAATGAATAGAGTAAACGAGACCATCATATATAGAAAGCCTGATTTATGTAACTGGAGATAACCTTTTTATACATGGTCCAGAAAAAAGTCTGTAAATTTTGGATGGCATCTCCTGCTAGATCCTGTCAATAGCTCGTGAGAAAAGACACAAGGTGTTGATTGCAGTATTAAATCGAGGAATCAATTATACCGTTTGGGTTATCTCTTATACATTAGCGATCTGAAAATGCATGAGGAACATTTTTTGATATCTAACAACAGTTAACTAGACCAATTTGCTAACCAAGTTGAGATAATTGTATGTTCACAAATCCTCACATATTAATGTTATATTTCCCATTAATATATACATATGTGTGTGTGCCTGCGCAGGTGAGAATAAACATGTAAAAACAAAAATCAAGGGAGCTTATAGTTCAACTTATCCCATCAGAATGAATCTAATGGGTACGATGCTAAACGTGGATTTAAAAATAAAAACATATAATACAATTTTTACTTATATGACAAGTTAGATTCATAAGAGGTACCCCAAACTAACACTTCAAAAAACAATAGATCAATTATGACTTACATCATCATCAACACAACCAGTCTGGTCATACAGTGCACGTTTCTCCTCGTCGCCAAGAATAGATATCACCTTTTGTAGCTGCTGAAACTTCTCTTTGGCATCCTAAGATAGAAACACAATGGTAAAATATTGTAAATGGCCACACACGTAGTAACAAAACCAACAAAAATATCTGAAGCATCAAATTACCTCATCATTGGGGTTTTTATCAGGATGGAGACGCAGTGCCAATTTGTAATACGCTTTTTTTATTTCTTGTTGAGATGCTGTTTGGTCCACCCCGAGAATCTGAACCCACAATTCTAGAATCATAACTTGTTGCTAAAAATGCAGTTCAACTAACCATTTGGAGCACATATATTGCAAATGAAAGTCGACCGTACAAATACAAGCACAAATTTGAAGATTATCCATCACTTCTTAACAAGCCAAGAAATGGATTAGGCTGAAGTTTGAAGTACAAAACTTAACAATGAGGAGAGATAAACTGCGTAGCCTCGATTTTGTGTGCATAGCCTGCTTCATTATTTTAAGCGCGACTTTACATTATGCACTACTGAATCCATTTTCACTGTATAGGATTGACGTTCAATTAAAAGTATTCAGAAAAACAAAGTCAAGATACAAGTAAGCAGTGAACAAGAACAATCATATAAATTCGTTAACGATTCAAACATCCGAAAATGTAAAATTGCAGGTAATATACCTCGTACAAGCTCTTCCTTCCTAAGGACGAAGATTCACTCGCCATAGATTCTCGATTATCCTCCATTCCTTCGTCCCTGTCAAGATTTGCTTCAGAAGCCCTAGCCTTCTTCCTCTTCCCCATTTCGCAAATACAAATTGAACGAAAATGGCCTTTTTCAGTCTTATTTATACAATTCCTAAATGGGCCGCCTCATTCCCGCGTAAAAATTGGGCCGTATTGGGCTTCGAAAGAAGGCCCAATAAGGTTTGTAGATATTTGAGTAAAAATTATTTTTGGTCTCATTTAATATCAAAATTATGAATTTTGGTCTCATTCAAAAAAATTTATCAATTTTAGTCCAACTCAAATGAAAATTTATCAATTTTAGTCCCAAAATGGTTGACTGGGACTGAACACGGCCGTGTTGGCTTGACCACGGCCGTGTTGGATGACTCAGAAGGTGATTGGCCGTTCCAGGCAGCCAACACGGCCGTGTTGGTCTCAACACGGCCGTGTTGATTACCATGCATTTTTTAACACGGTCGTGTTCCTACCCGTGTTCTGAACACAGCCATGTTCCTGCCATGTTCTCAACACAACCATGTTCTAAGCCATGTTCTCAACACAGCCATGTTATAGGCCATGTTCACGACCATGTTTTCAATATTATCATATTGTAGGTCATATTTATTATTTTTTTTCACTTTTTGGTTAAAATTATTTGATATATATATTTATAATTTAACAAAAATATTTTTTATTATTATTTTATAATTAAAAAATAATCAATTTTTAATATTTTTAAAATATATAAAAATAATAATATATTAATATATATTTTTTAATAATACTCCCTCCGTCCCACTTACCATGTCCATATTGTCGTTTATATCCGTCCCGCATCTGTTTAGTAGATAATTAAGAATGTATTAGTAAAAATAATTATCATATAATATAAATAATTATAAATTAAGATTAAAATAACTCATTAGTTTAATTAAAATTAAAATTAAATTAAAAAATAGTGTGTAATTATTTTCCAAAAAAAAATGAAAGTGACATGGGACGTGGGACGGATATAAACGGTAATGTGGATATGGTAAGTGGGACGGAGGGAGTATTATTAAAAAATATATATTAATATATTATTATTTTTATATATTTTAAAAATATTAAAAATTGATTATTTTTTATATTATAAAATAATTGTAAAAAATATTTTTGTTAAATTATAAATATATATATCAAATAATTTTAACCAAAAAGTGAAAATAATAATAAATATGACCTAAAATATGATTATATTGAAAACACGGTCGTGAACATGGCCTAAAACATGGTTGTGTTGAGAACATGGGCAGAAACATGACCTAGAACATGGCAGAACATGGTTTTGTTGAGAACATGGACAGGAACACGGCCGTGTTCAGAAGTGCAGGGTAATCAACACGGCCGTGTTGGCTGCCAGGGATGCCCAGTCACCTTCTGAGTCATCCAACACGACCGTGTTCAAGACAACACGGCCGTGTTCAGTCTCAGTCAACCATTTTGGGACTAAAATTAATAAATTTTCATTTGAGTTTGACTAAAATTGATAACTTTTTTTGAATGAGACCAAAATTGATAATTTTGATATTGAATGGACCAAAAATGATTTTTACTCTAGATATTTTATTGAATTCACCCTAGATGGCAGAATTGTAATTATCGAGTTAGTTGAGGGTATTTATGTAACTTCAGATAGCGCTGTCCTCCTCATTCCTTGCTGTCACTGTCTTTTTTTTTTTTTCTTTTCATTTGGTATATAAATATTTGCACACATACAAAGATACAAAGGCGAAATTTTAAAATCTTTAATTAAATTGAATCCCTCGGCTCCTTCCCGACCCATTTCTCTCCTCGCCTCTCAAATTACTCGAATTATCTCTTCGATTAAGGTATTGTTCAATCGTTTCTGCGCTTGAATTTTTAGTTTCGTGGTGGAACTTGTCTGAGATTTGATTTTCTGTGTGAGGGTTTGGTATCATGTCGTGTAGGAGTTGAAAATTATGGATTGCTTATTTGATTTTTTTTCCCCTTGTGGGTAGGAAATTGAGTTTGATTATTTTTTTTTATTTTGTTAGGTTAAGATCGTTTAAGGACTCTTTGTATGATAATTTGAAGATTTTGTGCTAGGGTTTATCCTTTTGTTTTATGGTCTCGATTTAGCCGACCTTCGTGAGTAACTGATACGTTTGAATTTTGAATTTCTATTGTTATGAAGTTCTGTGAATGAATTCAATTATGTGTTTGAGAATTCTTTAGTTTTCAATTATATAGTTTTATGCTTGTGATTTTCCACTGATTGCTGGAATAGGAATTTGGGTGGTTTCAATTGGCACTTATACACAAACTATGGGGTTTGTTTTTGAAATTTTTGGCCCCATGCAATCTATAATAAAATATTTCCCCCCTAAAAAACATCATTTCCAACCTAACCACATTAAATTACATTAAACTTTATTTCCATTGCATGCAGCAATTATTTCTCAATTATAACATTATATCCAAAAACCTATGGTTCACTTAACATATTCTTAATTTAAAATATCCAGAACACAAAGAAAGTTGTAGAGGGAAAAAATTCATGTTGGGCTCAATGTGCACAAGCTTAATCCATTTCATCGCCAATATAAAATTTTGATTGAAACTAGTTGAAACTCAAAAATATAATTAAAATCCTCCGTTGACCGTATTTTGCTAATGTGGCATTGTATATTGATGGAACACGTCCGTGTTTTGTGAAAACACGGCCATGTTTGAGGACTTGGATAGAATAACCAACCCTAAATAGAACAAATCCATGCCATATGATGAACATGGCAATTAAAAACCAAATTGGTTTTTTGTACTTTCATCTTCGTGTTTCTTCTTACTTCGAAAAAATAAACAGCACATCTAGGCCACATGTGTGCTCAATTTTTCATTCTTCATCCTTCTCTTGCCGCTTTCATCACCATCCTCTTCTTTTTCACCTCCATGCTTCATTCAAGATATCTTCTTCCTCCAGTCATAGAGCATACTGTGTTCAAGTTGTTTGTATCGACTCCAATATTCAGTGAAATTATACACAATCAGTGTACGATACACTATTCCTCCTCAACTCTACAGCAGACGACGATAAAGATTCCACTTCTTTATTATTTTGTTTATTTGGCCATTTGTGCATCTACACTGGTCACTGAGTTTCAATTTTCTTGAAAATTGGCTCATGTCAAGATAATTGAACCTAGATTTTGTGTGTTATCTTTTTTATCTTAAGGGGATTGAATGCGAACTCTTAACCTGTGTTTTGAAAATAGAGAAGAAGAAGATGGTGGTGTTGAAGATGAAAGCAATAAGAAAAGAAGAAAAGAAAATTAAAAATCAGGACGTCATCATATTTCCAGCGGTGTGGTGTTATTCATTCAGAATAAGAAGATGAAAATAGTTGAAGAGAAAAATCAATATAGTTTTCAATATCCCCAGGACACAGGCGTGTTCTCTTTAAATTTGGCAAAGGTCATCCATATCATCAATTTAACTTGGTTTTTATCAAATATGGCTGACTGGCTTTGTTCCTTACTCTCAGATGCGATATCTGTAAAAGACGTTAGATGGTCAATGGTAGGACCGATTTTGATGAATTTTAATTATATTGGAACTAATTTTGATCAAGAGCTTTTTATAAATTGATTATATGTTAGTATACTAGGACCAAAACTGACTTTTGTCTTCTAGTAATCATGTTTAATTGCCTAACAAGGATCATCTATAGGCCGCCAAATGTTGATCATTTTCTTATTAAGAAGTTGATTTTCTTTCAGAAGAATGTGGGCCGGCTAGTAATGGAGCATTTATTATTCTGTCGTATGCACGTTATGAAATGAAATCTTTGTTAGAAATTTCGATCACAATTTCCAGAGAGGGAGGATCTTGATATGTGTGCGCTGTTGAAGTAATATTGATGGGATTGTTTTGTATTCACAGAATCACATTACAAGTCTATGATCTTAATTAACCAAAAATTTCATTTTTACTGTGTTCCCTTGTTGGTTTCAACCCTCTAGTGTTGAATGTGAATACCAAATGTCTCTAGGCACTTCTTTTGTTTGATCACATATTCACATTTCATCACTGTGTTTGGTTTGCAGTTTGGTAAATTGGGAGATGTAAGGGAAATGTGTGTTTAGTGGAAAAAAAAAAAACAGTGAGTCATATATGAATTGGAATTTTTATAATGTTCTCACTTTTATTTATAATCTCTTATATAATTTTTGGATGAGGTAATTGCATGTGGGAATTATTGCTAGGTTTGAGGTTGCGGATATAGGTGTGAATAACTTTGGATGGAACATTAAGATAAGATTGAAGTTTGATTCCTGTTTTCATTTTGAGGTAAGCGACACGTGCTTAGTGGAGATTTAATGTTTACTGAGGCTTAGCATTTAAATAGAAACATGTAAAAGTCAACATCTTTTTTCATTAGATTTAAAGAAATCTCACCATGGAACTATCTACGTTCTAAGATATCAACTACAGAAAGACTCAATCTACTAGGGATTTATGATATCTTCACCGATTTTAATCTTTCTAGATCATTGTCACTTCAATATCATATTTTTTTATTCTTTTTTAATTCTTACCTCAAGTGCCACTTCAATATATATATATATATATATATGTGTGTGTGTGTGTGTGGTATTCGTTTCCGATTTGATTGACCCATGGTAGTTTTTGAATATGCGCTATGAATTAATTCCTTCTTTTAGATCGATATTTAAGTGTATGTGGTGAATTGCAGAAAAGCTTACATAAATGGAGTCGTCAAAAGAGACCGGCTGCCAGGCTCCTGAAGGCCCCATTCTTTGCATCAACAACTGTGGCTTCTTCGGAAGTCCTGCCACCATGAACATGTGCTCCAAGTGCCACAAAGACATGGTGCTGAAACAGCAGCAGGCCAAACTCGCGGCAACATCCATCGAGAACATTGTCAATGGCAATGGCAGCGGCGGCGCAACTAGCAGCAACCAGAAAGACCCTGTCTTGGCCGATGCATTCAACACGAAACCCGATTCACCCAAACAACCCCTTGTTATGGCCCCAGAGACGAAGGCAAAGACTGCAGGGCCAAACAGGTGCGCCACTTGCCGCAAGCGTGTAGGTTTGACAGGATTCGATTGCAAGTGCGGGAACCTCTTCTGTTCGGTCCATCGCTATTCTGACAAGCATGACTGCCCGTATGACTACCGGACTGCAGGTCAGGACGCCATAGCCAAAGCAAACCCGCTCGTGAAAGCAGACAAGCTCAATAAAATCTAAGAAGCGTGCAAGGTACGTTGGCTGCTTTTATCGGTGTTAAACCATGGGTGTTGAAATGAGTTGGCTAATTGTGTTAGTAAGTCTCTCTCTCTCTCGAATGCTGTTTGGGTCGATAGCACGAAAGAGAATGCAGGTGGGAGGGGGAGGGGGTGGGGTGGGGAGGGTCTTGATGTCGTCGTGGTCGTGGTGTCTCTTGAATACTATGAACTATGAAGTCGTTGTCGCGTCACTCGGATTGTGGTCGTGTTTTGATAGTGTAAGTTGTTTGCTGGCTTGAATGATATATTGTTGTGAGATTTTCATCTTTTTGTCGCTACGGAGACGGAAAGATAAATATCTTTAATCTGCCGTCGCTATTCGCGTTTTGGGTAAATTTTCGGTCGAATCTAATAAGTTGAAAGTACAGTCAAAAGTTTTAGGGTAATGTAATATACTCTTTCACCAATAAACATAAAATAAGTTGTGGAAAATCAAAGGAATAATAGTATGATAGTGGCTAGTGAATTAGTGTAAAAAAGAAAGGGTCATTAATACACTTAAGTTAGTAGGATTTAAGAGCAAAATTTGAATAAATAAATGTACTGGTAAAAATAAATTGATAATTGATTGTAGATAGATTATAAGTAACAATATCTTAATATTTAGATAGATTAGTACTAAAGTGTAAGTACAAAGGAAGAAGTATGAAATTGTTGTTTTTCCATTGGATTTGGATAGTTGGAACATCTTCATAATGGGATTCAAAATAAATTAGGAATTAAAATTGTAAGAGTTAAGACAGAAAAATACACTGGGATTGAAAATCCAGGAACTAAAATTAATATGTAAATCGGAAGTAAATTACAGGAATTAAAATAGGATTAAAGCTTAAAGGTAGAAATTAAAATAAGATTAAAGTTGAAAGAAAGCATAAAAAATAAATGAAAAGGCATAAAAAGAAAAGAAATACTATTATTCTAATATTAAAATGTGATAGATAAAAGATAACATGAACTTAATGTTAACAAATGTTTTCCCACTAGATGACAAATGGACTTAATTCCTCAAGAATATCTTATGGTGTTCTTCGACTGATCGTTACTCTCGATGGTGAAGATGTTATTGATTGTGAACCAATATTGGGTTATTTACATAGAGGAATGGAGAAGATTGCGGTATTTCTTATAAGAAATGGTGTGTGTAACTCGATCAGTTCATGGTTGTTCGGCATTGCAAGACACTCGTTCTTTAACCATAAGTCAGTCTTAGTTCGCACCGCAAGCTTTCAAATTGTTATGTTGCCTTCGAACCAGGTCTCAACATCTTATAATGATGAAAAATATTTTAGAGGCCATGCCGTACTATCATCATTGTCCACTAATATTTTAGACATTAAGTTTTAGATCATTGGTCATTCCTGCCATTCCCGTAGCGGCGGAGGTCATTTATGTAGTTCCTCAGTACTATTTTAAGGTCTCTGCCATTCCTCACTACTATTTTGAAGAGGATCCAGAAGAATATGACGATGGGATGAAGATTTAGATGGCCGCACAGATTTTGAATGTTCTAGCGAGAGCGAGGAAGAAAAAAGCTTATAGGTAGCTCATAAGAAACTTTAAAAAATAATAGGGCCGTAAACCCTAATAAAGATTAGTGACGAGTTTGTTAATTCTGTTTAATAATAAAATAATCTACTTTCTATGCATAAAAAAATGCATTACTTCCTTCGTCATTCAAATTTGTTTCCATTCCCTTTGTGAAATATAAAGAAAATGGAAACAAGTTTAGATAACAAAGAGAGTATTATTCATAACGAAGATAGATGTATATAAATAGACATATCATACGGACTCAATATACTTAAGTAAAATAAGACCAAATCTAACCTAAATTTACTAATCTAAAACTGAATATCTAAAATATCTCTAACATTCCTTCAAACTCAAGTAGTATAACAGAAACCAAATTAAATTTATAAGAAATTTGAATACAAATGCAAATAATAAATAACAATTTCTTATTTGCCATTGCCACAGCCGCTCCACCGTGTCGAAGCCAGAAATAGTGCTATCAAGTGAATTAGAATCGGAGAAAACAGAACTCTCGATGGAGTTGAAAATAACAAGACTCTCGATGGAGTCGGAAATAACGGAACTCACAATGGACTCAGAAATAACGACATCTCGATGGAATAAAAAATAACAACACTCTCGATGGAGTTGGAGATAACAAGACTCTCGATGGAGTCGGAAATAACAAGACTCTTGATGGAGTCGAAAATAACGGAACTCTCGATAAAATCGGAAATAATAGCACTCTCGATGGAGTCGAAAATAACATGACTCGATGGAGTCGAAAATAACAAGACTCTCAATAAAATCGGAAATAACAAGACTCTCGATAAAATCGGAAATAACAACACTTTCGATGGAGTTGAAAATAACAATACTCTCAATGGAGTCGAAAATAACAAGACTCCTAATGCAGCTAGAAACATGGCTCCGGAGAAACCCAACAGACAGATGCATATACATGACTTGGGGTGTGTTTGTTTGGGGGTTTGGATTTTGGATTGGGATTTGAATAGTAAAAATTTTGAATTTGAATAGTTGTATGATGTGATATAAATAGGGTTTGATGTGATGTTTTGAATGTAAAATTGATTTTTAGTATAATATAAAAAATGAAAAATAGGTGTTTGATTTGATGTTTTTGGGGGGAAAAAATTGGATGAATAGTGGAAATCCTCCAAAATCCTTCAAACAAACACACCCCAAATGTAAATAAAATCAGAACTAAAAACAAAATCAAAATCAAAACGAAAAAGAGTATAAACTATAGAAAAAATCTCAAAATTTGAAGATCTCCATAACATTCCATGTGAAAAACGTGGTTTAGTAGACATAGTCTACAAGATAAAAATAAACTCTGATACCATGTAAAAATATTTTAGAGAAACTGGAAAATTATATTGTATTTATCATCAAAATAGGAGGTTTATTTATAAAAAGAACTCGATAGACTCAAATCTATATTAGACCAAATCTAAATCTAAAACTGAATATCTAAAATATCTCAACAAGTTCAAAGCATTTTGAGACAAAGATAGCATAAATATTAAGGTTATATTTGATGATTAGTTGGATTATGGTTGGTACTGTACATTCTAAGCAAATTGAAAAAACAATTTGAATCGAGAAACAAACATTTAATGGAATCAATTGAGTGCGATAAAAAATTAAATGAGCGAGACAAGTGCAGTATATTAGAGAGAGATTGAAGTTAGCGGTGTCATCGTAAAGTACAGTACACACAAAAATAGTCTCTCTTGCCTTACAATGGCAATGGCAATGGCAATGGCAATGGGCTTCCTTGTAAGAATCAAAGGAAGAATCACTACTTTGCACTTGTATGCTACTCATATATATATATATATATATATTCTATATGTACAGATCTAGCCGACTCACTCGAGAAACACGGCGCGCCGCGTCATTTACAGCTCCATTTTCAGCTGACTTGAGTGCAGCGAAGCTGCGCCATCACCGTATGCTTTGTTAGTTGAAATCATTGAGTTCAAATTGATGGTTGTTATATGTACTGTAAAAAACAGTAGTGAGTTTCAAAATTTACCTGAATTAGCAGGGGAGTCGTAGCTTATGAGTGAGTTCTCGGGTGTAATGAAGTTGGGGGTGTCAGCTTCCTCTTTGGCCAAGGAGGGATGATGAAGTCCTGCGAATTGCCATGGCTGCGGATACTGATGTTGTCTGTTACCTTCGAGTTGTAGCTCTGGCCACATGGATGGAGCAAACATGCCCATATAGCTATTGTCGATGGAAGATCCGCTCTAAAACAATATATGGTTGTGGAAGGATAAGAAAGTATTGATAAATATTCAACCCAAATTTTTCTATAGAATTTGCAAATGTGAGATCTCGGAATAATTATATCTAACATGAACAGAATTTGGTAAGGCTGATAATAGACTCACCTCTGCTGCCAATATGTCATCGATGTTGAAATCAATTCTCGGGTTAACAGCAGCAAGTCTCATTGATAAAATCTGAACCAAAAGAAAAAGATTTCAATCAGCTGAGGTTTGAATAGGTAAAGAATTATGAAGTGCACGAATTTGAATCCTTGTAATAAATTGCAGTTCTTTGTTTCATAAGAAATGCTCGATATAAGCTAGCAAGTAGTGCATTTTCATTTTAGGAGCTTCGATATAATTTATTCAATCTAACATAAAATCCAAGCAAATGCACCATTACAAAAGAACCTTAAAGTTTTGTTGCTAAATTCATCAAGGATTGAATCATTTCCGGGTATCACAATAATATTCCCCTTGAGATCAACAGATTGATTGAATCAAACATTAGATGGGAAGTAAATGCAAAGACCGACCTCTACTTGACGTTGAAGTGCTTGGACATGATTTATTATCTCATCCAGCACCATTGCAGTACCTGATATCTGTTAGGGGAAATAACAACAACTTTTACTCATTCTGATTGACATCAACTCGAGAAATACCAAGAACAAAGACGGGAGGGAAAAAAAAACGAAAACAAAAAACAAAGAAGATGTCTATTCAGCTAATATCTTGTCAGCTATACTATAATCCAATAACAGATGCAACAGTTCAATATGCATGAAAGAAAGGGAAAATTCTTGATCGACGAGGACCAAAACATAGCATTTGTTACACAATTGAACTATAAAAGAGAAAGTTGTAATCCAATACTAGTCCAAATGAATATAAGATGATCTTACATAATGGGGTAATCGAAACGGGCCATCTTTAGCATTAATCTTAGGGAAACCTCTAGGTTAACTCTGCCACTCAAAACCACAAATCTAATGATCTAGCATTTTGTGTAAATCAGTCGTTTAAATAGTTCTCCTCAAAGCTTTCACAATATAAGTCCAACCCGAACTGTTTGCTAGTGGTCAAAGGGATGTTTATTCGATTCCTAGCTTCACCAAGTTGGAAAGAAGATAAAACATGTAGAGCTTCAGACAAAGTGAAAATATAAGAAAATTATTTTAAGCATACAAAGCCAGATATTTGTACACGATAGGGGCGCAAAAGTTCGGTATACTGTATACAGTATGCCATCCCTATATCTGGCGGCATAAAATGCTTTTCAATTTATAGCTTCTTTCCACGCCACTGGTAGAAAGTTTAGCTATAACCTATTCCAATTCTATATATCCTTTACGAGACAGAACAATTCAATTGCTGATCCAAATTCTAACCAAGAAACTACTCCCATGTCTCCAATTACTATCTAATTGTCCAACCTTAGAGGCCCATTATAAACATAACTGATTTTTCAAATTTTTATTTTGAATTATCAAGTAATATCAACATCAATGCTAAGAGGGATCTCAAGAAAATTTTCCAATGGCGGACTCGTGAAAATGGAGTTATACTTAAGATAGAAAAATACGGTTTGGTGAAAATATGGATAACAGACGATTGCAAAAAGCCAAAAGGTGAAGACGCATTATTAGAATCATGAGAGGGACACTTCAGCATCGGCCCCTCCACTTTTCTTGGTGAACAGCTTTTTCTGTCTTTCCCCAATTGAAAGGGTGATAGCGACCGCTTATAATTCAATTGGTTTTTACATGAAAAAAGTATAACCTAATCATCAGAAGATTAAAAAAATAGGGCAGTGTAATAAGACAAGAAATGGTTTTTAATTACCATGTAATTCCAAATGTAATGAACAACTACTAATTGCAGCAACCTAAAACCTCTCTACCACAAAAATGGTGTCCGTACGGAATTGAAATTTTAGGGACTGACTGACCTTGTTACATCCAGGGACCAGCTCCTGTAGTAGCTTCATCCTGGCGTTGATTTTCTCCCTTCTAGCCTGTGAACAAACGCAACTGAGTAAATGCACTTTATTGCAACTAATCAAGATCAAGAAAATGATTTAGAGACCAATCCATACTCTTTCAGCTAAGCTATGGCGATCCGTGGCTTGGCCACGGCGAGCTCTGACATGAACGAATGGCAATTTATCGCCGCTTTCCTCAGAAGAATCATTTGCTGCTGCTGCCGCCTTTTTGCTCTTTTTATTCGTGACTTTTACCTGAAGGCACGAGTAGATACAGTTCATATGTAGATACTATGCAATCCTTTATAACTTCATTAATTTCTTCCTTGAAATATATAGAAAGAGGGAACATCATATGTCTATGAATTGACAATGATTTTGTGTTCAGAGACATTACCTTTTTCTCCTCCTGCTTTCTCTTGCCGGATTTTAGGCCCTGCGTTGAAACAGGCGGCGAAGAAGAATTCGGCCGGGAATCGGAGTCCGGCGGCTCTCGCTTTACGGAATCGAGCTTCATCGGGCTTGAAGCAGACAGAATTGGCGTTTTCTCCGACGAATTGTCAGCCGAAGCGAAGACAGAAAACTTTGACGCCCGGTCAATTAGGGCAATGTTTGAAGGAAAAATCGGCGGTGGCATAGGCTTCGCCGGAAAGTCTTCGTTGACTAAGAGCTCGACCGCCTGCGGCGGCGGTAGCTCAAGAAGCGCCGTGAATGAGCTGCTGGGCGCTTCCGGTGGATTCGAAATTAAACCATGAATTTCGTCGAATCCGAACCCTAGTTCCCCAGCGTCGGGACCTGACAGTACGGATCTAAACTGAGGTTGAGTTGCTTCAAGTTGTGGTTCCATTGAAAAATATCCTAAAATTCTTTCCTACAACTCCAAGGATTCGATTATAGATAAACTAATCTCACAGAGAAGCTCCGAATTCCCCAAAATTGCGAATGGAACGGAAATTCAACCCAAAGATGGAGAGAAAATCAAGGGAGAACAAATTAATTTCACCAGAAAGAAATTCGAAGAAGCTCTAGTGGATTTTATGATGCAGAACAACCTGAATAGCCGGAAAACACGAAGAATTAAACCGAAACAGATCAAAAGGTTGCTCAAATGAAGCCAAAATTTGAGCTCCACGAACAAATTTCCAGTACCATCAACCAGAACTCAGAGCATGAACAAAGTGAAAATTGAGATCGAACGAGCACCAACAGCTCACACACCTCAACAGAAGTAGGCAAAAGAACACGGTAACAACGCTGATAACAAGCAAATTAATGCCCCGCAGTTCTTAACTCAAGTTACCAAAAAATGCAGGCCATAATTCGTTGTTGAAGAAGCTGAAATAGCAAAAATTAAATACAGAGGAGAGGTTCTGCTTCTGGCACAAATTGAAGTGGAACCTCCTTTCCTTCTCCGGAGGGAAAGCTTCAACAATATCAATGGCGGTCAAAGCCTGTCTCCGTGTCTCTGTCTGCAGTGTGGAGTGTAAACTGGATTAGCCTTTTTCCCTTTTCCTCTTTCTATCAAATCTCCATCTCAGGACCTCAAGTCCCGGATTGTACTGCCAAAAGTGACGCGGGTTGTCTGGTCCCGCAGTCCATGTACACCGCTCGTACCTTATAAATTTAATAAACAAATAAATAATATCCGTTGAGCATTAGATCATTGTCTATAAATGTGATTTGTGGGTTATTTTTGTTTAAAATAACTTTAATTTAACTTAAGTTTTTCTTTTTAAAATAGTATTTTAATATTCCTTCTATCCCATTAAAAATACTATTTTCGTCCGTCTCATTTTTCAAAATATTTATTTTTAAAAATAATTATATATTTATATCAAAATAGTTTTAACTTTTACTAAAATTACAAACGTACAATTACACTTTCCAAAATATTTATTTCTAAAAATAATCATACATCCATATCAAAATACTTTAATTTTTACATAAATTATAAACGTAGAATTACAAGTACAATTATTTTTTACAACAAAAATGTCAAAATTCCTTACACATTCTAGTAATAGATAAAATACTATTATTTCTTAATCTACTACAAAATTTAATGAACCCTTTGAATAGGAACGGCAGAAGTATAATATTTTGTAAACTAAAATTGTGCATTTTCATTAATAATAATAGGATAAATTATATAATATTTATTCGTTTTATTAAAAAATACCAAATTTATAATATTTTACTTATGGCGTGAAATTCTCTTCTATTGAATAAAAATTATACACAAAATATTACATTCGTCCAAATATAATGTTTGATTGCGAACATGCATCTAATTATGATAAATTTATACAAAAAAATGATAAAATAAATACTCTTACGTCTCACATAATTTATTATTTTGTTTAAAATATAATTATATACTATAATTCAATTTTAAAATTTATAATTTATAATTTTTTATTTTAATAAAATTTTTTAGGTATGTTAATCTTAATTTATAATTATTTTTATTATACAATATTTATTTTTCTTAATATATTTATTATTTATTTATTAATTATATTTATCTAAAGTTTCATATTATGATAATATGAACATTTTTAGTGAGATGAAAAAATTAGTATTTTTTTTTTAAATAAATAATTGTTCAATTCTTCTTTGTTAAGTATATTTTTTATAAAATTACGTAATAGTTCACATTCGAAAAATTATAAAGTAAATGATGATAGATAATTTATTTATTTATTTTATTAAAAAATATTATTTAATATGTTTTTAAGTATTTTTTTTATTTGTTCAAAATTTTACATAGTCAGATGCAATCAATTATCATATTTAGATAAAAGCTAGTATTTTGTGCATATTTTTATTAGTAAAGAAAATACTGGTTTTCATAATTATATCATAAAAGAGTAAAAAATAACTAAAAATGCATTTTTACATAAAAATTTGTATCTAAAAATTTGAATACATTTTAAGGCGACGAAAGAAATATATATTACATAATTAGTATAAATTTGAAAATTTGAAATTCACATAAGGATGTGTTCAGTTGGAATTTTGGAAAAAAATAAAATTGATTATTCATAATTTTTTTATTTTAAAAATTATTAAACTAAATGTTTACTTTAAATTTTTTATATTATTTTAAAATTTAATTTTATATTTAAAATATTATATCAAATAATTATTAATTCATTTTTACAATTTTAAACTTAAACCCAGACAACCAAACAAATACACCCAATATATATTAGTGTTATCATGAAAGTGATATATATATATATATATCTATATATAAACGGATCACCTTAAAAATATCTACAACAAAGAATAGCTTAGATTAAAAAAGCGGGAGCAATAATGCCAATTGTGATTGATTTTTTCAGTTTTGTTTGTTTTTGTTTAAAATAAATTTGAAAGGAAATATTAATTTGAATATTTGTTTAACTAATATTTTAATTTAATATTTTATTAGATAAAATAATATATTTTTACTAAAATTCATACAAGATAAATAATATTACTTTTTGTTCAAAATACTATAAAGAACAAATTATTTATTTCTATTATATATATATATATATATATTAGTGAGGTTGTTTAAACTATAAGTGTGTTTTTACACCCTTCGTCCCTTTTGAAAGAGATCATTTGAGGTTTTGTAGTAAAGTTAAAATAATACTTCCTCCGTCTCAGAACTATAGTCTTAATTTGGTTGGGCATGAGATTTAAAGAATATTGATATTATATTAGTAGTTGGTAAAAAGTATAGATAAAAGATTTTTTTGCCCTTGTGAGTGTATTAGTGTAAAAAGCAGTGGCAATTGTATAATAAAAAAAAAAGTAGGGGTAGTTTTATGGTGATATGATTATTTATGGAAATAAGACTATTGTTTTGGGACGGACAAAAATGGTAAACAAGATTATTGTATTGGGACGGAGGGTATACTATTTTATTGGTTAGTGAAAGTGTGTAAGATATTTTGATATTTTGTCTTTTGACTTTTTGTATAAAATAATTGTATGTTTAATTGTAAGTTTGTAATTTAAATAAAAGTTAAAGATATTTTGATATTAGTACATGCTTACTTTTTCTAATATAGGAAATGATACTTTTAAATAAGACAAACATAAAAACGATACTTTGAATTATGACGAATAGAGTATTATTTTTAATTTGAAATAACTTTTTATGTTAAATATAAAAAAATTATAACAATAATATAAAAAATAAAAATATTTAATTATTAACTTTTTTTTTAAATAAATAGAATTAACTAATAAAGTATAATATATATATTATGTGTGTTTGTATATTTTATTTGCAATATTAATTTAGAAGTATATATATTGCTTGGGCGAAAACAATTTATATTTTATCCATCAACTTGTAAGTTTCTTTTTTGTTTTTTTTTTTTCATGCGATTTAAAGTAAATTAATATTTTATAAATATATAGTGTAATAAAGTAGTTTAATATTTATTTTACTATTGACATTAAAGTAAAAATAATATAAAAACATAAAAAGTAGGAATATTTTTTTATTTAGTTAAGGATTATTTTTTCTTAAAAACAATAAACTAGAAGTTTTTATTTTGATAAACTAAAATAGTTAGATAAGAAATTTACTTTTGGACGAATGAAGTATAATTTTGTTATATATATTGTATAGTGTGTTTAAGATAATTTGGATGTGTTTGTTTTGTATTTTAATTTAAAGTATTTTCCTATATGAAATGTGAGAAAACATATTAATAATATAAAAAATACATTTTGTGTTGAATAGTTTTATGAGATAAGAAAAAAATATATATCGAAAATCGTATTATATACCAATTATATCTCGTTATCTTTTTGTGCTAATTATAGAGTAAAATGTATATATTGTTTATCTTTATAGTATATTATGATCCAATCAAATAATTATGGTCAAGAATTTGATCGAATCAACATATCATTAGCACCCTAGACAAAAAAATTTAGAAAACAAAACCAAAAATATCTAACTATACAAATAATGGGATGAGATTACCTAGCAAACGACATTAATATTACCTTTATCCCAATATTTTCATTTTATTTTATTATATATAGTTTGTTTTTATTTAGAAGTAACTACATATTTTAATTACATTTTAAATTTTATAATTTTATTAATTTTAATTAAATCATTTAATTATCTTAATATCATTCTATAATTATTTATATTATATTATAATTATTTTTACTAATATTTTTTAAATTAATTACTAATTATAATCATTTTTAATTTTTGTATTTACAGTTTGGCGTGTTTCATTGAGTTTGGAAAAAATTGATTGAATTTGATATTAAAATAATGTTTAATAAGATATTTTGTGAAAAAAAAAGTCTAAAAAAATTAAATCAAATAGTAAAATTTTAAAAAATTTGGTTAAAGAAATATACCCCTAAACACATAGGGAGTGTTTGTGAGTTTTAGTTTTTGTGTTTGGATTTTTGAGTAGTAAAAATTTGAATTTGAATAGTGGTATGATGTGATATAAATAGAAGTTGATGTAATGTTTTGAATGTAAAATAAATTTGTAATATAATATAAAAAAATACTAATAATTATCTAATTTGATATTTTTTTAAAAAAAAATAAAATGTGAATAATAAAAACATATTATAAAACACCACAAAATACTACATCCATAATCTTCCGAAGTATATTACTCCCTCCATCCTAGAAAATATGAGACTATTACTGTAGATACGAGAATTTAGGTAAAGTATAATTAGTAAATAATTAAGAAGTATATTAGTAAAAATAATTATTATTTAGTAAAAATAATTATAGATTAAAATTAAGATAAGTAAATAGTTTAATTAAAATTAAGAAAATTATAAAATTTAAAATTTAAAATGCGATTAAAGTGCATAATTATATTTCCAAAAATAAAAAGAACAAGTTTGTGAAACGAACGAAAATAAAAAATAGTAACAAATTACGTGGGACGGAAGGACCAGTAATTACTAACTTCGAGAGAGGGATCGGTGAATGTGGCGTGGGTGTCATAAACTAAGAGCATTAATTATGTGCAATTAATGTGGAACAGTTTGTACAATGCACTAAGGGGCCCGCGTGAGCACGACACAAACCATCAAGGTGGCCCATTAGGCCCAAACTCTGCCAACTGAAAGCGACTTAACTGTTGGGCCCAATTGTTTGGGCCTATTAATTAGTGGGGGCCCAATACCCCTGGAAGAGTTGAAATTTCTTTGTCAATTATTTAATTGGCTAGCCTAGTAGTAATAGATGACAGTGCAGGCAACAACAACAACAACAACAACATAATAATACTAATAATAATAAATATCAATATAAATTATTATTATTATTATTATTGGTTGATGTGTAAGAGTTTGATAGGGTCGTAGGGAACAAGTAGTATGTAACAGTGAGTGTGTATGTCGTGATGGACCCAATAATGCTAACTTATGTCTGTCCTATAGCCCATAATCTGTTGGGCCCAATTAACGGTGGTCCTTTGACAGCCTGTACTTTGGGCCCACCTCACCATGTCCTCAACTTCACTTGACAATAATAAATTCACATTCATTCTTAACAAAAACTAATAATAATAATAATGAATATCGTGCTAATTATAGTTAATTAACCTCAGTTAGTAGTATATTGTAATGATACACAAACGGTGTGTTCTTTTTGTGTTTTTCTCATACATAATTTTAAAAAAAAATTAATATATTATATACATTTATTATCTTTATATTATATACACAATTTTCTATATCACAAAAAAAATGAAAAAAATTCATTCAAATTATTTTACAAAACAAAGACACCCAAAATATATATTATTGTATATCATTAGCACATATTTTTTCTTTCATGTGCAATATATATAACATGCCCTTCAAATAAAATATTACTAACTAATACTATTATTTTTTTCCCCTTCTCTTTTATGTTTGATTTGTGCATGTGATTGAAGTTTTTATTTATATTTTAATTTTAAATATTATTTTCATATAATATTGTATAAAAAAATAAATATTAGAAACCGCAAGTAATAAATAATAAAAAAATAATTTAAAAGTCACAGCCAAGCGACCCTTCCTTATATTATTATTAATACTTCTAAACAATCAGGTTTATTCTTTTACTATTTTAGATTAAAATTAACACAATTTTAATAAAAATATACTTTTTTTTTATATATATATAAAATGCCACGTCAAAATACTATTTAAACAAAATTTCAAATTTACATCCCATTTAAAATGAATTTCAAACCATCAAAAGAACAAAGCTAATGTTATAATCAAATTAAACTAATATAATAAAAATGATCAAAATTATTTCCAAAATGAAAACTCTAGGGTGTTTGGTTTACTTTTTCACTCTATTTTTATAAAAATATAATCTGTTCACCCATATTTGATGAAGGCACCGACACCCCATATTTGTCTAAGATTTTAAATTTGATTTTACTATTTCAATTTTCTTTTCTCTCCAAAAATATCAAATCATACACTCAATTCTTATTTATTTTATTACACTAAAATCTAATTTTACATTCAAAACATCACATCAAACACATATTTATATCACATCAAACACATATTTCAATTCAAAATTTTACTATTCAAAATCAAAACTTTCACAAATAAATACACTAATTAGTACGGAAACCACATTAATGTACATTTGATGCTAATATGCTCTTCGGTTAGAAGCATTTCTGACTAAAATAAAGCTGCACTGTTTATTTTATCAAAACATCATATCTAATTAATTATTTAAACTATAAATCCACAACAACAACAACAACCACAATAATAATAATAATAATAATAATAATAATAATAATAATAATAATTACTTCACACTCTAAAATTCTTCCCCGAAACCAATAGAAACAAATCACAATCAATTTTACAAAATGTCTCTCAGAAAGCATCAAACTACTTACTTTACAATCCACACAACAAAGACAAGCTAGAATGGCTGCGGATGACACCAGAGAATTCAAGAAACCTTATATATATATATAAACAAAATCTATTTGAATCTACGGAATCCCGGGATACGGCATGAACAAAAATTAGCTAGAGGAAACAGAAAGAACTGGCAAATGTTAACTTAGTTGGATACTTACTAAGGTCCCCTTCTACTTATCAAATAATGAGAAACCTATGTGCCGAATGGATGTGTCAAGAAAATTCAATTGAAACCGAAAACATTACCAGGAACTTCTTCGTCGTCACTGAATACTGCGTATATAACAGACAAAGCCATCCTGCAAATTGGTATTCTCTGTTATAACACTTCACGGCGCAGAAAAGACTTATATAGATGTTTTCATTTTAGTGGTCGAAAGAACCAATCTAAATATGAGTAATCAGTGTGGGAATCAAAACCCGAGATATATGTAAATGACTACATCCTTAATTCATTACGCTGAACCTTAAAGATGAAGTCGAGAAAGGCATGTAATACATAAATCAAGCCATCATAGTGAAGGAGCTATACAGGGAAAATTACATCAGCCAAAAACCTAAATTTCGATAGAAACAAATTTCTTATTGAAGAGCTGCATTAACACCCATAACAATGGCATGGAGAAAAATCAAAGCAGTAATGCACTAGGTGCTAAGCAATCGAAAGCAATATTATCATTCTGTAATGCTAACATAAGAAATCTGAGTGTTCATTGTGAAAATTCAATCAGTGTTTCAAAATGAATGCTCTGTTCATAAACTGGAAATAAAAAAGAAAACGAAAGAAATATCAGAACTGCTAACATCGTGATGTTTTTATTATTAGCGTAGCACTGAAATATAAAAATAAAAGAAATTCTTTATTCTTACATTTACAAGATTTTCTGGTCAATGTGACCAATCAAAAAGTCTATATTGTCAACTCCAATAGGCATTCCAAAGTCAGAAATACATAAAGATGGAGCCAAACAGCTTCGAAAGATAAAATCTATTTTATTTGGTGCTAACTAAATTCTAAAATTCATGAACTGAGGAACGGATATCCAGTCCTTGGACACTCGAGTACATTACTGAGTACATGGCAGAAAATGTCCCCGCAGCAATCATTCTATAATCGGACAACATAGATCAATGAGAACAATGTACTGTATATGTTTTTCATTAATTGAAAATTTTAAAGGAGTGATATGTGGTGCAAACCTTGTAATGACCAGACCAAAGAAAACCACATAAAAACCCAGCTTGAAAATCCGAGCTTTCTTCTCAGAGTTAAGCACTCTAAAAACTTCAGTGACGTCAATCAGATGCTGCCGACTCAAGTATCTGAAATGAGAAAAGAAAAGCATATATAACATCAGGATGAGAGGATTTAACACCATCGGGTTTCACTCATATCATTGTTTTTGTTAGGATAAGTGACGAGTCTAAACTACATTTTTTTTTTTTTTTTTTCACACAACTTCATTGAGCTCACTCATAGTTGATAAATTCTTTCTTCTGTGATCATCCTAATGCAACATCAAGGTATTGTAAATTGTAACCACTTTATGAACACCTCCCAATTTTCCCCTTTCTATAATTACTTTATTTGCAAGCCTGTTCATTCTTAAGTTTTGTATCATATCATTATTACGACTTCAGTAATTGATTCCACCCTTCTAACTCAAATAATGTGAGATGATTCATACTATTTTGACATGAATTTAATAAATCAGCTTTGTGAGGGCACAAAATGCAAAGAGATTCATTGAAAAATAGCGAACAGACCAAATAATATTGTATCCTTAATAGAATAATCTTCCCATCAAGGATATGAAAATAATCCAAGAAAACTGACTGGAAATGATAGGATACTTGCCGCTTCATATTATAATATGCAGGAGGTAGAGATATTAGAAACATGATCCAATGCCCCGTCACAAGAAGCAGGATACTGAATGCCCCTTGTAATAAATACTCAGCAAGGATTACAGAGTTGACACGAGATGATAATTCGTATGGATTCAAGTAGTCAGCCTCCAAATCAGAGAAGCCGAGGAACTGCAGGAAACAAACAATATTTTGAGATGGATGTGATTGTGCAACCATTACTACAACACCCAACCACAACAAATAGATTCGAAAAACAATAAACAGCAAATTAAAACATTACATAGAGAAATAGGGAGAGCAAAAGAGAACTGGATTACATTTGGCAATAGATTGGAGAACATACATACCAATTTTTGAAAAACATAACACAGTTAATCTAGATTGATAAAAAAAAAAAAATTAAGCTCATATGAGAACAGAAATTAAACAAATCTAGGATTAGAATCACAGCAGAAGTGTAAAAATAACTTTAAAACAAACTTGTCCAGACTCATTGCACAATAGCCATCCCTTATACAGCTCTGGTTCCTTGGATTGGACACAATTCAAAATTAGGGTTTTGGATTCATAATAAAAACATAATCATTACTCAAAAATTCCTTTGAACTCATTTCAAGTTATAATAATTCTCCTGCCATTAATGAAGCTCCAATACCAAATTCAGCAAAAGCGCCACAGGAAACAATGGACCCCCCAAAAATTAAACCACTATTAGAATACTCTAAGCAGCTAGGGTTTTGCTTAAGTACAACGTGACATGCTTCCTTCCAACTACGTAATGCAAAATCAAACAAACCACAATGCGTGTTTAAATAAACGATCCGTTAAAGAATAAATCTTACCTGATAAAAGTTCAATCCCAGTAGACCGACGTTTATGAATGAAAAAATTAACCACAGAATCGGTTCCCAAGCCATTCCTCCTCCAATAACACAGATATTCTACCGTTGTTCAACCAGTAAACTATTAGATCCCTTCATTATCATCAAAAATTTGAATCAATATCAATTAGATCATTCAAACTTTACAGAACCGCTGTCTGCGACCTGGTGAACAGAGTTCTCATGATGTTTGCCACGATGGTTATACAGATTTGGGCCACAATCCAGAAGTGGCTTAATTGGGCCGTTGGACAGCCCAATAAAATTCTAGAAGTGGCCCAATTGTAATACGACGTCGTTTTGGAAGTTTGGGATAGCTTCCGACCTCTCTGGAAGCACGGTTGATGGTGAAGCTTGTGCGAGGGGTCTTCAAGGACGATGCTGAATATTCCGAAGCAGAAACCCGAAATCCATTTTGATTTCCAGTTCAATCACTCTTTCTTTCTTCAGGCACCAAAGATTCTGCGGTAATTATTCTTTACTTTAATGCATATTTTATTCTTTGCTTCTATTCTGATTTGGCTTCGTCTGGTTGTTGATTTCTCGCTATCTACATTTGTACCGTTGCCAGTTTCTTAATTATGGAATATTGCTATGTTTTGATAAATTTGTGAATCGGCAATTGACTTTTAACTGAGGAGCTGAATAAGGTAATTCTGATATATTGTTTACTTTATTGAGCCTCTGATCAGAACAATATTCTTTTTAGGTTTAAAAATCTTGCTATTGCCACTGTCGTTTTGTGCGTATAATTCATGTGGCTGCAGGCGAGTATGGTGACAAAAGGGTTCTTTTTAATTCGTATTTTTATTGCCGATGAATGTGTCAGTGTAGGTTTCAAAAATCCATTTGTATGGTGGACATGTGCCTGATTGATCCTTTTTGTGTGCAAGGTTCTTTTTGCTGGATTGTTGTTCTAATGTCATGCCAAAATGACAGTCTGTACTCCCATCACTACATGCTCCAAAAATGTGGTCTGCTTAATTAAAAATGTCCAAAGACAGATGGTTATTCATGTTTCCGATGCCTTTGTTCTGTCGCCGTATAATTGCTGCGCGTATGGCAAGCATTCGAGATTGCATTATGCTACCATCTGCCCATCTTCTCGTTTGTCTATAAATGGATTTCAGGCATTTCAGAGTAATTGTTTCAGATTCGTAGGTGGAGGTGAACATAGCAAAAGTTGCAATTCGTTGTCATTTAAAAGTTTAGTTAATCGTAAACGGCGTCGGAGGACTCACATTAATGTTTCAACTGGATGGGAGAACATGAATTTGAGACTTTTGATGCCTAAACAAACAAATACATCCAAATTTAGGTGTAGTGTTGGACCCTTCTTTTGGCAGCAACAGCGTAGTGTATCTGCAGGGCTTTTTCTAGGATTGTTGGTTTGTTTTTGTACTCCTCAACCTTCATATGCTGAAGTATTTGATGGAGACGAAAGGAAGGAAGGATGTTGCGAGGCTTCTGCTAAGAAGGAAGTTTTGACAGACTACTCGGTGATTGGTCAGTAGCCTGTGATTTGCCTTATTCCTGTAGTTTCTCTGGATATTTGCTTCAACCGATTTCGATTTCTGTTTCATACTGATTAGGCATACCTGGAGATGGAAGATGCTTGTTTCGCTCTGTTGCCCATGGAGCCTGTGTACGAGCAGGAAAGCCTCCTCCGAGTGAGACAAACCAAAGGGAACTGGCAGATGAATTGCGTTCTATGGTATGTTCAATCCCCCTTCCTCCCCACCCCCCCCTTTTTTTTTCATTATTCAGTATTTGATCTGTTTATGCAAAATAGTAGTATATAGATCCGGAATGAGGTGAAAGGCATGAAATTGCTGCTTGATGTTGAGTTTAGAGGGATGATCGTCGTTGAAATCTTCTGTGCCAAAGTCTAATAATGCCATATTTATAAATCGAGTAGAGTTAGTAGAATTCCATGGTTTATAAACTACCAACACCTTTCCAATCTTTTGAATTGTGTCAGCAAAATTTGTCTCCTAACTATGGATCTGCGGAACTTTATTAGGTGGCTGATGAATTCATCAAGAGACGGAAAGAAACCGAATGGTATTCATATTCTAACCTTTCAGTTATGCTCATTCTTGCCGTCAATACTATGTATTCTCGTCTCGTTAGTCCCTGTAGAACTATCTTTGACTAACAAAATGCCACCTAATTGAGGCAACATTTCTTGTTGTTTTTCTTTGCTATGCTTGAATTTGTAGATTTGCAAATCGGATTTATTGCTTAATGCTTAGTTGATCAATTCTCAGGTTCATTGAAGGGGATTTTGACACATACGTTTCACAAATGAGGAAGCCGCATATATGGGGAGGCGAACCGGAGTTACTGATGGCTTCTCATGTCCTCCAGTAAGTTCATGTTTACTATAATCTTCTTGAGATGGATATTTTTTGGTTTAATAAAGAATCTCAATTAGTAGCAGCAGTGTGATCCTTTCGAGGTTTAGATTTGGGTTTGGAACTTGAGATAGTAAGGGTGTGTTTGTTTGGAGGATTGGATTTTGAGTTGGGATTTGAATAGTAAAAATTTTGAATTTAAATAGTTGTATGATGTGATATAAATAGGTGTTGATGTGATGTTTTGAATGTAAAATTGATTTTTAGTATAATATAAAAAATAAAAAATAGGTGTTTGATTTGATGTTTTTGGGGGAAAAAAATTGGATGAATAGTAAAAAAAAAATCCAATCCCTCAAACAAACACACCCTAAAAATCTGAATTTAAATAGTATTTGATGTGATGTTTTTAATGTAAATTAAATCTTTTGATAACAATTAAATGAAAAATAAATATTTGATTTGATGATTTTTGGTAAAAAATTTGACAAATAGTTTGAAACACCGTCCAAAACTTAATGAAACGGAGCCCTATCGTTGGAAGACTAAATTGATTACCACATCATGCTTACAACTGATCCTATTAGCTTTTAATTGAGAGCATTTAGGCATGTTTGGATTTTTTTGTTAATAGTGTCGAATGTGACGTTTTGAATGAATTAATAAGTTTTGATCTAATTTTTTAAATGAAAATTGGGTTTTGAAGGAGATGGTTTCTTAGAAAGAAAATCTACAATGAATAGTAGGGAAACAAGTTTTAAAATATAAGTAAAAAAAGCAAAGGCTCCGTTCACCCAATGTTCTTAGATGAATCGATTTTTTTGTGTGTGGTATGAAAAATTATGTCAAAATATAAAATATATTATTTTAGATTGAATATTTGACATTTTTTACTTTTTGGAATGATTTTTTGACTCTATAATGTGTATATGAGGTTTTTTTTTTTTTTTTTTTTTTTTTTTTACATTTTTACTTTTGTATAAAATATTTTATGTTTTTTATTATTATTTTTGAAAAATCGCAATTGAGAAATAATATTAAGAGAACATAGCGTAGTGTTTGCATTCTTTATTTAGTGAAATTGATTGATGAGCTTGGTTTACTGTCGTATAGATCATTTTCTTGTGTAGTTGGTGTAAATGCGACATGGGAACTAATAAATAGCGTAAACTGCCAGGATGCCGATTACAGTGTACATGCACGACAAAGATTCTGGCGGCCTGATCTCCATTGCTGAGTACGGGCAGGAGTACGGTAAGGACAATCCTATATTAGTCCTCTATCACGGCTACGGTCACTACGATGCGCTGCATGTTCCTGGTAAGGGTGGGACACGGCCGAGGCTGTGACATTCCGGCCGGAATGGCTGTGATCTAATTTTACTAGTTAGTACACAGCAGATGACTTCTAGCAGACTTTGAAGTATACAAAATATACATTGATTTGTTGTACCTTTTCCATTTGTAATAGTTGTTGTCTTAGCTGATAAATTCTTTCTAATATACAGCGCCTATGCGTTTCTTGTTTATATATAAATATATATTTATTTATTTATTTACTTCTATGATACGGGAATTCGCAATGATATACAGTTGTGATAACCAAACACAATCATATTATTCCTTACTAGATATTGACTTTGTGCTGAAATGGTATTTTATTTTTATTTTTTATGAAGTTGAATCCGCAGCTGCTACCCATATGTACGCACTGAATTTAATACCGTACAAACTAGCCACCCATATGTACGCACTGAATTTAATACCGTACAAACTAGCCACCCATATGTACGCACTGAATTTAATACCGTACAAACTAGCCACGATAAGACAAATCACACTAGTTACACAATTCTATTTCTCTAGCTTCTTCCTCTTTCACTTTCGGATTAATATTATAAAATTTAATATATCTATATTTATATAAAATATATCATATACTCCATATTGTTATGTAATATATAATGATATAATGGTGCTAAGTATATAGATATATGTATACCGCCTTGAAGGGTATTAAATATATGTATGTATATATTTGTATATATATATTGTGTGGATATGTAATAGGGTTATTATTATTATTATTATTATATATATAACATAAGTGAGTAGATGTAATGATGATAGGAGTAATGGATTTCTTTGATACATAAACCAAACAGAGGAGAAATTCGGATGTCATTCATGTCCAGTGTATTTTACAATTCACTCATATATATATATAGGCACATCAAATTCCACATTGATTGAATAGAAAAGTATCCACGTATCTCCTACATCACATGTTAGTGTATTCTACGTGTTTACTTCGTAATACTCTCCCTTGGATACTTTTATATAAAGAATGTGCCTCGTTAAAACCTTACTATGAAAAAACCCTGTGGGAAAAATCATAGTGAAGGAAAAAGAGTACATCATTCTTGTATTAATGCGCTTCCCATGTTTTGGACTTTATTTGATGTCATTCATCCGACGCATTCCAATTCCTTGCACCAGTTTGTTGAATGTTGCAGTCGGCAGCGCCTTCGTAAATAAATCTGCAGAATTTTCGGACGATCGAATTTGTTGCACACTAATTTCACCATTTTTCTGAAGATCATGAGTGAAGAAAAATTTCGGAGATATATACTTTGTCCGATCGCCTTTAATATACCCTCCTTTTAATTGAACTAGACAAGCTGCATTATCTTCAAATAATATTGTAGGAGGTAATACATCATCAGAAATCAAGCCACAATTTTTCTGAATATGATGAGTCATAGACCTCAACCAAACACATTCACGACTGGCTTCGTGAATTGCTAAAACCTCAGCATGGTTTGAAGAAGTTGTTGTTATTGTCTGTTTAGCAGATCTCCAAGATATTGCGGTTCCTCCACAGGTAAATAAATAGCCAGTTTGAGATTTTGCTTTGTGTGGATCAGACAGATAACCAGCATCATCATAACCAATTAATTCATTTTGAGATTCACTCGAATAAAATAAACCAAGGTCATGAGGTCCCTGAAGATAACGAAAAATGTGTTTGATACCATTCCAATGACGCTTTGTGGGGGATGCGCTAAACTTGGCCAGTAGATTTACTAGAAAAGATATATCTGGCCTGGTACAATTTGCGAGGTACATTAATGCGCCAATAGCGCTCAGATATGGTACCTCGGGACCAAGTATCTCTTCATTTTCTTCTCTTGGCCTAAATGGATCTTTACTGGGATCAAGAGATCTGACCACCATTGGTGTACTCAGAGAGTGAGATTTATCCATGTAAAATTGTTTTAATACCTTTTGGATATATGTTGATTGATGGATAAATATTCCATTGTTCACATGATCCACCTGTAATCCCAAACAATATTTTGTCTTTCCAAAATCTTTGATCTCAAATTCTTTCTTTAGATATTCAACTGCAATTTGGATCTCTTCAGGAGTTTCAATTAAATTGAGATCATCAACATATATAGCAATAATGACAAAATTATAAAGACGCATGGGCATATTGGATCATTAGTATAACATTCTTTTATTAAACATTCGCTCAGACGGTTATACCACATTCGCCCTGATTATTTAAGTCCATACAATGACTTTTTCAATTTGATGGAATATGATTCCCTTGGGTTTAATTTGTATGCTTTAGGCATATTGAATCCCTCAGAAAACCTTCATATAAATATCATCATCCAATGAGCCATAAAGATATGCAGTAACTACGTCTAAAAGACGCATATCGAGCTTTTCTCGCACTGCTAGGCTTACAAGGTATCTAAATGTTATTCATCGATAACTGGAGAGTATGTTTCATCAAAATCTACTCCAGGTCTTTGTGAGAATCCCTGAGCTACAAGACGGGCTTTATATCTCACAATTTCATTATGCTCATTTCTTTTTCGTACAAACACCCATTTGTATCCAACTGGTTTTATACCATCCGGTGTTTGAACAATTGGTTCGAAGACCTCCCTTTTGTTTAATGAATCAAGGTCTGATTGAATCGCATGTTCCCATTTTGGCCAGTCATTTCTTTGCTGACATTCATGAACCGATTTTGGCTCTGGATCCTCGTTTTCTTCCATTATATCAAGTGCTAAACTGTATGTGAAGGCATTATCAATAATTGCCTCCTTACGGTTCCAACATTTTTTTGAAGTAACATAGTTAATTGAATTTTCAATAATCCCATCATGTTCTTCAAGATCGTGCTCTTCTGGAGCAACTATTTCAGGATTGACTTCCTCATTAGATTGAGGTTATCAATGTCATTCATGATATTTTCATGATTATCATCATTAATTCCTCTTTTCTTTCGAGGGTGTTTATCTTTGGAACCGAGTGGTTTACCACGCTTTAAGCGTGTCGTTGATTCATTAGCACTTGTAATTTGTCCACCAGGGACAATTATTTTAGCCGAAGCATTAGCAGCTTGGATATATGATCGAGTAACTTTGCTCGAGTCATTGAATGCATCCGGTAACTGATTTGCAATATTTTGCAAATGTATAATGCGTTGAACTTCTAGTTCCACTGCTTTGTGGAGGATCACAAAAATTCAATGGGATTTTCCAATTAATATCCCTTTTCGGTTCGTTTTTGTCTCCCCCTAATGTCGGAAAATATAATTCGTCAAAATGACAATCTGCAAATCTTGCAGTGAATAAATCACCCGTCATAGGCTCAAGATATTTTATAATTGACGGCGATTCATATCCGACATAAATGCCCAATCTACGTTAAGGACCCATTTTTGTATGTTTGGGGGGTGGAATAGGAATATAAACAGCACACCCGAAAATGCGTAGATGAGATATATTTGGTTCGTGACCAAATACTAACTGCATTGGGGAATAGCTATGATAGCTTGTCGGCCTCATTCTTATAAGTGTTCCTGCATGTAAGATTGCATGTCCCCAAGCTGAAACGGGCAACATAGACCTCATCAGTAATGGTCTAGAAATCAATTGCAATCTTTTAATAAGTGATTCTGCCAGGCCATTTTGTGTATGAACATGAGCAACTGGGTGCTTCATATTAATTCCAATCGACATGTAATAATCATTAAATGCATTCGATGTATATTCACCAGCATTATCCAAACATATAGTCTTAATTGGATTATCGGGAAATTGTGCCCGTAATTTAATAATTTGGGCAAGCAATCTCGCTAATGCCATATTGCGAGTAGATAATAAACAAACATGTGACCATCTGGTAGATGCATCAATAAGCACCATAAAATATTTAAATGGCCCACACGGTGGGTCTATTGGTCCACATATATCCTCGTGTATTCTTTCAAAAAAATGTAGGTGATTCAATACCTACTTTAGCTGGCGATGGCCTGGTTATCAATTTTCCCTGAGTGCAGGCAACATATGTTAACTCATTTGAGTTTAACACTTTTTGATCTTTTAATGAATGGCCATGCGAATTCTCAATTATTCGCCTCATCATTATACTGCCAGGATGCTCAAGGCGATCATGCCATATTTGAAAATCGGTAGTCTTTTGATCTACCGTGAGGTGTGTTTCAACAGCACCTAATCTGGCATAATATAAGCCAGTAGAGAGTGAGGGTAATCTCTCAATGATGCATTTCCTTCTATCAATGATATTGGTGATCAATAAAAATTCACCATCGGTATCACTCATAGTTTCAATATGATAACCATTTTTCCGAATGTCATGAAAGCTCAGTAGATTTCTTCGAGCTTTAGTGGCCAACAGTGCATACTGTATCACAATTTTCATCCCCGCGGGGAGAAATATAATGGCTTCTCCAGAGCCTTCAATTAATTTCTCACTGCCACTTATTGTATTGACATTCATTCTTTCCTTTTTCAAATGGGAGAAATATTTTTCGTGTTTCAATATAGTATGTGTCGTTGCACTGTCAATGAAACACATATTTGCATCATTTTGATTGACATCCATTTAACCTTCAAATATAAGTAAACGCAATATTAATAAAGGCGGATATAAGTATTACAAAATGTATTACAAAAAGGTAGTATGCTATAATTTAAATATTATAAAACATAATGTAAAATGACATAATATGTCTATCACTGGGGGTTTGCTGGATCTACGATAAAATCCGCTATATCAAGATGTGTTGTGTCGTAATCCAAAAGATCATCATCGGAGTCGTCATCGTTATCAACGTGATTAGTCTCGACCTCCTTCCCCTTTTTCTGCAGTGAGGCTTGATAAAGATTAGCTAGGTGTTTGGCTGTTCTGCAGGTATTGGCCCAATGGCCTTCAATGCCACACCGATTACAACTGCCGATTTGCCTCTTTCCCTGTTTAGCCTTTTCGGCTATATCCACATGTTGGGGTTTACTCTGCATCCTGTTAACGTCAAAACTGCGGCGATTGTAAGGGGTATATCGACCGCCTTGACTCTCACGACCGCAACCACGTCCACGGCCTCTACCACGTCCTCGGCCTCGTTCAGAAAATGTCACGTTCGCTTCAGGGAACGGACTGGAACCAGTGGGCCGCGACTGATGATTTTTCATCAATAACTCATTATTTTGCTCAGCTAATAAAAGACATGCAATGAGCTGTGAGTACTTTTGAAAATTTTTCTCACGATACTTCTGTTGCAGCACAACATTCGAAGCATGAAAGGTAGAGAGAGTCTTCTCCAATTTATCATTCTCAGTAACATTTTCTCCACAGAGTTTCAACTGAGATGTAATCTGATGGATAACAGAGTTGTACTCTGTAACAGTTTTAAAATCCTGCAACCGCAGGTTAAGCCAATCATGTCGGGCTTTGGGGAGAGTGATATATTTCAAGTGCCCAAATCTCTCCCTCAATTCATTCCACAAATCTAGTGGATCTTTCACCGTCAAATATTCAGACCGTAGAGGAATGTCCAAATGATGACGGATGAAAATAATAGCATTAGCCCGATCTTGGCTTGTAGCCGCATTTTCACTGGCAATTGTATGAACAAGGCTCATTGAAACCAGATGCATTTCTACATCCAGGAACCAAGTCAGAAAATTATTGCCGGTGAGAGAAAGAGGTTTAAAAGAAAATTTTGCAAGATTTGCCATAGTGTAGAAAATAGATAATATAGATAGTATAAAAATAAAACTTACCAAAAATAAAATTGGCAAGAGCCTGATAACGTGTTATGTAATATATAATGATATAATGGTGCTAAGTATATAAATATATGTATACGTCCTTGAAGGGTATTAAATATATGTATGTATATATTTGTATATATATATGTTGTGTGGATATGTAATGGGATTATTATTATTATTATTATTATTATTATTATTATTATTATTATTATTATTATTATATAACATAAGTGAGTAGATGTAATGATAATAGGAGTAATGGATTTCTTTGATACAGAAACCAAACAGATGAGGAATTCGGACGTCATTCATGTCCAGTGTATTTTACAATTCACTCATATATATATATATATAGGCATATCAAATATCCACATTGATTGAATAGAAAAGTATCCACGTATCTCCTACATCACATGTTAGTGTATTCTGCGTGTTTACTTCGTAATACATACCCCTTTATTAATATATCTATATTTATATAAAATATATCATAATATACTCCATATCATTTGAACTTTTGTATTATATTAAAAAATAATATTCTTTCCGCCCCATATTTCTCTGTCCATTTATTTTTTTTGCACGCAATTTTAGAAATATTAGTATTATATTATGTTGTGGTATGAATAAAGAAGAAAAGACTAAAACTTATTACTATTATGTGATATAAAAATAGTGACATTTGTGTAATATACTCTAAGTTGGAAGAGTATATAAAGTTAAGTAAAAAATATACAGTTACTAAAACAGAAATAGATACTTTGGCTGAAGGGAGGGAATACTTTTTATTGATTAATGAAAATCTGTAAGATAATTGTGATATTTTTATCATTTGTCTTTTATGTATAAATTAATTATATGTATAATAATATATTTATAAGAACCGAGGGTAAAGAGTTGTTATGTAGACTTAATCTCAACGTTCGTCTTTACTACTGATCTTGATGAAAAAATTAAATGTATTTTAGTATTAGTATATGCTCATTTTTATGATAATAGAAAAAAAAAATATTTTAAATAAAATTGATGAAAATAATAAAAATGATATTTTTAGTTGGGATGGAGAGATTATATTATATCCACTTGAAAAAAAAAATAATAAATTAATATAAAATATAATTTTCTATATTAGGATACATTTTTTCATATTTTACATAAAAAAAATACTTTTTATTTATTTATTTTATTTTTTCAACATCATCTATGACATGAATCAATTGGTAATATAAGTAGTAATTTTTTATTTTTATGTTAATTCTGTGTTTAATAATTTTACAGGATTTTTTAAAATCATCTTATTTAATTTTATTTACATATAATTATAATTTAAAAAAATCTATCCAAAATAATTTTTTAAAAATAATTTAAAACTTGAGAAATTTAATAAAAACACATAAAAAAATATATATTTTATTTATAGAACACACTTGTTATTCCATAAAACTAATATTATCATTGTTCTTGTTAAAATATATTTATACAAGATATATATACTCCTAAATAATTTAAAATGAATTAATAGTTATAACTAATTTGTTTTTTTTTTTTTTGAAAAAAACCAAATTAAATTAGATACGAGTTTTAAAAATATATCTATATAAATTTATTAATCACTTTTATTGTATTTTTAAGCAAGACAAATAATAGATTATACAGTACAGAATTGTAATTTCATACGAAAACCGTTAATGGGTCCCGCAGTTGCCGTTACACTTTGATTTCCTGTTTTCAGGAAAAAAAAAAAATGGAAAATGGAAAAAGAAAAATCTCTTCTTCTCTGCGTAGCGTTCCGTAATTCAAAATTCAACAAATGTTCAGATTGATATATAATCTGTAATGAACCCTAACGCTGAATGTATGATCTCCTTCTTCCGAGTTAGCCAAACAAACGCCTCGATTACTGCTTCAATTTCTGTTTGAATGAGAAGAATCGACCTTAGAATCGTTTTCCATGAACTTGTGCTGAAATTTTGGATGGTTGGGGATCTGGAATCGCATTCGGCTTAGAGGTTCCTCTCTGACAATGTCAAATTTCCATGATTTTAATTCGAAGATCGATTATGTATTCAAGGTTGTGTTGATCGGAGACTCGGCGGTCGGGAAATCGCAATTGTTGGCTAGGTTTGCGAGGAACGAGTTCAGTTTGGAATCGAAGGCCACAATTGGGGTTGAGTTTCAGACGAAGACTCTTATAATTGATCAGAAAACCGTTAAGGCGCAGATTTGGGACACTGCTGGTCAGGAAAGGTTCGTCTCTGTTCCTTTCCTCCATTGATTGTTTGTTTAAATTTTGTTCTGGAGAAATTAGAATCACTCTCAAATCATCACTTCAAGCTGTAGGCTGTAGTTTCCAGATTTATCGATCTCCTCCATTTTCTGTATGCTTATGTTCTCGTGAAAATTCGAATCACTCTGAAATCATCACTTCAAGCTGTAGGTTGTAGGCTGTAGTTTCCAGATTTATTAATCTCCTCCATAACCATTGGCTGTATGTTTATGTTCTCGTGAAATTCGAATCACTCTCAAATCATCATCACTTCAAGCTGTAGAAGCTGTATGCTCTAGTTTTCCAGATTGATTGATTGATCTGAATTAAGAAATTTATCTGAAAACAATCAAAATCTGTTGGTTATTGCTGTGGAATTCATCCAATGCTGATCGATCATATCTATCTCCTGCTTTCATAATCCAATCATCTCGATTGTTTACACAGTTGATTTGCTGAGCAGTTCCTTAGGCACCACAAAAACTAACCTTAGAATTAGGCCTAACTTGTGTTCTTCATCCTTAGGTACCGAGCAGTGACAAGCGCCTACTACAGAGGAGCGGTCGGGGCAATGCTGGTCTACGACATGACCAAGCGCCAATCGTTCGATCACATGGCCAGATGGCTCGAGGAGCTACGAGGGCACGCGGACAAGAACATCGTCATAATGCTCATAGGCAACAAGTGCGATTTGGGGACTCTGTGCGCAGTCCCGGTGGAGGATGCGCAGGAGTTCGCCGAGAGGGAGAATTTGTACTTCATGGAGACATCGGCGCTCGAAGCCACCAACGTGGAAAGTGCATTCATGACGATCCTTACGGAAATATATCGAATTGTGAGCAAGAAGGCGCTGTCTGACGACGGGCACGCCCTCGACAAGGCTGGGTCTCTCAAGGGCACCGCCATCATCGTCGCCGGCGCTGACGCCGATAACAATTCCAGGTCAGGTTGTTGCTTGGGCTCATGAGTCTTTCTTTACTATATAACAAAAATTTTGATCATATAGTGTTTTCTTGCTCTCTCTCTCTCTCTCTTTATATATATATATATGTTTCTTTCTCTCTCTCACACTCATACACACCTCTATGCATATGATCATATATACAGAATTTTGTGTTCTTACACTCCCTCTTGAGAAATGTTCTGATTTTAGTTTCAAGTGTGAATCATTTGTGGTTTTTGGGGTATAAAGATCGGACTGTATTTAACTTGACAATATATTATTTTCCTACTATTAAATTTTTAAGTTTTTAATAAAAATATACTATTATTTTATAATATATAATTTGTTACTGACATTTAATTGTGTGTTCACAATTTGATTTTCTTTAGAACGAATATTTCGAGTTTTTTTCAATAATTTTAAATTTTTTCCACTTAATTTGTTCACTATCATAATTATACACTTTAATTACATTTTAAAATATATAATTTATAATTTTTTTTTTATTTTAAGTAAACTATTTAGTCATCTATAATTATTTTGTTTAAATTATAATCATTTTTACTTAATACATTTCTTAATTACTTACTAAATACTTAAATCTTCGTGCATAAGCAAAAGTGAACATTTAAGTGAGACGAATGGAATATTATTTTTGAATAATAGTAATTAAGAAATAATGTTGTAAGAGCAAAGCTAAACATTTTTTTTAAGTAATATATATTTATAAAAAATTATAAAAGTTGGTTAGATTGACCATCATGTCAAAGAAATTCTTTAAAAGTTTTTTGGATTTTCACATCATACTTTTTTTTCTCTACAATATAATCTCTCTTTCTCCACTTCAATTAAAAAAAAAAGAAAAAAAAAAAAAGAAGAAGATTCATACGAAGAATCTTATGGTTGAACCTTTGTCAATGGTCCTCTTCAAAAATACTTCTACGATATCTTCGATGAGCGGATACAGTAAAATTCTTAAAACGGATAAATGCCTTTTGAGTGTCCCTGGAAAATGAAGGTTGGAAGATTAATGTTGATGGTTCGGCTTTTTAGTCCAGGTAATGCGGGGATTAGATCAGTTATTCGTAGTGGTAAGAATTGGTCTCCTTTATGCTTTCGAAATATATAGGTGTTGTTGATGCTTTTTCAACGGAACTTGAAGCTTGCTACAAGTATTATGTTGCTGAAAAATCATATGGGATATTCACTCTAAAACATGGTAATATAGAAAGTGATTATTTATTCGCGATGACATGAGTTTTAGATAAATCGGTACATTCTTGGCGATTAGATTGCGAGTTCTATGAGACATGTGTAGTGTTCGAAACATGCAAAGGGGATATAGGTTAATCATATTATTAGGGAATTTATAGCAGATAATTTGGCAAAACGTGGTGCAAGAAGAACGTCATGGATACATATATTAGGTGGAATGTAAATGTATTTTCGATAAATAAAATTCATGCTGCTTTAGAAAATATAAAATAAAAACAAAGAATATTAAATAAACATTAAAATTTTGAATTTGAATGTAAGATTTACCTCAAATCTTTCTGCCCTCAATTAATTAATTATCCTCTGAACTTTAATTTCCTTACAAAATTATAAGGATATACTAATACACATAAATGTATTTAAATTAAAATGAAATAAAAGAAATTTGGTTGTGATTTGAATTTTTTTTTATTTGAATATTATTTTCATTTAATATTTTATAAAAATAAAAATCGTGTAAAATAAATAATGGTAATTTGTATTAACATAAAATTAAGACTTAATTAAGGTATAATGAAAGAATTTGTTTCGTAAAAAAATTGATTTGAAATTAAATATTGAGTTGATATCTTTTGTATAAATAATATTTTAATATTATATAATTTTAATTTTAATTTGAAATTATAACAAAATAAATTAAAAAAAATTAACTATAACCGATACCAAGTTATAATAAAAAATGTTATATATTCTTATTTAATAGTGTTTTTATTTATTTATTTTTATTATTTAATAATTATATAAATATTACTATTATTTTTTGTATGATATTCTATGGATTTTGTAATATTTAATTATTTTAATATAATTTATATAAACTTTATAAAATTATTAAAATTATACTTACCAAAATATGACTGCTTTCTTTCTTTTTTTGTTTCTTTTCCTTTTTTTTTTACATCTTCACGTTTCAAATATATCTTTTTTCTTAGGCAAAAGATTAATAAATTTTAAAAACATTTAAATCTTAAATCAATCCATTTAAGAATATTTATTTAGTATTTTAATTTGAAATATTACTTATGTTAAGTATGAAAACATAAATAATAATACTCCCTCCGTCCCATATACCGTGTCTGCTATACTGTAGACACTGTATTTTAGGAGAGAGGTATAATTAGTAGATAATTAAGAATGTATTAGTAAAAATAATTATCCTATAATATAAATAATTATAAATTAAGATTAAGATAACTAATTAGTTTAATTAAATTTTTTTAAAAAATAAAATTATAAAGTTTAAAATGAGATTAAAGTGTGTAATTATTTTCCAAAAAAGGAAAGTGATATGGTATGTGGGACGGACAGAAACGGCAACGTGGACATGGTATGCGGGGCGGATGGAGTATTTTGTAGTATTAAATTATTAACTCTTTTATGAATGTGTAAAATATATATGTGGACACTAAAAATATGTCTAACTTTAATCATGTATCATGTATTTTGGAAGAAAATAAAATTTCAATAAAATAAATATATGGTATTTAATTATGCACTTATGTTAATTTTTTTACAATAAATATCAACCATTAATGCAAAAATTTGCTTAAAATGGAAGATATCTTACAAATATTACGTGCATAAATAGAGTCATAATAAATTTGGTAGCAAAATAAATTAATCTTGTCAATAAAAGAAGTATATAAATTAATATCTTCCGAAAAATGATAATGATATAAAGATCTTGGCGAGGAAGGAAGGTGCACAATCAAATCCGTCAATAATGGAAAAGAGCATTTGATGGAAAAGAAAAGATTATAAAAATTCATATTGGCCAATCAAAACGCGTCACGTGGCACCATTAAAAAAGGAAGCCGAAGCCACCCATCCCCTATAAATAGGAGCCATGGCTAGTTCATTTGAGACACCGAAGTTACATCAAAGATTCAAGCAAATGGTAAGTCTCTAGACTCTCTCTATATTAATGTTCTTTATCAAAAGTCACTTATTTGGACAAATGATCCAATATTAGTTGACGAATCGATGGAGTTAACGTTCTTCGTCGTATGTCTAAGCCGGAGGAAAGATCAAAGCTTCCAAAGTCGTTGAGGAATTCGTCAAAGCCAAGGGAAGGTCTCTAAAGTTCCTCTCAAAGTTTCAAGATGTTCATCGCATTCTTCAACAAAGTATTAACTAAGTTTTCTTCAATCCAAAAGTCAAAGGGACACGTCGCCAAAAGTGTTATGGAGCACCAAATCCACCTCTTCAAGAATCAAAGCTCCAAAAGCCGTTGAAGAATCCATCAAAGCTAAGGAAGAACATCCAAAATTCATCTCAAAGCTTCGAGGTGTTCATCGCGTTCTTCACCAAAGTATCAACTCGGCCTTTTTTGATCGAAAAGTCAAAGGGACATGCCACCGAAAGTGTTATGGAGCACCAAATCCACATTCTCAAAGATCTAAGCCGCAGATCGTCTAAAGAGGATATCAAATCCAAAGCTTAGGATCAAATCGTCCGCACGAAGACCAAAACCCTCCAAAAGCGGCAAAGCCAAAGCAAAGATCAAAGCTGCGGATCATCCAAAGAAGACATCAAATCCAAAGCCGACGATCAAATTGCCCACACGGAGACAGAAATTCTCCAAAAGAAGGAAAAGACAAACCAAATATCAAAGCCTCGGATCGTCTAAAAAAAATATCAAATTCAAAGCCGACGATGAAATTGCCCTCCACGGAGACCAAAGCCCTCCGAAAGGCGGCAAAGCCAAATCAAAGATCAAAGCTTAGATCGTCCAAATGGGACATTAAATCCAAAGTTGACGATCAAATTGTCTGCACGGAGACCAAAGCCCTCCAAAGTCCGGCAAAATCAAACCGAATACCAAATCTCTTCGGATCAAAGAAGCCATAGAAAACCAAATTGGAAAACAAATCGAACCGGAAGGAGAATCAAATGACCACTTTAAATTCAAATCAAGTATAATTTGTATAAATTTTGTATTTATTAAAAATAACACAATATTTTGTCCACAATATATTCGTAAAATATGTAGGAAGTTTTTGTTAGGTTAACACACATAGTCTTTTTATTCATAGTTATTTTAATTAGGAGTAAAAAAATAGCAAATTAGCAAAATATTGCGAGTATCGCATAAAAAAATACAATATATCAAAAATTTGATATACCAAAAAGTTTAGTACAATGAGACCTTTTTTTGTAACGGTACTATTATATAGTTTGAAATTTTCAATAGATATATATTTTATATTTGGTATTCAATATGTTGGTATATACCAATAATTTGGTATATTCATACCAAAGTTATTAATTACATCCTTCCTTCCAATATGATATTTTAGGCAGTCTAGATTAATATGTTATTAATAATAAGTTATGATATTATTTTATTATTTTTTATATGAGTAGTATTGTTAGTATTTTAAATATTTTTATTATTATATCTCAATAAAATATATATTATATGGATATCATTTTATAAATAATAAAATTTTGTATAATACAAATAAATATATTTATTTATTTATGATTAACTTAAAACTAATTTTATAAAAAATGAGAAATTTTAAATATAGATAAAACAATTTGTTTATTGAAGAAAGATATAGAAATGAAAGGGTTTTAATGGTCATAAGATGTTAGAAATTTAATTAAATCGATTTATATTTTTTAAATATGCTTAAGATAAATAAATTTATTAAAAATATAAGATTGATTTATATATACCACATGACATGACGGAGGGAGTATAGTTTTTGTTCTTCTAAAATTATTTTTATCTTCAACATTTAGGCATGAACGATACATTCGGTATATCAAATTATCAGTATGATACTATATGCATATTTGTTCTACCGAATTTTTAATATGTCAATTTAATTTTTGACACTGTATAGGTATTTTTTTTTCTTGGTAACATACTGATAGTTTTGATATAGTATACTATGAATCGTCATTTTGGGTATGGTATAAGCTCATTTATAATATAAATTTAATTTAATTTAAACAAATAAAAGCAAAGATGAACCAAAACTCTACTTGGCATAATACAAATAGTTGGACTTAACCGGGCAGACAAAGCTATATATTTTTTTTAAATAAAAAAAAATAATTTTAATATTTTAGACAATACATTACATGATAAATAAAGATTAACCGTGGTCCCGTAAGGAATGACGTGTTAGTGTGGAGAGTGAACATATAACCATGAGATCATGGGTTCAAACTCCGATGCCTCTAGGTCCATCTGCTACATATGGTTGTCGAGCCTAGTTTGCACTGTATTAGGTTAACCCAGAGTGCACTCGTTGAGTAGCGGGTGCGAGTTCCCATGTTATTAAAAGAAAAATATTGTAAAGAATGATTTGGTGGCGTGAAAAGTGAAATTATGTGAACAGTTCGCTTAATATAATATTTGAAATGAGAGTTTGATTTTTTATTTTTAAAAAATAAAATTGATGAATAGTAAAAATATTTAGGAAAAATCTGAAAAAACATACAAATCTTTAAATTTATATTATAAGGATTTGTTAGTTTGAAATATTTTTTTATATGATTTATGAGGAATTCTATCAATCATTAAAATAAAATATACTACTTATTATATATACTGAGAATTATTGAAAAAAAAAATTATTGGAAAACAAGCTTAAATAATTGTTACAATTAATTTCAATTTCAATTTTTTACTTTTTAGTATATGACTACAAATAATTACACTAAATTAATTATAGTAGTTATTTGTATCCATAAAATATTAAAGAAATAAAAATATTACATTTTATTACAAATACAACAAACCAATTAAATTCAAAATAATTAATTTTTAATGACAATACAAAAAAAGAAATAATGTAATTGGATAGGAGGGAGAGTACTATTTAAGATGTGTTTGGTTGGACATTAGGATTTTGAGTTAGAATTTTGAATATTAAAAAAATTAAATTTGAATAATTTTATAATAGTAGTAATATAAATAGATATTAGTATAATATTTTAAATATAAAATTATTTTTTATATAATATAAAATTTTAAAATAAATATTTAATTTAATATTTTGATTTTTTTTTAAAAAATAATACTCCATCTGTCTCATTTATTGTATCTATTTTTTTATTTTTATATGTCTCAATTATTTTGTTAATTTTTTTTAAAAAAATTATACATTTGAATTACATATTAAAATTTTTAATTTATATATATATATTTTTAATTTTAATTAGAGTAATTGGTTATCTTAATTATCTAAAATTATTTATATTATAGATAATTATTTTCACTAATATATTATTAATTATTTACTAATTATACCCCTCATAAATTATCGTATCTGTAAATGAGACACAGTAGAATAAAATTCGAGCCCAAATTCCAAATCAAACACACCTTTAAAAAAATTCATACAAAAAAATAAATATATAAAAAATATTAAAATTAAGATAGTAATATGTCAATAAGAATAAAATTTATTTATAAAATAAAAAATTGCAATAAAAATCAGTAATTTCTTGTATAATTTAAATCATGATGGTTAAAACACATACTTATGATTTACAAATTTAAATATTATAGTATGTGCTAAGAAATTGTATTTCAATTTCATTCGTATTTTGGGTTTCAATAAATATGCAATTATAGAACTAATCCAATTATCATTTGAATTAATTTTGGGATGGAATCATGGAAAACACAATAATAATTTGGGTAGCAAATTTAAAAATGTGACAATACATTAATTAAAAAGTTTCAAAATTTTATTTTTAAAAATTTCCCTTTGATGCAGTTTTGGTAGTTACCAGCGCTGGGAAGGGCAGAAGAGTAATTACACACCCGATTCGCCCCTCCTCCGGAATAAATTCGAATTCAAAATGAAAGTGAGGTATGGCTATGGCGCCCGACTGCTAAAATTTTGTTTTTACGAATCATCTATCTATAAAAGCCGCCCAATTTTCGTTTAAAAAATTTGCCCATTCGCCTCACTTTCAGAGGGCTCCCTTCTTCCTTGATTTAACACAGGTCTGCTGCTGTTTCAACGAGCTTCGTCATTGCCGGAAACACCGTTATTTCCACGGCGAGTTCGTCAAATAGACCCCGCAAGGAAACTGTTCAAAGGTATTGATTGAAACGAACCCACGGGTTTCTAAACGGTGTCGAGATTCGAGATTGATTTTTGTGGTTGTTCTTCGATAGTGAAAGTTGCTATGAATTATCGCAGTTGTGCAGTAGTACTTTAATTCTTCCTTTAAGTAGATTTCGTCTGTGTTCCTATTCCCTTACGAACGAGTTTTTGAAATTTAGGGTTTAATATGAATATTTGGAAGAAATCTGAACAATTGGTATCTACTGACGGTTTTATGTGCTGTATTGTTGGGGTTGTGTTGTTAGATACAATGCCGGAGGCCAGGGATCGATTGTTGAGGGAAGAAGATCCGGTAGAGGCCTACAGCCGGAGGAGATTTTCCCGGCCTAGCGGGAGGGATGCTGGGAGAGTTGGTCCAATATTATTTGTTCTAGAAGACGGAGACGGCGACATTGAAGGGGGATCAGCTGCAGGAGGGCGTGGCAGGTGGAGAGACACGCCATTAGTGAGTACGCCTCTAAGAATGGGAGTGACAGGGAGGGGGAGAAGTGTTCTTGGTGCTCCAAGAGTATGGCGAACTCCTCAGATCACAGGCCGTGAAAACCTGTCGCCGCTGGGGAGAGGTGTACGAAGCAGCCGAGGCCGTGGAAGTGTCCTGCCGTCGTGGTATCCGAGAAGACCACTCAACGATATAACTGCGGTAGTAAGGGTAAATTCTCTGTTTACTATATACTTTCGAAGATTTGATATATCTTGTGCTGTTTTGTTTCTTGGTATTCATTTGATTGTGGCTGTTGCTGTTTGGAATCTTGATTACAAACTATGCTTTCATGGCTGGTTGTTTGTGCTTGTCGATTTTCATCGCTGGCGACCTTATTTAGGCTGCCTTTCATATCCATTGAAAATTTGTTGGGACAAATTGATCTTGTTTCTGTTAGTTTGCTATATTTCTCTTCAGAGTTTTTTTATGCTGATGATCTTATTTAGGCTCTCTTTCATATCCATTGAAAATTTGTCGGGACTAATAGATCTTGTTTATGTTAGTTTGCTATATTTTCCCCTTTCCTCTATCTATCTAAATGCTTGTGTATTTGTGTGTGCATGTTTGCGTGATATACGGTGCAATTTAGGTGGATTTGATCTGAGTATTGATTGATGATTGCTTAGTTGATGGCTAGTTATGCTCTCACGCAATTCGTATTGATTTGAGGCTTTTGCAACATCGATCAAACTGTAATCCTACTTGCCTTGCCTTGCCTTGTAGTTCTTGTTTTTGGCTGCATCATTCTTGGATACCAGTTTTTGTAATCTGCATTGATTCGAATAGTTATGCTTGTAACTTGCAATGTATATACGGCTTACTGTGTTCTTGATTATTTGATTGGATGGATCTAACTATAAAAATGTCGACAATGTATTTGAGGAATATACTGGGGTGGTTCTATTAGGTGATGGAGAGGAGAAGGGAGCGACGACAAAGAATAGGCGAAGGCCAGCAGAGGGAGGGAGGTCCTACTCTCCAGGACCGGACGCTGCATGACTCACCGGCACCTGCATCACGTGCTCCTCTAGAGCACAACGACGTTTCTATGACAACCCCTTGTCAGTCGGTTATAAGCAAGCGCTGTCCAATGAGCATCAATAAAGTGCAGAAGATATTGCTCGATATCGCCCATGGAGATTCTTCTTGCCTAACCCCACAGAAGAAGCTCCTGAACAACATCGACAGAGTTGAGAAAGTGGTGATGGAGGAGCTGAGCAAGCTGAAGAGGACGCCCTCTGCCAAAAAGGCCGAGAGGGAGAAAAAGGTCCGGACACTTATGTTGATGCGATGATATAGGATATGATATGATACAATGTGATATGTCGATTCTGATCCTCAACCAAGGTTGAGACAGCATTGCTTGTGCAGGGAACCCAAGGGTCGGGGACGGGTGGCCTGGATTGTATGGCTGATCATTGGCTGATGATCGAACTAACTTTCTTAGTTATATGATCATCGCTCGATGACACACACACACCCTCTTTATCATTTTGAATTCGAGTTTGGATTTGCATCGTTATCGCGATGTTTCTTTCAAGTTGGTGCCGTTATGATTGTGTAGGTGAACGAACGAATGAGGCTTTTCATTTTGGTTGTTATAGAACAGATGGATGGATGGATGGATGTGTACATAATAAAGATTTTGATGTGCTCAATTCTGGTGTTTGGATGTTCCATAAGGTGTTGTGTTCTGTTCTGGTTTAGTTTTTTTAAGTGTAGAATTTTTGTGTTGTAGCTCTGCAAATGCTATTCTGTTCTGGTTCTGAGCAGGCAGGAATTAGATAGATAGATTCATATTTTAATGATCATATATTAGATTTTATTGTTAGATAGATTATCTTTAAAATTTAAGGGTTGGGTTTTGATTTTAATTTTTATTTCTCTTTTTCTATATAAAATGTCTTAGGTAATTTTATTTATTTATATATGACTATGCATTTTAATATTATTTTTAAATTTTAATTAAATCATTGAATTATTTTTATTAAATTTTCTAATCTACATTAAGCGGATAAAGGGCGTAGATATTTCTATTATAGTTTAAGAGAAAAAATAACAATTTCAAAATCTTATTAAGATGACAATTTTGGGCCGACCAGATTTTTTCGTGTCAGATCGGCTTGGTTCCGTTTATTTATTTCGGCCAATAGTTGTAACATTAAATTTCCAACATTAGATTATAATTTTAATTTTGTTTTGTTATACTCCCTCTATCAACATCTTATTTATTCGTTTCCTAAGATGCATGTAGATTTTAGTATATTAGTATTATATTGATATACATAAAGATTATTATACCCCTTTAACGTTTATGATATTAAGTGGTGTTATTCGATGATATTTGTGTAATATTATACAAAGGGTGATGTAATTTTATATTTTAGTGGAAGATACATTTACTTAAAAAAAAAAAATAGATATAGACAGACTAAAATAGCAAAATTGATGAATTAGCTGCGGCGGAGAGAATATATTCATTTTTCTTTTATATAAAAGTATTTTTAAATATATATTTAATTTATTAAATTTGGTCAGGTCAGGCACAGCACTCATCTTACTGTGCCCGGGCATGGCGTGGTTCATTTGCACTGCAGGTTAGACATGGTTCAAAAATTTTTAGGCTTATTTTTTTAGGCCAAAATACAGTTTTTTCGTGCTGGATTCGGATTGAATTTTTAGATCATATCTATTTTTGCCAATTCTAAATCGTATCTTATTTAAAAATAATATTTATAATTATATTAATTTTATATTATACTCCCTAAGACAAGATATTTTAGATAGTGTAGATTAATAAGTTATTAATATTAAGTTATGATATTGTTTTATTTATTTTGTATATGAATAGTGCAGTTGATATTTTAAATATTTTTATAATTATATGTCAATAAAATATGTAATATGGATAATAAAATTTTATACAAATTAATAAACAAAATATATATATTTATTTATAATTAATTTTAATAAATTTTAAATATAGATACAAATATTTTGTTGAGAATATAGATAGAAATAAAAGAATTTTGAATAAATTTTATACATAATAAGTTAAAAATTTAATTAAATTGATTTGTATTTGTATTGATTAAGTATGAATAAATTTATAAAATGATATACTATATTTTAAAATAAATATAAATATATACTAGTTGGAAGAAGAAAAGGAATATAATAACTTGTCTCCCTCTAACACAGAACAGAAACACATGTTCTGATCCTTCAAGTACTCTATTCATTCGGCTTGTGCGTGTGGTGTGTTTATCTCCATATATACAGAGTTACATACACGTTGATTATTATATTATTGTTTACATAGATATAGATATAGATATAGATATAGATATAGATGTATGGTTTCTTGTTTTTATTGATATATATCATCAGATCCCGAAAAGGATCCTTAATTAATTAATTGCATTGGTAGGATATAAATATGACGAGGATGAGGAATGGCGGCGCGGGCGGGCGAGCCAGAGGCCGGTGAGGGCGCGCAGGCGGTGGAAGTACTCCGCCATCACCAGAAAGCTCTGCGCCGATTGCCGGACTGTCAGGATTCCCTGCACCTGCTCAAGGCTCTGCTGCCTCACTGTATCAGCCTGCAGATCAGATCAAAACACCATTAATTCAATTAATTAAAATTGTTATGGAATTAATGAAATTGTAGGTACCTGAGTGAGCAAAGCCTGGAGATGGGCGGCGAGTTTGTGGGTGGCCATAGAGATAGAGGAGATGTCTGAAGTGATGTCTAATATTAGGGTTTCAGTGAGAGATTGGTGGAGAAGGTGGAGAGCCTGGGTTAGGGCTTGCTCGGATTGGCGCGTGGAGTGCTGCACGCCGCACACCATTGCAGCCTGCTCCTCTGTCAGTCCCTGCTGCTGCTCCTCCTCCATCAATTGATCTATTTGCCCAACCACTATCTGCAATTGCATCATTATGATCAATCATCATCACTTATATATGTATATCATAATTCAGCATGCATGCATGACATAAGATCGATGGATCGATGGGCCTGGGCTTTTGTATTTGGTAGATAGAATATTGTTAATGGGAAGACATAGTACTCCATTAGCTAGATACAAGTACAGCAGGAGGAAGAACATGTTTGTGTAAGAAAAGACAGTAGTCAGACCAGAATCAAGAATCAAGTACGTACGTAGGTGTAGGCTAGGTAGGGTGGGGGTGGGAGTAGGTAGGTAGGTGAAGGTTTTATTTGTAATTTTGCATGTATGCTGCAGCTGCTTTTTTCTGTGGGATGAAAGTCAGACCCACTTCCGATTGATAGCCTTAATTTCGTCAACCCTTTTGACCTTTCCACACATTTCTACATGCATATAATCTTCTTACAACACACACTATTATTGTCATTTCTGTTCTTATTACAGAATTTTGTTTAGTTCCAAGTCTTTTTTAATTTGGAATTAAAATGATATTACTCATGTCCTCCTCCAAATAAGTCATATTTGGAGTTTTTTAATAGATTACAAAAAAAAAAAAAGAGGTAATCAAACAAGAAAAATGAGAATAAATTTAGATGACAGATAAAGTATTATTTTTACTAAAATAAAAAAGAGATATATTGGAGTGTGACTGATAAAAATGATATGAAGTAATAATAATCATAATAATAATAAGATTTACTGAAAAAAATAATATATATATATATCTATTCTAAGAATCATTTCACTACTAAAATACCTCATTTCAAACTATATCATTTTTACTTTCTAAAAGATACGAAAAGTAGCAATATATATATTTTGTATATTCTCAGCATAGTAACACTCGCCATTAATTAATTATCCATTTTAAGTTGATATGACCTAATTAATCTTCTTCTTGAATTAGGGTTTTAGCTAGTTTGACATGCACACACAAATACATATATACATACCTTAATGAGCTCCGATGGCCGGAAACCGCCCATCCACATTAAGCAGCGTTCGGCCGGAGTCTTCCACATGCCGGAGAGGATGTGGAAGACATCGGATTTCGCCGCCAAATTCTTGAGATTCATCAGATGGCCATAGTGTGCCAAGCAACTTTCCACGTAAATTTGGAGCTCGTTTTCCGGCAAGTGGTTGTGGAGAGCATCCCGGAGCACCACCATCAGCTGGTGGTGCTCCTCCAGCCACCGCGCATACTCCATGTCGAACATTAATGCAGCCTCTGCAATCTCACCGGTGAATTTATAACAAAGGTAAATAACTAATATATGATTCGATTGACTTGTATATTAATTTAAATGAACAAAATTAAATGATGACATAATAGGATATTCTTATTTTAATTTGTTCACTCAAATATGTTTTAACTATCATGATTTTCATATATATAACATATTTTATTCTCTTAAGAAAAATCAACATTCAATATAAAATAATACTACCTTCGTCCGGCTCTAGAGGTCTTATTTGTTTTTTATGCATTGATATTTTAATATTAATTATTATATCAAAATGTAGTATACATTAAGAAAAAATTGCAAAAATACTTCTCTTATAAACTAGTAGGACATTTGTAAAAAAAAATTATACAGATATAAGAATATTTTTAATATTAAGTACAATCAAGTAAAAGGTAAATGTGATCCTTAGAGGCAGACGAATGGTTTATTTTTTATATAATTGATACAATTTTTTATATCCTACATAAAAAAAATAAATAAATAATAAAAATACATCACATACAAGGTATTATAAATAGTATTATGAGTTAGGTAATAAAAGTTAAGGATGTAATTGTATTTTTATATAACTGAATTCGTTCATTCCATGTTGAATTACGGATACCTGAATTTATGCTGCCTGAAAAATGGCCTGTTTGATCAGAAGTTCCACCCACAAAAAATCCCTAATTAATTGCATAAAATTGTCTGTTAGTTAGTTAGTTAGTAAAATGATTCATTTAAATAACAAATAATTGAATTATTTTTATCAGTTAATTAATTACTTGGGATCTTGCCCTTTGCAATTCGTGTTCCAATTGAGCAAGTCTAATGCTACTGGATTCCAGCTGCTGAACATAAGCCTGCATGCAATTAATTAACACTCTAATTACTCTTAATTATATTATAGTAATTATTTATATTAAACAAATTAGACTCTTAATTAATTACCTTTTTCCTAAGCCTGCTTTTTCTAGCTGCTTCTCTATTCTGAGCAAGCCTTCTAAGAGTCTGCGCTTTTATATATATTTATATGGAAATTCCAAACAAAAATTGAAGTGGATTTATTTAAATAAATAAATAAGACCTTAGGGTCTGGTGTTTTAGGCCCTTCTTGGTCAGAACTTGAAGTAGGCCCTTTTCGATTTTCGTCACGCTGCAAAACAAAGGGAAATTTTTTAAAATAAAATAAAATAACATAACAAATATTATATTATATATATATATGATATGATATGAGGTAGTATGTAAGAAAAAAAAAAAAGAAAAAGAAAGTACAAGATCGGATTTACAAACAGTATTGAAATGCAAAATTACTAACCTTAACCACTTTTGTCTTATCAGAATTTCTAGGGTTTGACTCAATTAGTAGCATTGGCAGCTGAGGCTCTGCTGCTTCTTCTGCGGGCATCATCGTCATCTTGGTGCTTGAAGCTGAAACTAATGATCCATTGGTAGTTTCCTACCAATTGACCAAAAATTAAAATCAATTAATGATGGATTTTGCATTGTAAGAAATTGAATTTTGGATGGATCGATCTTAATTTGAGGTGATTAATTGATACCTTGGTTGAAGATGGCGATCCATGCACGGGCTGAGAAGGGAATGTGTTGATTTCAGATATCTCTGACATCGAAAACAACACCATCCAATAATGGATATATCAACAAGAAGAAGAAGAAATTATTATATACTATTTCATTGCAAAAATAAAAAATTGGAGATGGCCATGAGAGGATTTGATCGATCTGGAAAAGAAAGGACAGTGAAATATACATATATATAATTTCAAAAGGGGTGAATGAATTGGGAAACGGTTTGGATCTTTTGGTTTTTACCTGAGGGGAAATCATTTTCATTTGATTCTTCGAAGAAGTAAAATTAATTAAAGGGGCAGTGAAAATCTGTTCATCGCCTGCTGCCCGGAGATTCCTTATTCAAGATTTCTTTTTTTTGTTTGAGAAAAGTAATTGTAGAGAGAGAGAGAGAGAGAGAGAGAGAGAGAGAGAGAGAGAGAGAGGGAGTTGTTATAGTATATACTACGAGGTGGATGATTTTGGGCATCCAAGTGTTGGAGAAAAGCTCCATGGAATTGGAATTGGAATTGGAATTCCCCCAAATCGTGATTCGCCATTGCAGTAGCTGCTGCTGCTGCATCTTTGCTTCTGCAAAATTTATATTTTGAATCGAATTGAGAGAGAGAGAATTGGGGGAAATGAATTGAATTGAATTGAATTGATGATGGATCGAGTTTTAATTTGAGTAGTTGGATGATCGATCTTACTTACATCATGTTGAAGGAGGTGGACGATGATGATGAATTCGAGGATGACGATACTCCTCCTCCTCCTCCTCCATAGGACATATGATTCTGCTGCTGCTGCTGCTGATCTAATTGGACTAAATGATTATGATTCTTCTGCACCTCCATCTCCATCTGTTGTTGAAATTCCATGAATAAATAAATTATAATCAGCTTTCTTCCTGTGATGAAGATGATGAAGATCGATCGATCGAGATTGCTAATTATGTCCTCCTATACTTTCTTCGATTCTCAACACCATATTCTCTCTCTTTCAAAAACCATAGAGAGAGAGAGAGAAGACAAATGGTGTTTGTTTTAAATTTCTCATTTTTATTTTTCAGACGAATGATAGCAGAAGAAGAAGATGATGACCACGACTTTTTAAGTAATTTTGGCTGTATTTTTATATTTCTTTATTATTACAAAATATTGCACTACTTTAGTAGAAATACACACTAGTTTAATTTTTTTATTTGAGGAATTTTTCAATATAAGACTTTCACCCAACAAACAATATTGTTTTTTTATTTTTTATTTTACTTTTTACATTAGGTATATATAAGTATAGACCAATATAAAAAATAATATTTTATATTTCAATTATTGACTTTTGAAGTGAATATAATATATATTATATATATACATATTGTATTTTTTTAATAGAAAAAATATAGTATTTAAATTCTTTTTGTGAAATAACAACGTAAAATTAGATTTTAGTGTAATAAAATAAATAGAAATCAAGTGTAAAATCTGAGAAGTAAACACACCCTAAGGGTTAATTAAAGTATTGTTGAAAGATTATTTTTTTAGAATATAAAATAGATGGAAATTAGTTATAAATTTCAGATAAAGAATGTGATTAATGGAGAGAGATAACGTTGAGAATGATTATTGTTAATTAGACTTTTTGATAGATAAAATTGTTGAATTAAACAAAAAAGGAAATTATAATAATCGGGATTAGGTAAATCATCAACTACCTTGCTTCTACTTAATGGAACATCATATCCTTAATTCATTAATATTCATTTATTTTTATTAAAAACTGTGTAAAATAAATCCATCAGCAGATCTTTTACATTTTTTATTAGGTAATTTTTACACATTATTATTATTTCGCAAACTTTTACCAAAAAGAAATCATTAAATAAACAACACATCAATTTATTTATTTGTACCGCGAACAAAATCTAAAAACTACAATGTAATATTCAATATTGTTAGATATTACTCCCTCCGTCTAAAAAAAGGTGCAACAACACGGACTTTTAGGTGAGTAGTATTAAATAGGATAATTTAGAAATTAAGTGATGTGATGGAGAGAGATATATATTTTATTTTTTTATTTGGACGGTGCGAGTAGAGATTAAATATAATTATTTATTTCCTATTTTGGAAATATTGCAGGGTGTTTGAGACATATATTTGGACGGTGCGAGTAGAGATTAAATATAATTATTTATTTTCTATTTTGGAAATGTTGCAGGGTGTTTGAGACATATAAAAACAAAATGCTGGAAGTAGAATTCACAGTGAAATCAAGACCAATTTGTAAATGGTTATTGTCAAATGTATGCGGAAGTTTATATTTTTGTGTATGTATATATATAATTGACCGCCCATGTAGTTTTAACAACAATAATGTATTATGTATAATAATTGCAGAGACTAAATGGAGTCAAATGTATGATTACATGTATTGTCTAAAATCAAATTATTTCTTTTATTTGTCGTAATTTGACCCATCATTAATTATAATTAAAGGGAGGAAATTATATAAAGATATTTGTCTTAATTAATAATATATATATATATATATAATGAATACATTGAGATAATTAAACTTTACAACAACTAAAATATCTGAATTAATCATATATACAATGGAGGATCTAAATAAATAAATAAATACTAGTACTAAACTAGCTTAATAATTGTATTTTAATTAAGTAAAATGTCACTGATTCAATTAATGCATTGTAGACAATATCATTTAATATAGTTCACTTTTTGCAAAATTGTCCATAACTATCATTCAAAGATGATTTTTTATCTATATTTTTTTACATGCGGACATTTTATACAATATTTTTGAAAATATAAAGAATATCATGCATTTTTAAAATACAAAGAAAATTTAAATTGAGTTTAAGATCACATTAAAGTCATGAACAATTTTATCTTTTATTAATAACCTTAAACTGTATTCTATGTATATAATAATAATAATAAACAAAGAGAAGAAAAAAATGTAGCAACGGTAGAAGTAGTTTCTTAGGTTTGTTTATTTAGAGGTTGATTTTGTATTTTAATTTTGATTTTAAATTTGAATACTTGTTATTATTGAGATATTATATATTATTAAGTGTTTATTTAGAGGTTGATTTTGTATTTTAATTTTGATTTTAAATTTGAATACTTGTTATTGAGATATTATATATTATTAAGTTTGTATCGTTGAAATTTATAAGATTTTCTTTTATTATTAACTACATTCAACGCTAAAATATTAAAAATAATAATATGTTTTTCTTACACTCAATTCGTTAGTATATCCAAAGACTTCTCCAATTTGAGATTTTGGCCACTACTTTGTCATGTCAACTTTGTTTATGATTAATACTTTTACTCACATGTTTATGATTTTAATGAAATTTTATATTCGCCATTCGATTATGTGTTATTATTTCATTCAAGGTTTGCTTTCGACTATAAATCTATCAAGGGTCTTATTTTAAATTTGAGAGCTCAACTTTCGATTATAATTTCATTAAAAGACTATATTTACTCTAACGGTGTTAACGGTTCTATTTTCAATTCTAACAACGTTGAAAGTCTTGCTTTTGATTTTCAATACGTTGAGAAATATATATTTTATTATAATGTTGCTCAGATTCATACTTTTTACTCTAATTATGTCGAAAGTTCTATTTTCGATTCTAACAACATTTGGAGTCATTTTTTTTTTACTCTAATTATATTGATGGTCACATTTTCGATTTTAATAGCATTAAATGTCCTATTATTTTACTCTAACTCTACTGAGAGCTCTAACACCGACTCAAAGGATTATTTTAGGAGGATCACCGCTAATTTCGTTTAAAAAATTCAAATTGTTTATGTGACACCCCTTATCAAAGTAGTGTATGATCACACGAATCTTCGCTAAAAAGTGAAAAATCCGTAGAGTAATTCTAAGGAGATTTTGAAAGATTGAAAGTTACTGCCAAATTTGCATACCAAAAAACCAAGTAGTGAGCATGACCATTGATAATATGAGCCATCAACTAGGTGAAAAGTTGGCACTCCACGAGTATCAAGATTTCTGGAAGTTAACATCAAAGGTTGTTTAGGGATGCCCAAGCAGCCCGAAACCAAAAAAATTAAAAACGGTTTGCACTTTTTACACGAGCAAGAAGAAGATTCCGACATTGGGGAAAAACCGCATGAGATCTTCTTGGCTGAAAATTAGATATGAAGGTGGATCAATTATTCTGTGTGTTAATCGAGATTTAGAGTGGATTCTCTCGTATCAGATGATTTCAAGATAAATGGTATACTAATCCGCGCCAATCAATATTACCGTAGTGCATCCAAGGAGATCCCAGGGATCAGCCCTGTTTCCGGCAGCAACTAAAAAATTTGCCTCCAAAAAGAAAATACAAGTATGACGCATAAACTCTATGGACTAGGATTAGGTGGTTATTACACCACACCTCATGCATCTCTTAGAGATTAGTTGCATTGCGAATAAGAAGTTGAAGAAATCTAAACCTCTTATAAGGTTGTAGGATATGAGAAAACAACACTGACTCCAAACTACCCGATTGAACAAAGAACAACATGTGGAACAATGTGTCCGGTAGCAGACCAGCCACAGGTAGACACACCATTGGACATATTGCGGGACGAACATACTACGGGAAGGCATACCACATACAAATATCTTGCGTCGAGAATACATATCGTAATGATGGAGGACTGGATTTGTGTCATTCACACCCCTTAAAAAATGAAGGGGTGATCCAATCAACTACAAATTTGAAGGATGACCATACATGACCCTATGATAGAAGCCCTTGACTTGACGACAACAAAAAGTCCAAGATCAATCTCACTATCATTACTATATATCGATCCAGATTTGAAGCTACAAGGTGCTCTACAATATCATAATGATTTCAAGGTGGATGGTATACTAAGGGGCGGATTCGAGTCTACAATAGAAAATACGAGTACCTAGATATTAACAAGGAATCTCAATTCTATACATTTTGATTGTTGAGTACAAGATCAAATTCGGATATTATTTTTAAATAGTTTTGACATCAATGCCGACAAGCTCATATCAAATAAACGGTCGATTTTTTGCGAATAACATGTATATTTAAGGAGACCAAATAATGTGATGCGTTTATTTTAGGTCTTTAATTGTACAAAATAATAATAATAATAATAATAATAATAATAATAATAATAATAAATCAATTATATGATTACTTTGTTGAATAATACAAGGCCATTGAACAGAAGACCAGTTGACATAAAGCCATTTAATCATGCATTCCATATAATGTACAATGTGGTTTAAAAAATGTGTATGGCTATTTGTGATTTTTAAAATTTCCACACTAAGCCCTTCATCGATTGGTTAAAGTCTAACGTAGAATTAATATATTAAATTTAAATATTTTGTTTAGTTCAAATACTCCATAAAATTTTAGTCGTAATTATAATTAATGAGGTAAACATAACGGATGAGAAATTTCCTAATTTAGAATTTGAAAAAATACAAAAGTCGGGTCGTTTATTATTATTATTATTATTCAAACCTATACGGATGAATCATAGGTTAACTTCTATTTTTGTAGATAAATTATAAATTATGATTAATATTTTGGATAGACTTTTACTAAGTTTGGTATAATCTTGATTTGTGCTAATCATGTGGGTCATTGATTGTGAAAATCCATGAATTAAAGAGATTGTGATGTAATTATAGGCGTGGAAATGAAAAAGTAACAAGTTAATTTGTGATTCATGTTTGATCATCTATTAATTAAAGGGAACAAGATATTGGACTAAAATATCACAACTTTTATTGCTGTATTAGAGAATTAAAGTCCAAAGGCTACTATATACATATTTTATTTGATTAAAAATAAATTAAAATTAAAATTTTTAATGAATGTATCATACAAGAATAGACCGTGTGTAGGTCATCCCATAGATCTCTCTCTTACAGGCCAGGCCACATGAGGCCTAGTCTATAAATACTTTGTAATTTGTTATTGATAAATAGAGTGTGGAAAGCAATTTAAAGATGATACACAAAATTAAATTGAATATTATGCATTATAATAATTAATCAGAAAATTGGAAAAATGTAAAATGAATGATTATAAAAGGGACCATGTTGATCAAACTATCGAAAGGAATGGCAATTAATATTATATTATACAAGCCTAAGCCTTACCTTGATTAAATATAAGACAAATTGAGGACGACTTTTGACAATTGTCTAACTCGTTCAATTGTTTTTAATAGTGAAACAATAATTATAAAAGTATTCCCTAACATATATATATATATACTCCACTATAATTAATTATAGGACAGCTTCTTAGAATTTATTTTTACAAAATTACATAATACAAATCATAATGGAGCATGTTCACATACATGATAACAGAGCCATTTCCATTTCCATTGATTGATTGAATTTTCATTTGCATAGAACTAACAAGTTGTTGTACGATGAATCAAGAGACAACAAGATCCAAGACAAAAAGCCACAGCTCCGCGAGCACGTACGACCTCGTCCAACAGATGCATTTCCGACAAATACCCTGCGATCCCTACGTGGAGGCGAAGCTCGGGAACTATCAATGCAAGTCGCGCCACTTCGAGAAGAAGATGAACCCCGAATGGAGCCACCAAGTGTTCGCCGTTTCCAAGGAAAAGATCCACGAGTGTTCGTCCAAGACAAGGGAATCGCGGGGCGGGACAATTACCTCAGCGAAGTGGCGTTCAATATGCACAAAGTCCCGACGAGGATCCCGCCGGAGGGCCACAAGCATTTTCGCCGTGCTGTGCCTGTTTGGAGCCATTTGTCACAGGTTGACATTCCAGCCCCAGGTTATCGGCCATAGTCCGTCCCATGTGTGCGAACCCCTGTCCTATATGGCTGATTGATAGCTTAGGTCTTGATGCAAATACGTGTTCCGCATGATTCTTCCATATTGTATGGTATGGTATATTCCAAGCGCGTTGCGCACAGGGGATGGCCGGTCTGAGCCTCAGCGCAAGCGTGGCCTAGGCACCGGGCGTGTCAACTTCCGGACACGTTGCTCTGTATTTGACTCCATTTTGGATCGTCGTGCTCCTGACAGTCCTGTTCTGGCTCAGGCACCCGAGATTCAGAAGCAAGACGCCTTCAGCTCCCAACGATTTCTTCAGACGGCTGCCGTCTCGGGCAGACAGCATCCTGTAAACACAATTCTCTATCGTATACAAAATACGAGTTCAACAGTAGCAGCTATGGCGAACATAACCTCTCTACATACATATCATATCATATCATATATAAGAGCACAGATTATTACTTGCCTCTGCCTGTCTTCCTTCAAAATACACACACAGATTCTAACTAATAACCATTCACATAATAAGCAAATTTCATGAAACATAGGATCACAGTAGGTAGGTACCTTAGAGCATACAGTCTGTCTTTGCCGGTAACCTTCGGAAGAAATTCAGCGGCACGGAAGGAAGCTTGTGCCTGAACCTGGGGTGCCTCAGCATGTAGAATCCGGCGAGGAGCGCCACCACTTGGAATGGTGTGACGTAGAGAACGATGGCAGCGACCAGACAGAATATGACAAACAAGGCTGTCGCCCTCGGGTCTCGCCAGCTCAGCAGCAGCTGCAGTCTCTCGCCCTGCGTCGCCATGTCGCCCACCACGATCTGAATCCTCCCGGCAATGCTTCTGAGGCGATCGTATCTCATCCTGACAATATCTGCAGGGCGGGAAGTCGGGAAGGTGTCGAACTCCTCGTCCAGCTCATCTGCAGGAGCACTGTCCGCGCAGGAGAGGCGGGTGTCCATGTGCGGGGGATGTCTTATCCTCCATCTATAGTACCATACGCCGATCAAGAACAGGTAGAGGAAAATAGTCGGCAGAATAAGCTCAGGATACATAACCAGAATGACAAACAAGATGTGGATGAGAACCGTGGTGATCGGGTTCTTCCAATGGCATATCTGATCGAACCATTTCCCAACTGCGATTATCCCGCTCAAGACTCCCATGATACGGAAAAAGTTCGCCTTGCTTCTTCGCATACTCCACATGTGGGACCCGACGTCGAGCATGTACTCTACAACTTCCTTTCTCAGAGGCGGCTCAGCTCTGTTTAGCCGGATGGAGACAATTTGAGTGGCCTGAAACCTCAAGCTGTCGAGCTGGGGGACCGTCAGGGGATGGATGTAGTGCATCTTGGGCAACAATGGCTGGGAGTACATATGCATCATGTTCATCAACGACGAGCATGTGAATCGAACGGCTAAATGAATTTCGCCCATCTTTTTAACACCCGAAGGATGCAAGACGAGAAGAGGATATGTGTGAGTGTAGACGCGGTCCGTCTCCAGAGTGGAGAGACGAATTCGAACTTTCCCGATTCTTAAATCCCTTCCCGCTTTATCTCCGCCTTGCAAGTGACAATTATCGAAGACGCCGATAGTGACAACTGTGCACGGATCAAAAACTTCCCACGTATACTGCTCGTTCCATTTTGGAGTAAAGCTGTCGACGATTGTCCTCGTCCTGACCCACTTCTGTCCATATTTGGCAACACAATAAGCATCCGTCGAAGCCCGTCCACCCTCTCTGGGCTTCATTGGGGCAAGCCCGTGAGCGCTCAGAATCCCGAGCTCAAGAACACCGATGCTTGACTTCCACAGCTGTTTTGCAGTTGGCCTAAGGTCGCTGCTGTAGTGCGTCGATTCGTCAAGAACATGATACCCGCCTTCCAAACAAATCCTCATATGAATCTTGCTCGCAAACTTCACTTCCTTCTTCTTCTCCCCTTCGATCATGACGTGTTTCTCGAGATTATACCATCTTGTGTTCACGGGTTTGTGATCTAATCTCCGGTCGACGTACTGCAAAGGAATCGTGCATCGTCCAAGAACTTCATCCTTATTGGGAGCGACTCTGTCCTCCACGCTCAATATCAATGGCTCTTCAAATGGCTCGGCAGCCACAAACATTAAATCCTCATTCCACATAGGATTGATAGATTTGCTCATCGAAACTCTTGTCCTTAACGCTTGGTTTCCGAGGATGGCCTTCACAAAAACCTCCGGGAACCGACCTCTATCACTAGGAATCAAGTCCTGAGCCTCGATCACGTTCACTCTCAGATACCAAAGCTTAGGCGATAAGTAGACCTTCGACCGGATACTTGCAAGGCCATCGGCGCCACCAACAGCAGCAGCATCCGAATGCCAAGCCTCGGGAAATGCCTCGTCAGCTTGAGTTCCCCACCAAACAGCCAGCATTAGCTCTCCTCTGGCCTTCTCATTCTTTCTGTCCTCTAACCGGTACCACTGCGGAGCCAATGGACTGTCGGGGGGCACCCTTTTTGGGACCTCGTTCAAGTCGAACAGAATCCGGCCTATGAAATCATCCTTGACAAAATCCTTATCTTTAACGGTAACCTCAAGAATACTGGCCTGAATTCGATCCTTGGAGAAGGCAAACACTTGATTCCACTCGGGGTTGGACTTTTTCTCGAAATGGCGGGTAATGCCTTTGTAGTTACCAAGCCTCACCTCGACATATGGGTCGCAACTACCCGTAACATCCTTTGAGGGTAGATCTTTTGCCCGCACGACCCTAACATAGAGGTACTGCATTTGTTCGACGAGGTCATAGGTGCTTGTGAGCTTATCTCCACTAACCTTCCCGCCACCAAGGTGGGGTTTTGTCTCTTTCAACGAAAAATCTTCCGGCAGCGGCCTCTGCATTTTTCTTCTTTGTCAAAGCTGCAAAACAGAGAATGATCAATGAATGGATAAGCTCAAAAATGTGATCTTCAATTCAAGAAACAAGCATCAGTAAGAAGAAAGGGAAAGAACAAACAAACCTACTACTAGGATATATATATCTATCCTTCCTTGTATTGAATGAAAGAAGCAAAAAACTCCTAATCAGAGCTTCAGATCCTTAAAAGCCTGTGGCTAAAGCAACAAGCCATAGCATTAGCTACACAAATGATGTTGCACATAACACAAAAATTGAACAAAATGTTAGCACAAGATGTAGAATGCAAACTCAGAATTAAGACATTTTAGTTGAATGAGCATAAATTTGACAGAAAATTAGCAAAGCTTATCCTTCAATGTAAAAAAGTTGCTCCACATGGAAAATCTGAACATAATATATATATATATAGATGTCAGAGGGGTTGCAGATTAGTAAACTTATGAAATTGCTGAAAAGTACATACATAGTCATAGTCTTCACTGATGAGGGGAATCCAATCGAATCGAAGGTTAAATAATAATATTAGTCAAGTCAGTACTACCTACAAGAACATGAATTGAGACCCAGAAAATTAATCAAAGGTCCTTTAGATCTAAGCTGTGGAACCAAGGGAATGAAATTGGAATCGTAACTAAACTGTAGTAAACAAGAAGTGGAATCAAGAACAAGAAGCAAGCATTGGAAATTACAATACAAAACATGGAACGGTTTTTACATCAGATCCCAGAAAAGTGAAGCCTTTCAAAGTCCACATCGTGTACTTGGAATAATCTATAAAAAATATAAAGAAATAGACATACAAAAGGTGTAGATCTTTGATTCTGTAGTGCAGTGAAAACCCCAAGCAAAACAACACATAGAGAATAAAGCGTAAGAGAGAGAGAGAGAGAGAGAGAGAGAGATCCTGATACGAATATACCTTGAAGGAAGGTTGACGGTGAGGTTGTTCCAGGGGTGGATTGAAAGAATGGGGAAAAAGCAGAGAAGTGAGAGAGAGAGAGAGAGAGAGAGAGAGAGAGAGGGTAGAAAAGGAAACGAAAGGGGTTTTGGGTCTTGTTGTTTGATTAAAGCAACGCAACAAACAAATGGAGAGAGGATTTTAATTGAATTACCACAGAGAGGAGAGGAGAAGAGTGGGGGCCTTCGATTTCCAAATTTCTGACTGATTGAGCAGAGAGAGAGAGAGAGAGAGAGAGGAGAAATCTGATAAATGAGTGGTGGTGGGAGGCACCCACCCAACCCAACTCAGCAGCAGCAGCAGCAGCAGCAGCAGCAGAAGCAGAGTCGTCGTCTTCTGTCTTTCTTTACTACTGTAGCTGTAGCAGTAGCTGTTGCTGTAATCAAAGCCAGCCCCCAGCCCCCAATTACCGAATGCAGTGAGTTAGCGAGTGTGTTTGGGGGAGATGGTGGCGGTGTCTGTTGTTTACTGTTACAGTTAAATAAAGAAAAAGTAAAAACTAGAGAGAGAGAGAGCTATGGGTATGACGAGGCCTTGCTCGGCATTGGCAATGGCAATGGAACACTGCGTCACATGTGCCAAGACGCCGGTCGGGCAATTACACGTGCCGCCTCCCCACATGTCTGTCTTGCCTCATCCTCCTCGTTTATTCTTCATTATTCACATCCGCTGGGAATGTGTTTTTTTATTTATTTATTTAATTTTTTGTCGCGTTGTATTAGAAGTATTGGCGGACCTGTATAGGAGGAAAGGGACTTTTATTATTTTATTATAATTTATTTGTTTTAAAATTCTATCCCTTCTTATATTTATATATATTTTTTACATAAAATTGTGAAGATATTAGTATTATATCTAGTAGAAATAAAAAAAAATTAAAATATTTTTAAGATAAAAATATATGGTAGTGAGATATTTGTAATATAAGTATAAATTTAAAATTAATTTTAATAATAGATAGATATAAGAGTTACTTAAAAAATAAATATTTTATTTTAGAATGGACTAAAATAAAAAGTTGAATAGATAGTTAAGGGAATAATTAAAAAAATTAATTAAAAAATAAGTATTAAATTTTCTGTATATTAAGAATTTCTATTTATTTATTTATTTATTGAAAATATCAGAACTTTTATATATTAAAATTTTTGAGATGATACCGTATCATATTGAATTTTTTTGTTACTATACTAGTATATAATTTTATGCTTTCGATATATGTATCAAAATACTAAAATAATTTTGTATTTTAGTATTATAAAAAATATCCTATATTATTTTGATATTTTGTTATTAGGCTTATTCCAATAATTCAGCATACTAGATTTTTTTAAAATTTTAAAATTTTAGCATAATACCATACCAAAAATTGGATATATCAAAAGATATTTGTATGTACATTTATCATATGTGACTTTTGGGTTCAGTATCAATGTTCTCTAACATACCAAAAAATTGGATTCAGTACAAGATATAATCTGATATAAAATTTAAAAATTAACCATCCCTTTCAACGGATTCTAATTCTGCAGATTGTGATTAATGCATATACACAGACACTGGATCTACTGTCCTCTACTCACCGTGTCCCTCTCCCTCTCCCTCGTGTCATGTCTTGTCTTCTCTCATATGTGTACAGCACAACATACCTCTCTCTCTTTTACCAAGGCTTGTTCAAACTTTCATGTGTCAGTCAATAGCTTGGAAAGACAATCAATCCATTGTGTAATAATTTCTTAAAGCTGGCCTCTATAGCAGGAGAAAAGCCATCTAAAATGTGGCTATTGCAAGCATTTCTTATATTCATATGCAGGGGCATTAATAATTGTTAATTAATTAATAATGACTGAGGTAACTCTGCTTGCTGCAGTGCAGTTCTGCATCGGCAGGAGGAGGGAGGGAGGTGCATTTCTCCATTAAGTATTCTTGGCCCTTGTCTATCAAGGCATGCATCCATCCATCTCAGAACAACTAGAAAGAATCTCAATGCAAACCTATCTAGCTACAAGCCATCAGAATTTCTCTACATAGTTATATTTCAACAGGGGCATTACATACTATTCATTTGTACTACTCCATAAGAACAACATAATGGTTTGTGTTTGTTATCCTATAATTATATTATCTTTCACTTTCATACAACATGTAATGCACCGAGTCACAAGGATAGATAAGTAACTAACCTCTGAAGTTTATGATGATCACTTCACTTCAATCCCCTAAATGCTTTGCTGCTTTTGTTGGGTGAGGTGTCCATATCTCTTTCAGAAATCATACTTGTTGGCATCATCATCCTTCTTTTCCTAAACACAGAAATTTGCAAGTATGTGTATAAGCCTAGCCTGTTAGAAGTAGAATCGAACTTAAATAAAAACATATGACTGACCTGCCACAATCCAATTGAGCCTCCACCAAAGACAACAAGGGCCAGTTAGTACCTGGCTGCCTGAAAACCTTGACAACAGAGCTTTCCATGAATCTTGGATTAACATAGAAAACAGAATTCCAGCCGCAGATCTTCTTTGCACGACAAAAATATTTCCGGAAGAACACGGTAGCAACACCAGTAACCCTCAAGTGAGCAATTACATCTGATCAAATGCAAGAAACCCAACTGTTTCAACCCAACATTTTCACTTCTGAATCCTCAAAAATATGCTAGGCTAAACATGTTTTGAGTCATTAATATGCAGTTACTTGATGTCCGGATAAATCTGGTTGAACTCCCAAAAGAAGATTCTGCATTTCTCAAAATCCTAATTTTGCTGCCAACTGTGTTTTCAAATGAAGCTCCGATCAAATCCGCGTTTCTTTTGATTGTTCCTACTCATGAGAATATAATTCTTCCTTCAATCTCTCCCAAATTTCACGTCCTCCTGAATGGGACTTTACATAACACCTAAGAAATGTATCATTGGAGCAGGCGAAGATAGAGCTCAAGGTGAGGTTTGGATTCACTGCTCCTTCATTTTTGAGCCATCTATACGTCAGAAGCCTTAGCTTCAGCCTGGGAATAGTATAAGAGAGAAGGCGCGGATGAGTCACTAAATCAGACAAAGGATACCCCAAATCCCTCACAAAACAATCAATTTTCGCTGCGATAGAGTCTGTGGACTGGTTGATAATTTCAGGATATACTTTCACCATCCTTATGGCATCCTGACGACTCAATCCAGCATTCACCAAATAATCAAACCTCTCTTGGAGTTCTCCGGCTTTCCCCCGCAATGCTTTGATAGCCTTCTCCATTTCCTTCGACTTCTCAACAAAGCCTAAGTTTAATAGAAACTTAGTTCTAAGAATTTTAACTTTTAAAATCCTCTTCATCTCGGGTGGCCTCTCAATTCGTACTCCAATAACCCATTTTTTCAACACAGTGGGATCATCCATGACCATTTGGCGAAGCCTTTCCCTCCCACAATTTAATGCACACCTCATGCTGTGGAACTCTCTGACTTCACAAGAACCCAACAATAGTGGGTACGAGCGAAATATCCAACCAATATCTTCTACCGGCATCCTTATCTTCACCAAGAGCTTATAGCACCGACCTAAATTGTTCACAAACTTTGCAGCAGATAAATCTGGGAATTGAAGAAACATAGTCTGTATATCACTTTGTGTGGAGCCAAATTTCAACAACATCCCAACTATGCGGTTGGCAAATCGTCCAGATCCCTCAAACAAAAGCCCAGGATGTCGTATAATTACTTCTCCCACTTTGTCCTCGTTCAAACCCATCTTAGTTAACAAACACATGAGCTCAAGCATGCATTTCCAGCTGTAGGAAGACCCTTCGTGTATATGCTCTGCAAGCCAATCATACCCAATCCCTATGTTCTTCAACTTTTCAAGAAACTCAAGGAATTCCTTATTGGAATCTCCCCTCAGAAGATAAGGACTCGAAGTAATAATCTTCGCAACAAGAAACTGTTCTAATCCGAGGAGCTCGAATGATCCAAGCCTCGACTTTAAAATGCTAGAATCGTGCCGGAAAAGGTCCCTGGCTTCCTTATAGATACGCCCGATTTTATCCCTACGAACTCCATAATTACACAATGTATAATAGTTCTGCAATAGAAACTGATCGTCGTTTAGAAACATCAAGTTGCGTGGAAGGAATGAAGCATACTCGGATGGTTTCAAACCAATGCTTTCGAAGAATGGCTCGAATTCATTAACAGGATGGTACCTCAAGAAACGCGCCAGCGATCCGCCAACATCACCGGCATCAATTTCCACCCTCTGCAACAATCCATCCAGAAAATCTGAGGCGTTCTTACTCATGTTTTCAGCATCTGTGAACCTCAGATTCCGAGTGGTGTGCAGGTACTCCATAAAAGCTGCCTGTGCTTCGTGTTTCGTAGCCAGTACTGACTTCTTCGGTAGCTCGCAACGATTCCCCTCGAATTCAGGAGTATCCGCCCTCTGTGCGCGGAAAAGCCTAATGAAGTGCCAAGTGTGGCGCAGCCCATTCACGTAGAGTTGAGGTTCCGACGATGTACCGTAAATATCCGAGCGGCGGCAGAGCTTGAGAGAGAGAGAATTGAGGCTTCGAAGCTTGTGGAAACCGGTCATGGGAGAGATAGATATCAATCAATCAATTACGAAGAAAGCAAAGTATGGATTCTTCAATTTGGGCAGTAAGTAATGTACAACAGTACAGGGTTTAGGGTTCATCGACTGACCGACTGACTTGCGCAGAAGAAACTCGAGGAAAAGGAGGTTAGGGACGGCCGACGGGGCCAACAAACCCAACTGCAACTCTATTTGGGACGGTCCGTTGGGCTGAGAAGGCCGTCCGGCCCATTTAGATTCGATTCCTCTCCACGCCATGGGCTCACTAAGAAAGAAACAGAGGAAGTGGCAAAAATCAATGAATGTCATTTTATGAAGAAAGAACATTATGATGACGGATGGATGGATGGATGGAACTAACTCAATACAAATATACTATTAATAATAGTAATAGTAATAGTAATGCATAAATATAAATATAAAAAGTATATAAATGCACGATTTTCCTCTTATCATTAAACTAGCTCTAGCCCTAGCTCTAGCTAGATCCCTCCTCCGCCAGGCCCCGGCCCCGGCCCCGGCCCCGGCCCTTTAACCTACCATACCAAACCAATATAATAAAAACACACTATTGCTTCCTTGTTCTTTTCTTGGCCTGTTTTGGCGTCGGAGTTTTAGTTTCTGTGTCTTGTGTTTTTTCCCTGCCGCGCTTACCCAGCACCACCGGAGGAGCTGCCGCAGCTCCTCTCTTCGGTGGCCTTCCCACGTTCCTCTTCCCGGGGCTACTCTTTTCCTTTTCCTTTTCTTTTTCCTTCTCCTTGGCAGGCTGCCTGGTCTTAGTTGCTGCTGCAGTAGAAGCAGCTTCTTTTTTCTCACCGCTCTTGCCATTATCTTTCTTCTTCCGCTGCTGCTCTGTGGACCCTTCCCCTTTGGAAGTGGTGGCGCGTTCGCTAGTCAGCGGCCTGTTCTTCAATGCATCGACCAGCGCCCCGTTGTCTGAGCCTTGCTGCTTCATTCTGTTCAAGAAGTTAGCTGCCCCACGCTTCTTGGACTCCAATGTCGATGACTGGTTCTTCTTGTTGTTGTCGCTCTTGGGCGAGGAAGACGATGAGCCGCCCTTTCCCTGCTGCTGCGAGTCTGAAGCAGCTGCTGAGGTTCTATTGCTGTGGTTGGATTGGTTCTTCCCATTTTTCTTTGTCCTGGCCGGAACTGAAGAGAATCTGTCTCTTGTCCTCTTCTTGGTGATTTTAGGCTCGTCTGAACTGCTGTCTGACGGTTGCGGCGAATGCTGTTTTGTATCTTTCTCCTCTTTCTTTTTACTAGCACTAGTTCCTGATCCCGCCGCCGCCGCCGCCGCCGCCGCCTTTGCTGCAAGAGAACTGCGCTTGCGGCAAACTATCAGGGGGTTTGATATTCTAGGCTTGAGGGGCACAGGTTGAGGAGGGGGCTGTTGTTCTTCGTTCTTGGACAGTGACAGGGACTTCAATGAGACTTGCTTCCTCGATGGAGAATTCGACCCGTCTTCTTGTTTCTCCGAAAGCTCTTTTGAGATGAACTGTCTCATCTCAGTGGCGGCTTTGGCCTCGGAGGACTTCTTGCCGAAGAAGATTACAGCATTGTTTGCTAGCAAAAGAAGATCTCGGAAGAACTTGCTCGAGGAGCCCGAGTACCACCCCTCTTTTAACCTTGTTTCGATTGTCGTAAGATCAATGTGTTGAAGAACCAGCTTCTGATATTTTGACGTTTCCTGCACACGTTCAGATTTAACGATAAGCATAATCTTAAAAAAAAAAAAAAAAAAAAACAGCAGCTCCATTTCTACCAGAAGCCTCCTCTTGGGGAAAATTGGGGATTCTTCAGTTACGGGTCAATTTTGAAAATCAAATAGATATTCTCTGACACGAAATGTTAATGCAATTACAGAGAATATGATTTCTTGCGCCGCAAGAACATTCTCGTAAAGATTTTACGATTGCCATGTCATGACATTTCCTAATTCAGTACTAATCCAGATACTTAATACCTACAGGCGGATTACTGTACATAAGATAAGCAGGGAAAGGGAGTAGATTTGGATTCAAAAGATTTAAATATGAGAAGTTGGACCGAATCCCCTACCAACGGATTAACTTCCAAACTCGGACATGAACACACAATTCGGCAACTAGGATAGCCCAGTCGTTCCATGTCAAAAACGTGTTTAGGTCACACCGGACAGGATGGGATGGGATATCATATAATTAATTAAAGAGGACCGGATTTTCAATGGGTCAGGGCCCGGAATCCCAAACCAAAACTTTTGTGGCTCTAGCGGGACCATTTTGCCCCTGAAGAATTTACTTGATTTTTTCTCTTTATTATTATTATTATTGTTTTCATAAAATAAATAAATTAATAATAAATATCGACGAAAATAAAATTGTAAAGTCATTGGCTAAAGTTGACTGGTGATTTGGAGAATTGGACGAAACAAGCCTTAAAAAGCAAGGATGTTTGTAACATGGAAAACACGTCAATTGAGTTCAGCACCGATAACATCTTAGAAAAGTATATAGGCAATTTAACAAAAACAAAAAATTTGGTTGCCTTCTTTGGGAGATTTCAAAAAATCTTTTACAATTCAATAAAAATTGTCTGCTAAAAAAATATTAAACCAAATACTTATATTTTATATATTATATTTTTTTAAAAAAAATTATATTAATCATTATTTATTTTAAATTAAATAAATATTTAAATTTAAATTTTATTATTCAAAAATTTAAACTCAAAATCCACTCACACTGTTACACACCCCCGAAATGTAAATTCATTAAAGAATATATATATATATATATAAAAACTCACCTGGCTCCGGAGCCGCCGTTCAAAAAGGGAGCCGAATTTCTGAGCCCGGATGCACTGCAGGAAGTCAGCCAACGGCTGCGATTCAGCTGTCAAGTCTTTTACGGCACGAGATTGATCCTCGCGTTCGCGCTCATCGCCATTCGTACGCTCGCGACGCATCTTAACATTTTTCTCCTTCTTCCTCGATCTACTTGCGGAACTCTGCACATCAGAATTTTCCTTGGTCGCCTCTTCACCGCCGCTGTCCGACGCAGCATCCGGTTCAACTAAACCGGTCGAATAATTTTCCGGTTTTCCTTTGGGCTTCCGGTCGGATTTCTCTATGCTATTCGAACTTCCGTTGCAGGAGTCCTCGGGGATCAACTTCAGATCCGGTTCTGATTTCAACTCGGTCGGCTCTTCGCTCACCTGCCCGGTTCGATTCTGTGCATCACCATCTTCTCCCATTCGAGCCGGTTCTGGCTCTTTCTCTCCGGACTTTAACTTCTCCGCTCCGAGATCTGTAGAATTCGATTCGTTCACCGACAATTGATCCTTCTCCGATTCTTCGCCGGTGACCGGTTCTCCGGCGGTCGCCGTCGCCGGCTCCGACTCCGCTTCGATACATGTGTTCTCTGCGATTTTTTTCTCTGGATCCGATTCGCTCTCCTCTTTCAGACTTCGTTCTCGCTCTTCCTCCAATTTTTTCACCTTCGACTCCAACGACCTGTACAGATGCACACCAAATCACGGTGAGAATCGATTCATTTTTTTAGAAAAACCGCTCTCCGCCTGACCATTTTTTATTATCACGTTCGGATCTCTTAATAAATTAATCGTAAATGAATACTCGATGTTCAGATCGTAACGTTGCACTTCTCGACGGAGCTCCGCCACTCTCAATTTCCTGAGTTTCTCGAGCAACGGCGCGGCGTCGGATTTATCGTCATCGTCGCCTTCACCGTCGTTGGAATCATGATTCGGAGAGGCGAAGCGGCGTTTGAGATCGAGATATTTTAGCCTGCAATTTGTAGGCGTGAGAAGCAGCGGCGGTTGTGAAGAGCGCTTCCGGAGTTCGGAAGCGATGGAATCCCAAGCAGCGTTTCCATGGCGGTTGACGGCGAAGGCGAGGAGGAGGTCCTCCAAAGTACCCCACGGAGAAGGTGAGGGTTCGTGTTTTTGGGCGTTAGGTTTTGCCATTGAAATGATCGATGATTGATTCTCCCCTCGGTATTATGGTGTGTTGTGTTGGTTTTTTGCAGAGAGATTTGATTTGATTTGCAATTGTTCAAGTCATGGAGGAGGAGGAGGAGGAGGAGGAAAGTGTATCGTGTGTTGTGCTGTGTGTGCTGTTATCGCTCGCACCTAGGGTTGTGTTTCTGTTCCCGTCTCCTATTTATATACCATACCTAAACGGCTGCCTCACCTCGGCTCGGCTCGGTTCGGCTCCGCTCTCTCGGCTTCGATTTAAATGAGTTTAGAAATGGGCATGGCATAATATAATAAAATTAATTAAAGTTTAATGAATTGTTAATTTGAAATATGAGTGTATGTAAAATTGGAATAAGGGTCAGTTTGGTTGGACCCCAAACCAAACAAACATTATTAACATAGGGTTTAAAATGACCCAGCTGCCATGCCATGCCATTCACTTATTATTCTAACTTTACTTTTACTCTTTCTTCCTTGGTTGCGTGGATGAGATTTTCTTATCATAAAATGATTCAGACACCAAAAATCACTAATGAACAAAATAAATGACACCTCAATTCTCCTGTCCTCAACCGTTATTACTTATTCGCCACACCCGCACAGTAATAATAATAATTCTTTGCATCAAATTACTCTTTTTTTCATAATTTACTATATCACTATATTTCAGATTATAAAAAATTAAATACCTCATGTCAGTGTTGTAATTTTGTAATTTATTCAGGACCGTTTATGAATGTTTAAATAGCAAATTAAGGATTTGGTTGTTTAGTTTGATTTCATTTTAATTTTTTTTAAAATGAGATATAAGAATTGGCTCAGTAATATAAAAAAACAATTAGATTTTTATGAAAAAAATAGAAAATATATATTAAAAATTGCATCCAAAAGAAAATATTGGACAAACAAAACTAAGTATTTTGACATATATTTTATGAGAAAAAATAATATAATTTTATTAAAAAATATGACATAATGAATAGTATTGATTTGAATTTAAAATTATTAAAAAAAAAATTAATGACTTAAATAACTAAATTCAAATCTAGTTCTGAAGGAAGTAATTAAATAATTTACATTTTGCATTCACATTATAATTTATTGGATGGTTGATGTACATGTGACAAAATTAAATACTTATCAAAATAGATTTAAGTGCTTAACTAGATCCAAACATATTTTAGATCAAAAACAAAATAATCATACTTAATAATATATTGTTCACTTTAACAACATATAAACAAAACTATTAGGAAATTCTTTTAAAAAAAAAAAAAAAACCACTAAATTTTTTATAAACTTTTAGTTTACAAAATTATAGTCTATATGTATTAACTTTATAATAGTTGTGATTTGTTTAAAACATATTTCTCCATTTGTCCATAAAAGGTAATTTTATTGTGCATTATATTAAAAAGTAATAGTGTTTATCAGTAAAAAATATATTTTCTTTTAATATTTTTATATTTTGTGTATAAATTTCATACTAATTATAATAATATTTTTTAAATTTATATAAAAAATAAATATATTTAATTTATTTTTACCTTAAAATAATATATATATATATGTGAGTGAAATATATAATAATAATAATAATAATAGTTGTTAGGCCGGGATGGAGTAAATATAATTTAGTAGTTGAATTGTAGATTAATGCATTAGATTACTTTTTATAGAAAATTTGATGGATTTATTTTAGAAATTGACCATTTAAGTTAATTTTAAAAAAATATTTATAATTTTCCATATTATATAGAATTTATTTGATTACCTTTCTATTTTTCATATATTTATATAAATTTATTGAAATTTGATTATATTGGGTAAAATTATAAATAATTCTTTTCTATATTAAAAAAGTTTGTACACTCTCCGTTCCAAAATAATATTCTCATTTTATCATTTTCATCATGTCTCAAAATAATAGTTTTATTTCTATTGTTATTATTACATCCCCACCTTTTTACAAAAATATCCTCACTTTTTTCATAAATTATATAAAATAGGAGTATTTTATTATTTTAAAAACACATTTACACTCATTATCAATATAATACTAGTATTATTTAATTCTCATGTTCATCTCAAATGTCCTTATTATTTTGGAGCAAAAGGAGTATCATTTTTCCTCATGATTTAGAAATATCGTAAGCCTTCGTGTATTTAAAAAATATGCATAAAATTCATTTTTTTAAGAGTTTCTGTGTAATAGTTTTGAAAACACGAAATACTCTAGCACAAATTTTTTAAAATTTTGTATAATATTTTCTAAATTACGAGGGATTCTCATACAGTTTCTAAATCAAAGAATGATAATAGTGCAAAATGTTCAAACCACAAACGAGTTGCATATAATTTTGCCTACATTATATTCGATACTTATATTTTTTAATATCTTAAAAAATTTATAGAACTTTTACAATTTCTATCTAAATAGAGTCTAATATTATTTTTAATTTGTATTAAAATAATTGTTTTTCTTATTAGGGATAAATGACTTTTAAAAATTTGTACAATATTTTAATAATTTGTTTCTTTAACAAAAAAATTTCAACACATTTTTCAAAAAAGAATTAGTATACTTCCTACCTTCATTATTTTTATATTATCTATACAATTTTCTATATTTTACATTAAAAAAAAAAAAAAAAAAAAAATCTTTAAACCAAAAGATAAAACAAACACACTTGCCTATTTACAAATACAATTGTTTCAATTGCATTAAAATTTAAAAATATTTTGATATTAACAAAGAAAATACTTTCACCGCAATAAAATAAATAAATAAATAAATAAATAACATATTATATATATTTGGGATACATAAAGTACAATTAAAATATAAAGAATTGATTACTTTGTTTATTTAGCATTTGATTTCATTTTATTTACTTACACATTATTTTCGTAATTTTTGTAGAAGTGTTATATTTTTCTTTCATAAAATATTAGTATATCAAAAATATATATATATATATATTCATAATATTTTTTATCAATAATATTTTTGTACTATTGAACTTTATTAATTACTAATTCTATCATAAAACAATTACTAATTCTATCATAAAACATATTTTATTTTTATATTAAAAAGGTAAATATATATATATATATAAAGTTTATTAGTTGTAATTTGAAATCGATTTGAAATAAATCATCAATTACAATTTTTATTTAAATAATATTTTAATATAATATTTTGTAGTATAAAATTAATATATTTTTATTAGAAAATATACAAATTGAATAATAGAATGGTATTCTTTATTTAAAATATAAAAACAAACACAAATGAGAATATATTTTTAATGAAAACATAAAGAAAAAAACATGCATTTCAATGGAAAATAAAAAACTATTCTTATAAATTTTTAGTAAATTTTGGATGACAATATTATTGCATAACGATCTTGCTAACAACAGATGACATATAAATAGATAATATATAATAAATAAATTCATATCACATAATTTAAGTTACCATAATATAAATGCAATAAGTTGAATTTTAAAAATATAATGTAGTAGCACAACAAATATAGGCATTATATAATTTATTACTAATACGAACTAATTAAAGATATATGAGAATAATACATATGTGCTACTGTTAATTAATATATACAGATCTGATTCTGACCTTTCTTAAGGTCCGGGCAAAATAAAAAAAAAAGGGCTATTAAATATATTTTGTATATTAATATAATAATAAATAGATATTTTTAAATTTAAATATAGTTATAAAATTGTATATTTAAGGATCAAAATATAAATATAAAATTAATGTGACATTTTTGACATAAAATTTATTTTTAGTATAATATAAAAAAATAAAATTTAATGTTTTTTAAATAAATTTTTTAATGAATAGTTAAATTTAAAAAAAAAAAATAATTCAAATAAAAATATTTGCTTAGTGTTTATAAAATATATAATTTTTTTTAATATTACCCAAAAAATAAAAATAAGACATACAAATTTAAATATATATACATGAAAATAAAAATAACAAAAATATATAAAATATAATTCTCTATAATTTTTTCACAACTTTGACTTAACTCACGATAAAATATAATACTCCTATAAAATTGTAAACTTAAACAAACCCATTAAAACATACAAATAATAACATAATTAATATATAAACAATTTAATATTAAAATAATTTATGTAAAAAAATACAAAAGACTCTTTTTGTCGATTAAATTTGCCTCATTATTATATTTGAAAAATTCAAAAGTCATTATTTAATTATTACCTTTATTCAACATTTATTCGCGAATAAATACACTCACTCTACTGCATTATCTCTTAATTTTCTTTAATTTATAATTAAATTTTCAAAAACACCTCAAACTATTTTTTTTACTTTTTTTTAATTTTTTAAATAAAATATTTATTTTTATTTTGAGCCCAAATAATCTAAATTTCATGGAGGAAGAGAGTAATTTTTTACTTAAATATTTTATTTTAAATAAAATTTACTAATATTAATATATATGGATTGGCTCGGGACCGTGGCCTGAATATATAATGTATACTATTTTTTATTTTTAGTTTTTTTTATATGTACGTTGAATTTATCTTACTATTAATTTTGACAAAATCAACAAATTTTACAATAAATGTTATTATTTTTATTATCTGCTCTCTATTTTTTTAAATTTTTAACTAAATTTTTTAAAATACTTTCAACTTTTTTTTACTTTTATTATTTTATTTAATAAAATATTTATTTTTCTTAATCTCCGTATCAGATCCAAATACTCTAATTATTGCGGACGAAAAAGTTAACATATGGGTATGTATTCCTACTATATTGGTCAATATATATATATATATATACATATATTAGTGTATGCTAATTATATACATGATATGTACTATTTTGATACATGTATTTCCTATGGTTTTCTTCCCGGGATCTGATTCGCTTTCCTCTCGTCAGCTATAGATATACATATAAGTAGACTTGAATTTAAACCAAAATATAAAATAAATAATACAAAAATATAATTATAGCTATATACCGGTACTTCAAACTGATTAATGATAAAAATAAAAATAAGAGCCCTAAATATATTAAATAATTAAAAATAATATATTTTTAAATACAAAAATAGTATTAAAAATCCAAAATTTTGTAAAATTAAAGATTACTTGACGATGGTGTAAAGTGAATTTTTCAAATTTATTTAATTACATATGATATAAATATATAACGGATCATTTATATTGGGGGTGTTTTACAATAAAATAATTTAATCTGGTAACGTATGGTAAATTTTAACATTGCACTTCTTGGAAGAGCTCCGCACTCTTAATTCTATGGGTGCATTTATTGTTTTCATTGTCTACATTGTCCAATTTTCAAGTTCCTCCACTAAATTTTTTTATAATTTTTTACTTTAAAAAATTATAATTATAGAATTTTTAGATTTTTTAGGTGTAACACGTCTTCATAAATATTATTAAAATTTTTTAGTGATTTTCTTTTTTTTTTTTTTTTAAGTGAGTTTGATTTATAAGTATATAAAATTTAATAATTTTTACCTAAATAAAAATGTGTCAATTGTTGTGGGAAAGATAAAAATAAAAAATAAATCAATTTTTATGAAACAGACGAAATATATATAATGATATATTTGTAATTTTTGTATTAATCAAAAGTATTTTGACATTAATTTAGAATTGTTTTTACTATAGCAACAAAGATATATACTTAAATGATACAACATGGTAAAAAGATTATTGTATATCAAAGGCATTAGCATATATTTATAGAAAAATTGATGGGTGATTTGATTTGAGATTGAGCATTTAAATTCATTTTTAAAAAGTATTTCTAATATTTTTATAATATGTAGAATTTATATATTAATTTTAGTTAGGATTTGATTATTTTTATATATCTTTCTATGTATTTATATCTATTTAATATTTATTTATTGAAATTTATTTAGAATATTATGGCTATATATACTTTTTGAAACCTTCGTTGTTATTAGTGGATAGTAATTTTTCTATATATATATTAGTAAATTTTTTTTTTTTTTTTACAAAATATTAAATTAAATAATCAATTGATTACTTTTAAAATTTCTATGTAAAATCTAAATGGAGCCTATATTATTTTTTAAATATATATTTTATTCTTCTGTCAAATTTAATATTATTTTTTTATTCTATCCGTTAAATTGATCATATTACTTAAATTATAAAGTTAACAAATTAAAATTTAATATTTTCATTCCTTCTACACTTAGGGTGTGTTTTTTTGTGTTTTGGTTTGAGAAAATATTTTTTTATGCTAGGTACATAGAATTGTGTAGGTAATAATAATAATAAAAAAAATGTGTAGTATATTTAGGGTGTGTTTGTTTGGGGATTGGATTTTAAATTTACTATTCATGCTAATTTTTTTCCCTAAAAAATATCAAATCAAACATTTATTTTTTATTTTTTATATACATCGTATCAACGCCTATTTATATCACAACATACAACTATTCAAATTCCAACTCAAAATCCAAACCCCCAAACAAACACACCCTTAGTGTTTTCGAAAAACATGTTAGAAAAATTTTGGATAAAAGAACAAAATTTTATTTACAACAAATACCACTACTTTTATTATATTATTTATTTTATTTACTTTAATTTCTACAAATTTATAAAAATACTTCTAACCAATTTTTTTTTTTACTATATATATATTTTTTTCAATAAAATATATATATTTTTAATCTCTATGTCAGATAAATAAGCTAATTTTAGTGGACAAATGAAATATTAAAGTAATAATAGTTTGATTCTCTTATCAAAGGGTAAAAAACTTTTAATAATAACAAACGTTATGTGATTGGTAGTGTTATAGGAATAATAAAATATATATATATATATATATATATAACAATAAAGTCACACTAGATAAACCAAGCGCTATTTCGTAATTTCAACCCCCAACCACCGGACATTCTTTACTTTTAGTTAATTTTTTAAATGGATGCGGATGGATCCTTGAATTAATGATTATATATTTATAAAGATCAAAATTGTTTTTTTTTTTAGACCAATTTTGATGTTTTTTTGTCTTAAGACGAAATATGCCAAATCCCCAACCGGACCTGACGTCATTCTATTTCTAGGACCGCCGCCCCGTCCTCCGCCGTATCTCCATTTGATGCACAGACACACACACACACAAATTCTGCAGAGATCATCGGCTCATTTTGGAAATAATCGACGAAGACGATGAAGGCTTCGACAGGTTTAGGGATGCGGAGAGCTACGATCCCCCTGAGCATTCTGAATTTCTCATTCAGACCAGGAATTTGCGCCGGAGATTCCAAACAGATGAGCATTGTTGAAGCTCAGAATGGACAGCTGAGAAAGATTTGAAGGCAGAAATGGCCGCCGGAGAAATTCTCCGATTGGGTCAATGATTTATTAGAGTCCCAAAAATGCCCCCGTGCATGTTTGAAAATTTGGAGTTGCTTCTTGGGCATTCCATGATGCAGAAAGGCTAATTAATGTTTATGGTTATTGCGAATGGCAAACACGGGTGGTTCTGATTCACGAATGAGATCGATCCAAAGTACATAAAGTTATCAACTGCCTGTCTAAACTGAGAGATAAATAAAGACAGATATGACAAGCCCAACGATTATTCCTTGATCATCAAAACTCTCACTCAAGTTTGTTCCTTCTTTCTAAGCCGCTGAGCCTCTCAGTTCGTCCGGGATGTTGGGATGTCGAGATCGCGGAAAACTGGGCTGTCAACACCGACTCCCATTGCATTCAGACCATTGTCAACGTAAACCATTGTGCCGGTGATGGCTGATGCCAATGGCGACGCTAGAAAGGCAGCAGCATTCCCGACCTCATCTGCGATTCATTTGTGTCGGGTTTTAGGGTCCGGTTTTCAGAAATACAATGCAACTGCAAACTTCACAATATACAGTACTCACCTGCAGTGAGCTCCTTCTGCAGAGGGGCGTTTTCCAGGGAGTAGTCTATCATCATGTCGATGAATCCGATAGCCTTTGCAGCACGGCTTCTTAATGGCCCTGAGCAAAATACACCGTTATAACCAGACAAACAATCTTTGAAAGATCAGAGACCATGTAAGCAGAAGCTAAATACCGGCAGAAATGGTGTTGACCCTGATACCGTGCTTTCGTCCAGCTTCAAAGGCCAGCACCTAAGCAAGTGGATAGTTTCTTAGGACATCATTGTGTGGAAAAACAATGAGACTAGACCATGTCCGGGAAACTTACTCTCGTGTCACTCTCGAGTGCAGCTTTTGCAGAACTCATGCCCCCTCCATATCTGCAGAAAGAATACAAGGTGACTCCTATCGTATAGAAAGTAAAATCATATTCTGTTCCGAAATTAAGGAACACATACCCTGGAATTATCCTCTCAGATGCAATGTATGTCAAAGATATTGTGGAGCCACCTGTCAACAACAGGGTAAAGAAACTAACTTTACGACGCTTTATTGGGAAATATTACAGGTCATATAGGAGAATGATAACATACCAGGATTCATGATAGGAAGAAAATGCTTGAGAAGAGAAACAAAGGAATAACTAGATGCAGAGACTGCAGCGAGGTACCCATATCTGGATGTTTCGAGAAGTGGCTTAATAACCTAAATGTACACAGTTTAAAAAACTCCGGTCAGTTCAGAATCACATAATGACAACAAAAAGAAGATAAAAATACATGCAAATACACACCTCTGGACCATTGGCAAGTGAATGCACAAGAATATCAATTGTGCCAAAATCCTGTTTCACCAATTCAGCAACTTCCTGCAAGATAAGATCAGGTTCGATGAGGGATCCCGTGCTGAAGAACAAGGGGTTTTGTGTGTGAGCAAATATGATCAAACTAATCTAGAGGTTCTTGATAAAAAATGTGATCAAAACCTTCTAATCAATGGAAGAGGGTGATAATTTATTGGAACTTTCAACAGATATCAGAGAAAGGAGAATGAGGGCATATATTACAAGCATGTAGTTCTATCCATTAACAAAAGTAAACTCTAGATTTTTCGGCCTCCTTGACCATAATTTGAGTGCCTTTTTAGGTGAAAAGGAAGCAATATCAGACTCTTTTCAGGTATATATTTTAACATCGTCGAAATTAGCACAAAATAGAAATAGGAAAAAGGAAAGTGGAGGTGGTTTGAAGCTAAGACCTTCACAGTCCAATTTGAAGATCCTGAATAGCGTTTGTTTGCTTTGACCTGCATCAACGCACACATGAATTTAGACAGAACAAATATATCCTAACTCCAGAAGTACCATGAAAATACTTACATCTTCAGGAACATCCTCGGGAGAGTCATAAACTGCATCCAGTGGATAGACTTTTGTAATTTCCATCAAAGAACCATCAGGCAGCCTACAGTTACACAGGATACCAGGACAAGTCATTATTAGACAAGCTGAATGAAAACATGTATAGTTGTCAGGCATAAAACAATCTATACTTACACTCGCGATTCGTCAAACTTTCCTCGTCGTAGGCTGCTCTCAAAGATATTCAGTGCCTGAAAGATGAGATTGTAATAAAGATAAACAACACAGCTTGAGATAGATCAATTAGTAATGATGCAAAGAGGATAATATAATGCTCATATACGTACCGGGACCCATGTGCCGACAAGAATTTCAGCACCTGCAGCAGCGAGAGACTTCGCAATTGCCCATCCATACCCATTGTCATCGGCCACACCAGCAATAAATGCTCTCTTCCCTGTAGACGAAACAAAACACAGCGTAATCGTACTACAAACACAATCAAATTCATAAAGCATCTATGAGATAGTAGCAAATATATGGCTGCAATCCGACCTCTAAGATCAACAGGCAACCCCTGCAATGGCTGTTTCTCGCTTTCTCCAGACGCTGCTTTTACAACATGTCTTTCGAATTTAGACTGACTGCAGCTGTACTTTTGGGCAAAAGGCTGTGTTGTAGGGATGAATGACGAGCTCTTAAGCTTTGCAAAAGATATGCTGTTGGTTTCATTAGCAAAATATGCAATGCTTGATCTGGAGATTTTACGGAACGAGGAAAGGCAAGGCTTTGGTGCCAAAATTTGAGAACTAGGAGTTGCACTTGCTGCCATATTCAATCTAGAGAATGCTGCAAATTAGGATCAAAACAACACAGAAATGTACGATAAATCAAAGCAGGCACACAAAAGGACAAACGAGGTTAGATGAAAAATCATCGTAGGAAACCTAACGGCACACAACATCAGGCTTGCTTAAAAATAAATATTAAGATTATTCATTCGAACGAAGAAAGTGGACGGAATATAGCTTCCCAGCAATGTATTCACGATATACACAAAAACGAAAACTCCTATAAACACAGGTACACAGAAATAACAACAGATCAAGCTCGTCGTGTCGTGTTCATACGGATCAAAACATCATTTCGATCGGAAGCAAGCATACCTTTGTAGAGAGAGAGAGTACAACAAACCCTTAACTCAATCTAGTCGTTTGCAATGAATGTATGTATGTAGAGCTAAGAAGAGAGGGTAGCCCGTCAAATATATGGGTTTCGATACAAACTATGCTGTTGTTTGGTGTAGACTGATGGGAAGCTTTGAAAGCGCCGCTATGAGTGCGAGAAATGGGAGCTTCACTTTGGCAGATTCGCCGTCATCTGGAATGACTATTTTGCCCCTTGTTTTGGGCTTTTGTGATGGGCCTTGGGCCCAGTTCTTGTGCACGCGCCACGGGTAGAGGGCACGTGACGCCGTTTTCTTTCCATAAGTGCCTCTTTTTCTCTCTCTAATTCTATACAGCTCTGCATATATATATCGATAAGTGTGTTTATTTTAAGTCCTTTTTTGGATTGGCGTCTGCAGCAGCTCTGCTAGATTCATCGCCATCCCCTCAGCCTTGGTTAAAGATAGAAACCCTAGGTGTAGAATGGGGTCGGGGTTGATAAATTGATTCGCGCCTTCTTTTGCTTCTCTGTTGTAATTAGTTCAGGGTAACTACATCCACTCTGGTGTTTTATTCGAGTATTTCGTTGTCGAAAATCCTGATCTGTTAGCCATGGACATGCGGAAGAGGCCTGGAGGTGAATTTGCTAACGGCGCCCTGAAGAAATCTAAGCTAGGTTATATTGCTGTCTCTTCTTTTTGTGGTTTTGATTTTGAGTTTCTAAATTTTTGTTAAAGCTCGCGTCTATGCAGTAGCGACTCGGAAACTTCTCATTGCCCTTTCGCATTTCGATTACATACATGAATCAGCAAACGTGCCTTGGGCAAACGTTTCCTTTCTTTGTTATTTCAATGTGTTCCAGAAGCTAGGTCTAAGGGGTTCGGGGGTTGTAAATATGGGAATGTGAAACGTTTGGTAGTTAACGGGGGACAGTTTCTTTACTTGTTTGTATTACTAGCTTTTGGTAGGAGTCTTATTGAAGCCTATAAATGTGTATATATATGCATATACTGATTTTGGTGAAGTTAGCGTCCTGTGTTGCAGTCGTGTAGATTTAATTTGATTAACAAAAAGGGCTTTAAGTTATTGTTAACTTGATGGGATATGTTTTCTGGTTAATCATGTGAATGGGATCGTTCTGTTGAAAAAGTAAGTTCTGCTAAGATGTTAGTGTAATTTATGATGTGGATTACATTTATTATTTTTCACAAGTGTAATTCGTTAAAAGCCTTGTAAAAAATTTATATGTTGTAGATTTTTTCATATTAATAACGTAAGAATCAAGGTAAATTCTAACCGAGAAAAAGTAATTAATGTTTTGCAACAGAAATCGACTCCTTTTCAAGTGGTATAGGAAGCAAATCGAAGCCATGCACGAAGTTTTTCAGGTTCAAATCTCAACCTGCCTAATATAATCTTTGAAATTTGGATGTTCATGAACAGAGACAAGTGGTATATGAAATAAAAGCTTCTGTTGCATTCATGAACCATTGGCTACATCATGAATATTATTTAATATTATACTTTGTGGATACATGAATGATTTTAATAAATAATATTACATTGACATCTTGAGATTTGATGCACATAGATTCGTAATCACGTTTAAGTCTTTTACAGCCAATTGGTGTCAATGGAGATTATTATTATAATCAGCTTTCAATATTCTCATTTGGGATATGCACCAATCCTTTTATGTTTGGAAGCTTAATTTTGCATTTTGGCAAAATTTAGCATTTTGTTATTGACTAACTGTGTTGCACATCTGGCATGTTAGTAACAGGAGCATTGTTTATGCTTAGAAGTCTTCATTTTTAATTCTGATATTAATCATCAAGTTTTCAATAACAAAATTTTACGTTGCTTAAGAACTTCTCTGAATCATACTCTTAACTGATCTTAGTCTTATCTCAGCATGTTAGGGATTTGTATCTGTTTTAATGATCTGGAAGCTAGTATACTGGTTTTCTTGTGAAAGATATACTGAGAGAAACTTGGAAGTATTGACTGCTTTTTCTGAATAACGATAAATCATCAGGCGTTCTGGTGATTAGTTTTGCACTTGCATCTCAATTTGCTGTTATACAATGCATATGCTGTATGATAAGGATAGATTTTATTAGAGATTACTTAATGGGAAATTGTTTGTGATTTTGAATTGATATTCTTATAGATTATAGAGCTTCCCCTTTGTAGCAATACTGCATTGTGTTTAGAGACCCATGCAAAAACAACAAAATCTGCCCACACTTCTTGTATGAAATGCACAACATGAGAATAAAAGAAAGAAAACTCAATTGGGGATTTGGGATGTGTATTATTTGTCACAGTAGAAAGGATTACCTTTAGTGGTCTTCAACCCCTTTTGTTTCCCTCACTGTTTTTGCGTTTGGAATGTTTCCTTTGATAAGTTAGATACTATTTGAAGAACTTAATTTGGGCATAACTGCATAGGTAGGGGGCAATATTTTACTTAATAAAGCATATTAAATTGTCTCTGCCAAGCTACCCGCCCTGTTTATATTGGTGTCTGAATGTGGGTTGGCTGGTATTATGTATCTCAGCAATATTCTTGAACTTGAGCCTTGAAATCTGGATTCCACTTTTTCTTGTGTTTTCAGTAGTTATATAATGAAATAGTATACCAAAATTTGGGGTTTGTTGTTTTGTGTGTTTTGGTTTGATGTTTTTGAGGTGAAAATAGTGGTTAGATGTGATGTTTTTTATATGGGAAAAAGGGATCTGTATGTGATGCTTTTTGAGGGAACATAAACATATTGAATAGCTGAATAATGGGGAAAATAAACACATCCTTGGTTTTACTGGCTGTGGCTTAGGGTCTATCAGATTCTGTATTCAAGTGATGAATGCCGGATTATTTGCTATCCTGAAAAATGTGAGCATCAGATGTGATATTTGTTTTTTACTCAAATCTGCAGCACTTCTGGTTGTCCATTCGGGGAGAATTGCCACTTCCTTCACTATGTTCCTGGTGGCTATAATGCTGTTGCGCAGATGATGAACCTACCCCCTGCAACAACCTCTGGATCGCACCATATCCAGAATGGCTCTGCTCCAGCTCTAGTCAAGACCAAGATATGCAACAGATACAAAACTGCTGAAGGCTGCAAGTACGGCGACAAGTGTCACTTTGCTCATGGAGAATGGGAGCTCGGCAAGCCCATTACATCATTCCAGGATGATCCTCATTCCCGTGCTTTCGGGGCTCTCCCTGGTCACTATGGAGCTCGAGCAGAGCCATCTCTACCAGGGCCTGCTGCAGCAGGCTTTGGTGCATCTGCCACAGCCAAGATCAGCGTGGATGCTTCCCTAGCCGGTGCTGTGATTGGGAAGGGAGGAGTGAACTCCAAACAGATTTGCAGGCAAACTGGAGTGAAGTTGTATGTTAGGGAGCACGAGATGGATCCGAATCTGAGGAACATTGAGCTGGAGGGCACATTCGAGCAGATCCAAGAGGCAAGTGCGATGGTACGAGAGGTGATTGTGAGCATCAGCAGTAACAGTAGCAGTAGCAGCACTTTGATGGGAAAAGCACATGGCGGAGGTGGAGGCGCAAACAGAGGGCCTGGGAACAACTTGAAGACGAAGCTGTGCGAGAACTTCTCCAAAGGGTCGTGCACCTTTGGGGATAAGTGCCATTTTGCACACGGGGTGGCTGAGCTCCGCAAGCCTGGTGTGTGAAAATAAAGCGCAATGCAGCCGTTGGATTGATTGATTGATTAAAGTGGATGTGGTGAGGTGAGGTGAGGTGAGGTGAGGCAATGGTTTGTTAACTGACTAACAGGTTCTGAATTTTGGGTATGTTAGTTGCTGCTAGTGCTAGTTTGGTTCTTGTGTTGTTTGGATGGATGGATAATTTGAGACCCTTCTTTTTCTGTCTTGTGTTTTTTCTTAGCATTTTATGAATTCCTGTTTCCTGCTCGTTAAGTTTGACATTCAATATTTCATTATTACTTTTATGAATTCCTGTTTAGGCTATGGAAATAATAAAAAATTAATGGCTGTACCTGTGGAATTCATTGTCTAATGAGAGTGTGGTGACAGACAGACAGACAAGTAATAATCAATCAACTAGCCCGCATGATAAATTAGGAGGGGAAGATGTTGCCATAATGTATTAAGTATGTTGTTCTTATTATGATGATGATGTTAATGAGCTTTGATGGTTTCTTCCCAGTTTGTTCTTTTTCAGGGAGGGATGATGGCATATATAACAGACTCATCTCTTTGCCAATGTACAACATAAGGTTACTACACTAGTAGCAGCAGTACCTTTCAACTTTCATACTCTGCCATGGGTTCTGCCATGACTGACGGTCCGGGATCTAGTCTTGTCAGAACTTCCGGCACACCGGTAGTATCCCTTATTATCTGCAGCAGCAGTAGATATATCATCATCATCATATATGATATGCTCTTCCAAGTGAAAATTCATGGGAGGGGAGAATCATTTGTGGATATTTAACCAACTCATAGAGTTAGAGGCTGATAATAAGCATACCAGAATCTCATCGTCCAGATACGAAATCATAAACAGCCTCTCAAATCTCCCACCTGAAAAGGCATTGGACGACAAAAGTAGAAAATAGATGAATCAGATATTTTAACTCATACATGAAGCAGAGATGATTTTGAGGGTTCATCGATGATATCTATCTAAAATCGATTGATTACCAAGAGGAACCTTCAGTCCACCAGACACAGCATCCTTAATGGGGGCAGGAAGCTGCTGCAACGTGTTTGTTGCCTGACCAAGTGCACCCTTCAGCTGCTGTGGTATCGATTCTTCATTAACTCTCGGGGATTCTATCACCCCCTCAATATATTCCTCTTTCATTCGAAGTGGCCCCTCAACAGATAACTTGGCCGAGATGATAAAGTTGCTTTCTATCTGCAGTTAACCAGGCATAAAGTGGACAAAATAAAACCAAATAACTTCCCAACTTTCATTCTCCAGTTTACTGTCGGGAATACGTGTCTGGAGCAGATATAGTTCTCATGGAAATCCAATTTAAAAATCTCTTTAAAACTAAAAAATTTGTGAGTCTTTCTAGTAAATCTTCCAGAAAACTCTGGTGACTGAAGGTAATATTCCTCTCGATTCAGTAGTATGGCTGCGCAGAAAACCAAGGTTTGACATATAACAGAGAAAATTGCAAGGAAGAAGCTAATACCGAATTAAGTAACTTGAGATTAGCTGAAACTTTGGCATATCCATCCTTGATTATGACATCCATTTTCGATAGATTTGCTAATTCTGGAGGAGACCTCCTGCAGAAGAACATTGTAATCCTCACCATAATTATAGTCTGCTTGAGAAGAAGTAGAAAATCCACTGAATTCTCATGCATAAAAGCCCCTGAATTACGCTTGAAGCTTTCTTTAATCATTTAGGAGAATTAACCTAATATCTTCAACCCAGTATTCAGATAGCAAGAAAGTTCATTTTGATACAGCCTGGCATTATATCAAAAAGTGCAAGAAATCATTGATGTGAAGGGTGGTAACTTACACAAACAAAACCTGAGCAGCAAAGAGCCCCAGGCTTCCTGCTCCAAACCACTCAAAATTCCATTGGCCTTCCAAAAAAGGTGACCTGAATAACCAGGATCACACAATGAACGCCTCGTACAGAAACAATGGCAGACCTAAATGTTTGTGGACAAAAGAGTAGCATACGTTGTCGGTCGAGGGGTAGGATTAAGGCGCTCGAGGCTAACTATTCTTTCATTCACATCAATTCTTTGTAAATCTGTTGTCTTCCCAGTGACCAATGCCTCAAACCCCCCAGCATCTCTGAACTAAAACACATTCAACAAATGATAAACCTAACTGAGCTTCATAAAGAATCGTTCGTTAGCTGTAAAAAATCAAGCAATTCTCACAAATATCACAGATGAATTTGTATTCGCATCACAACATTTATTCAGTCATTCACATGAAGCAACCTATTTGGGGTAAAGAGAAGAATAGGTAGGATGAAGATTAAACATGATAAGCAACTAGCAAATTATGGCTAAAAGTCAACCACAGCAGCAGACACACGAATTGTAATGAAATTTACAGAAACAGCAAGTAAAATAGAAAAATAAAGAATTGTTCAGCATCTTACAGCAAGAAGCAGAGATTCTTTAGCAGAAAGCCTTTCCATTTCCTTCGCATAAGCAGAGGATGGCCCTTGCACAGTTTGCTGCACCATTACAGGCCTACAGTTCCGACGCAATTTAGGTCTGGTGCAGCCATAGCTGTTCTCTACAAAATTAAACGCAGCGGCACTAGGCTGAGATGAAGATGCAGCAGAAGAAAAGCGTAGGTTGGAAGGGAACGAGATGGCGTGCATTGCAATTGAGATTGAGATTGCCATTGGGAGCGAACAGAAAGAAGGAAATCTTTTTCCCGATTGCGCTATGGCGGACGGGCGGACGGACGGCGGACGAACAACGAACTCAATGACTACTGATGCCGCTGAGTTTTTTATTTTATAGTAGTATTATAATAAACGATGAATGGGTGGGTCGTCGGGTTCGGATTGGATCCGGATCCGATTATTCCACGCCCGCTCCACTTTCATCTCGACCTGTAGCTGTAGAGCTCCAAACGTGATTTAAGTTACAAATGATGCTATCGATCGATCACCAACAGATTTGAATTAAATAATTGCACATATAGAAAACACAAAGCACAAAACACACAACATCATTGTCATTGTCATTGTCATTGTCATTTTCATGGTATCCGTCATCAATATTACACAAAATCTTGTTCGTTCTACGCTCCATTGAAGCAGAGGAAGCTACAAGGATTCAACACCTCATATGGTGATCGAGAGTGTAGGCGTGGATCTCCGAAGGGCTCGTTCCCGGCCTGCCCGCAAGCAAATTCATTCGGCAATGAATGAATACATACATACATACACACACATCAATACATCATCTTGTAAGAAAGAGAAATTAAACAAATAGGCTTTTCAAAGAAATAGCTCGACCACCTCTTGTTGATGATGCCGTAGTGAAACTTGGGTCTTCCCAATCCCAGCTTTTTATCTTCAATGTACTACAACCATTACCATTACCGTTACCATACATACCGATCAAATATTACCCCCTACACAAACCTAGAAAAAGATTCATAGGATCCTACTTACCAGTTTCAAGGTGACTAGCATTGACGAGAATGCCAAAGAATCGAATGGAATATCCTCCATTGCAAATAGCCGGCATTCTGAGGATTCTGGACCTGGCGAAAAATGAGGCCTCTTCAACTTTGCCAGGAAAATGACGTAAGTCTGTCCACATCAGGCATTAAAGCAACTAGTTTCAACATGATGGAGGAGATGAGATACTGAGCATGTATGTATTCACACAAAATGGATGAGGCTGCTTGATTCTAATCTTTCTTACCTGGCCAATCAGAGGGATGTCCAGCTGAGCGAATGGTGACAGCACTTCCACCTCTGCATTTGCCTCCTCCCACGTCTCCCGACTTGCCCCTTCAGCAGCAGATTCCCCAATCTCCATGTATCCAGCAGGAAGTGTCCTGTATATATACATATGTTTTACATGTGGAACCTCACTGGGAAAAAGTGTCAGTGCCCAAAGCTTACCAGAGGCCATATGACGGCTGGATCTTCCTTTTACATAACAATATCTTGTCTTCGTGCTCGATGAGGCAACCCACCACCTAACCACAGAAATCCAAATAAGAAGAAGTGGCTTCTCTTCAAGTTTTTTATATCTAAGAATAATAAAAATGGATATAATGCAAAAGAGAATCTGTTCTGGGCCATTCTCCTATTTTTGTTTTCCACTATTCCAAACACACTCACCATTTTTGGATTCTCATAAGCTATTTTCCCACACTGGGTGCAAATAGCTCTTCTCTTTTCCTCCCCATCGGGAATCTCATGCTTTGTTGGGCCTCCACACCACTGGCAGAAGTTTATTTTCTTACTACTGCCCTGTGGTTGTCACAAACTAAGCACACAGTTAGAAATAACAGCGGCAATGGAAGAGTGCAAATAAAGAAAGCAACTCGAAAAGAGCACAATATATATATATATATATTTGTAACAATGAGGACTCTAACAAGAAATAAATAATATGAAAGTAATGCATCCAGCATGCCTGAATATCTAGATGGCATAGCCAGTTAACAATTCATGTGCAGTGCAGGGGTGTCCGGTGTTAAAGTTCGGCAACAACTCATCCACATGCTAAACTTGACTAAAAAGGAATGTGGTGTGAAGGTGGAGACATGTTCAAACAACTAAGATATAGATAATTAATTATTTAACTGATGACATACTTTTGCTACCAAGGAACAATGCAGTTAGCCGTGTAGATATAGCTATTTCTTCTCCTATCAAATTCCACTGCTTGTCCTGGTTTGATTTTAATACTCACTAACACTAAACAATACTAATTGGAGATCTTGAATTCGAATTATTGCGAGCTTCATCACCAACAAATTGCAGTTGCTGCTATTGTGTAAAAAGTTCATCTAACCAAATTGAAATTATTATAGTGGTCAAATGGCAATGGAAGTAAACATTATTATGATGATCATCATCAAAACAAAGAATCTCAGTATATCTCCTCAACAAGAGGCCATTTTATCTTGAAAATGCACAATCAAACTTGTTCACTGAAACTTTCTGTAAATTGACATGTTTCATAGTCATATACTCTAGGAAAAGAGGAAGAAATAAGCATCCCACTAATCTCTATCACTTTGATATCCATGAAAACGAAGCAGAATGGAATGTAAATGACCTATTTTCAATTCAACTTAATTAATAAGCCCAACACAAACTAAACGAAGACAGAGCAAAGAAGGCCGGAGCAAACATTCAAAATCGAAGCCAGGAAGGAAGATTAAGATCATGAAAGCAGCCCTAGCCCTAGCACTCACGGAGGTGTGAATCGCAACAGAGGTGGCGGACGGGGAAGAAGGAGAAGCCCCAGAGTGATTGCGGGAGTGGGACATTCGGCAAGCTCTGAAGAAGCAACCCTTGCGAAGTGGAGGAGCCGCAGACGCGGAATGTGGTTTGGAAGAATCCGAATCCCGATAACCCGAGTCGGGAACTGCGGGTTCAATTGGCTTTCGAGAAATTATGAGAAGATTGGGATGAGGGTTCCTGAGTCGATTGGGGAGGGAAAAACAGCAGCCAGAGGACGAGGACGAGGAAGATGAACCGAGAATCTGAATAGCTTTTAGCATTATAGACGAGTCGAGTCAGTCTGCAATGTTTTTCTCAGCGGTGGAAATAGCTACAGCCTACAGTTAGCTGGTAACATGGGCGAGATTTTTTGGTAGGTGTGTGGGAATGGGAATGGAATTACATACAAATCAGACAAGGCAGGCAATAGTAGTAATAGGCAGAGTCTGGTGGGTGTGCTGCTTCGCTTTGCTTTGCTTTTGTTTCCTGACGTTGAGTGAAGACGACGAAGAAGAAGGATTACCTCTTTTTACCACAGCACAGCATATTATCATCCATCGTATCATATGTGTATGTGGTGAAACTCCATTTAGGTCAAATTCTTTTTCTTTTCTCTTTTTCACTACAAACTTGATACAGTCAAATCTAACATCAAGAGTGAATACGATGATATCCATAAACTTTTGTTTACGAAAGCATCAAATTAAACATTCAACTTTTATTTATTTTATTATACTAAAATTTAAATTTACATTCATTGCTACAGTAATTTTACTTTAATCATAACTTCATTTTTTCCTATTATTTTTTAAATATTCAATTTTTTATATTATTTTAAATAATTTTTTATTTTTATAATTTTAAATAATTTTTTTAAAAAATTTAAAAAAAAAATTAATTTAAAAGTTAAATTTACAATTTGTAAAAAATAAAACAAATAGAAAAACAAAGACACCATAAACGCGGTGTTGCACTGTAGCAAACACAAGAAATGGTATTGCAATTGGCACTGAATTGGAGACCCGGGGCGGATAATTGCAGTTGCAACGTCAATCTTGACGTGTGGTTGGAGATGACCTTAGATTTATTGTGGATTGATGATTATGATTAAATTTTGTAAAAATAAAAAATAAAAAAATATTAGCTTCAAAATGATTAAGGTGGAATGAAATGGAATATATATATATATATTAATGACGTAGGAATTCGCATTTGTTATTCGAAATTGCTTATCGAGTAAACTCCAATTGAACCTAATATTTTGCATTGAGTAAATCCCGACCGAATCTAATATCTTGCAAATTAAATTCGGTAAAGACAAATCACATCAGACAAGCCAGAGAAGAAAATTAAGAAAAAAGAGCTGTTGGGCTTGCTTGGAATGGAAGGACAGAAATGCAATGGAAATGGAAATGGAGTTAGAAATCTTTTTAATAATTGTGAAGTGAAACAGTATTGCACGCACCAACCTCCATATTTACCTTCTTCCACCACCACCACCTCCTCCTGCAGTAGTAACACACGCTATAATAACCCACAATTGAAAATCAATTATTATTATTATTATTATTATTATTATTATTATTAAAACACTCTCTGAATTTATTTTTTTGTGTAGATTAGTAACACTAATTTTAAATTATTATACCCTCTGTTTCACCTATCAGATTTATATTGCCGTTTTTGTCCGTCCGTTCTGCATTTTATGCCACATTTTTTTTAGAAAATAATTATACATTTTAATCTCATTTTTTATTTTTTAATTTATTTATTTTTTAAATTTTAATAAAACTAAATAGTTATCTTAATCTATAATTATTTATATTATTTTTACTAATATATTATTAATTATATTTATACTAAATTCTCGTGTCTACTGTGACTCAAACATCCAACGTAGGACGGAGAAAATATTATTTAGTCGCGCTCTAAATTGATTTTACTTTATTTTTTCTTGCTAACATGTACCAATAATATGAAGGGAGCATGACTGCAGTACTATATATGAAATATCTGATCTAATTATAAATAATATAAAATTTTATTTATATAATATAAACACAACATGAATATGATAATAGATTTTACATTACCATTAATTTTAGCAAATAATATATATTCACATAGCATACATTTTAAATATAAACATACAACAAATGTTTTCAAATATCACACAGCTTGTGCTATGTTAATATTTCAAAGAATGTAGGGTGTGTTTGTTTTGTGTTTTTGTTTGAAGGGATATTTTATTGTTAGTGATGTAGAAAATTACGTAGATAATATAAATAATACTCTTTCGGTCTCTTACAATCTATTCATTTTTTTTTTTTTATTTTAGTAATTGTACGAGTTATAAATACTCTTCCAATTTACAATACATTACACAAATGTCATTGCTTTTTATATCATATACAATACTTAATTCAGTTATTTTTACTTTTATTTCTATTTTATCTCAATATAATACTAATATTTTTAAAATTTACGTATAAAAAATAAATAAATAAATAGTTATGGAGTAAATATTTGTAATATATATTAATTCTTTTTAGAAGATATGTAAAAAAAATTTAATTAAAATAACACACCCATGTTGCTTCATATACTGTTAAAAAAATAAAAAAATCAATATAGTACTGGGTTTTTTTTTTTTTTTTTCAATTAACATGATAGTCAGTTCCATAAAGTATACTATTACATAACCGTAATGCACAAACATTGGAAACGTAGACAAGAATTAACTAGCTAGAATATTAAATTAAAATTATTTATAGTTTAGATAGAATTTTACAAATACTATAACTATGCTATATAAATATGTATTTTCTAAAAGATATTTATTACCAGCCATAATAATAACAATATAATGATATGTTTGTGTGAAATAGAAGGCTCCTAATCAAATACTAAGAAATTTCAATGATACACTTTAGTCTTGTGGATTTCTATTTAAAACATTTTAGTCTTCTTAATACTAAAAGTGAGTATTTTTCGTTTTGGTTGGTTGCTATTTCAAAATAATATCACTACTATTTATTTATTATATTTTTTAATAAAAATATATTATTTTATTTTTAAAAATATTTCGTTAAATTAATATTTTAGATTAAATCAATTTCAAACTATTATTTTAAATTTTATTATTTCTATTATATAATAATTTGCTAATATAATTTTTAATTAATAACTAATTACAATTTACATTAATTTGAAAGGGAAAAAAACATGAAAAAGGGATTAGAGAAAATAATTTTTTAAACTTGAAAAGTGGAGTACTTGAAAATATTGAGACAAGAGACACAGATAAATTATAGTATTCCCTCGTTCTTATATACCATGTCTAAATTGTTGTTTCTGTCATATATCACTTTCATTTTTTAAAAAATAATTAAATATTTAATTTTATTTTAAATTTTTTAATTTTAATTAAATTAATTAGTTATATTAATTTTAATTTATAATTATTTATATTATAAACTTTTAATTATTTACTAATTATACTGACGTCTTTACAGTGTAGCTGAGGCGCTACGTGTGGAAGAGAGTTCTATTTTATTGCGACGGGTGCAGACAGAGTGGCAATCGAAGGGCAATTTCGTCCTTACAAAAGGGATTGGATTGTGGGGTCTACACTGGTTGAGGACATACTAGATGGACGGCTCTGATCTTTCGAGAGGTCAATTTAAGCTGAATTTCATCTGAGGCTAAGCTTCATTTCCCGTTCTTCATACGCGCGGAGGCAGACAGCGTGCGAGCATTCGTCACAGAAGGAGAAGAGACGCTCTCCCGTCGCGGCCTCAAGGTATCCTTTCATTCTCGCGATTAATTTCTCAAAGATTTGATTCATTTGTCGGGGGAGCATTTTGATGCTTTTTCTAAATTATGTTTTGAAGAACAAGATTGGATCTCGTCGAGTCTCTGCCGTTTAAACATTTTCGATATCATTGATCCAATGAAGTTTCATTATTATTGTTGTGAGATCTGTTCGTGCGTCCGTTATTTGAATCTGGATTCACGGATCTGTGAATGTGTATCTCTAATGGTGACCACTTATTACAAATTCGTATGCTTCCGTTTTTTAAAATTTGGATTTCGGTGTCCATGGTTATTATTGTTTTTGTTGAGTAGATTAATCTCTGTGTGGTAATTTCGTTCATGTTAAAAATTGCTCTTTGCGGAAATTCTGTTACCCCACTTGGCACCGACCATATCCTTCTGGTCAGATCTTACATATCAGATGGTGTGTTTACTATGGATCTTACATATCAGATGGTGTGTTTTCTATGGAAGATAGGAGCATATGACGATTAAATGATCCCTAATAATCACCACACAAGTAAACAAGGCATAAGTTCATTATCTGTTGGATGACAATATGATTTGATATGACATCGGATCTTGAGCTAATTTTCGTGTATTTTCTGAGAATAGTGCAATATACTGGAAGTTTTACAATATACTACTATAATATTGTAATCAGTAGGAAGATAATACTTTTTTTTTTGTCAGATCATATTAAGAGATGGCAGAAACTGAGGATATTCAACCGCTTGTTTGTGACAATGGAACTGGAATGGTCAAGGTAATACATAGCAGTTTGATACTTTATAAAAGTTGTTAACATGAATTTACTTATTATTTTCTCATAATGGACAGGCTGGATTTGCTGGGGATGATGCTCCAAGGGCTGTCTTTCCAAGCATAGTGGGGCGACCCCGTCACACTGGTGTGATGGTTGGCATGGGCCAGAAAGATGCTTATGTAGGCGACGAGGCTCAATCCAAAAGAGGTATTTTGACACTGAAGTATCCAATTGAGCATGGGATTGTCAGCAATTGGGATGATATGGAGAAAATATGGCATCACACCTTCTACAATGAACTTCGTGTGGCTCCTGAGGAGCACCCAATCCTGTTGACAGAAGCTCCTCTGAATCCCAAGGCTAACCGTGAGAAAATGACTCAAATCATGTTTGAGACCTTTAATGCCCCTGCAATGTATGTTGCCATTCAGGCTGTCCTGTCTCTCTATGCTAGTGGCCGTACAACTGGTAAGAAAATTCTACTTCATTTTTACTATTCCACTTAAAGATCCTCCAGCTTTGGCATTTATTTTGTCTGTGTTCGAAAATGCTTTTGATTACATTACATTATGATGTATTTAGTTTTTGAGGGGGAACCTCTACTACAATTTGGAAAAGTTACACCACACATAGTGTTGAGTTCATTTTAATTTGATTGAAACACCTTATATTGCATATATAGAGACTGCAGTTGACATGAAGCCTTGTTTGCGGTGAATGATTAATCTAATTATTGGATTAGCGAGGAAACTTCTCTCTAACATACAAAGGATTGCTGCTTGATGACAGGAATTGTTCTGGACTCCGGGGATGGTGTGAGTCACACAGTCCCCATCTATGAGGGTTATGCGCTCCCCCATGCAATCCTGCGTCTGGATCTTGCCGGGCGTGATCTCACTGACTATTTGATGAAGATACTGACTGAGAGAGGCTACTCATTCACCACAACGGCCGAGCGGGAAATTGTAAGGGACATAAAAGAGAAGCTGTCTTACATTGCTCTTGATTACGAGCAGGAGCTAGAAACCTCAAAAACCAGCTCTTCCGTGGAGAAGAACTATGAGCTGCCCGACGGACAGGTGATCACGATCGGGGCGGAGAGGTTCAGGTGCCCGGAGGTGCTCTTTCAGCCATCGATGATTGGAATGGAGGCTGCTGGGATCCATGAGACCACATACAATTCAATCATGAAGTGCGACGTTGATATCAGGAAGGATCTGTACGGGAACATTGTGCTGAGCGGTGGGACGACGATGTTCACGGGCATTGCGGACAGGATGAGCAAGGAGATCACAGCACTGGCGCCAAGCAGCATGAAGATCAAGGTGGTGGCTCCGCCGGAGAGGAAGTACAGTGTGTGGATCGGAGGGTCCATTTTGGCCTCTCTCAGCACATTCCAGCAGGTGGGTGGGTGGGTGTGTTTGGTTGGTTGGTATATATACTTATTGTGTTGAAATCTATGGTATGAGGTGAGTCTATGGTATTGTGTGTCGGTGTTGCAGATGTGGATTGCCAAGGGAGAGTACGACGAGTCTGGGCCGTCAATTGTTCACAGAAAGTGCTTTTAAAGCAAAGCAACAGACACTTTTCCTGGTCAAATCCATCTGGTCGTCGTGGGCTGTTTTTATTTTTTATTTTTCCTTAAAACAATAATTTCTTCTTCTTCTTCTTTGTCCTTCCTTGTCTATTATTTGTTTCGTGAGATTTTCCCTCTCTCCCTCCGCACCCCACCCCTATTTAAACTCTTGTTGTTTTAAGATTCGATGATGATATTGTTGGCGAACTAGTAAGTGATTGATTTTCCTGATTTATGATGATGATTGTAGTTTTATTCTCAATAGAAAGTACAAGTAGAAGAAAGACTACTCCAAATCTTATACTTTACATAATACTTGCTTACTGAAAGCTAGCTCATTGCAATGCACCCCATCCCCATCTACGGTACTTCATTCATTCGATATCTTTTCAACTTTTACACCATATGCTTAGCCATTCATGTGTGTTGTATATAAATTGTGTAAACACAATGCATGAGCCAACAGCATATATAAGTTCCGTTTTGTCTATCACCACTAATAAATGGATACAAATTTATGGGGACATATATGTTGTGTCAATACATCAACATCAAGATGGCATATGCACATTTTTATCGGTCAATAAATCGATATCGATGTCATGTATGAGTGAGTATAAACAATTATAATAATTATTCTATTTTCGTTATTGTTATATCCAACGACCAATAAATGAATACAAAATTATTGGATTACGTCAGTGGATCAAGATCAAGACGCATACACGCATTCTAGTATTGCACGTGTCAATAAATCAAGATCAATGTCGCATATGAATATAAACAATTACATGTGTTGTTTATCGAATATCCATTATTGTTATATTTGACGGCTAATAAATGGATGCAAAAAATATTGGACGTACTACGTCCGTAGATCAAGATCAAGATGGTATGTAAATATTATAACATCGCACGTGTCAGTAAATCGATATCAATGAGTATAAACAGTTATACGTGTTATTTATCGAATATCCGTTATTGTTATATTTGACGGTTAATGGATGCCTACAAAAGTACCGGACGTATTACGTCAGTAAATCAAGATCAACATGATATGTAAATATTAAAACATCGCACGTGTTAGTAAGTCGATATCAATGTAGTATATGAGTAGAAACAATTATACGTGTTGTTTAACGAATATCCGTTATTGTTATATTTGACGGTTAATAAATAGCTACAAAAGTATTTGATGTATTACGCCAATGAATCAAAATCAAAATGGTATGTGAATATTCAAACATTGCACGTGTCAATAAATCAAGATCAAATCGCATATAAGTATAAAACAATTGCACGTATTACCTATCAAATGTTTGTTATCGTTATATTTGATGAATACAAAAACTTCGTACGTATTATGTCAGTCGATCAAGATCGAAATAACACGTGAATAAAAAAATTTAGTAAATTTTCTGCATTGAGTATCAAAATTAAGATCGTATATAAGTATAAACAATTGGACATGCTGTGTCAGTAAATTTTCTGCATTGAATATCCGTTGCATTTTATCTGTAAAATATTAACGATTGTTATACTTTTTCAAGAAAATCATTGTGTTAAATTAACTAAAATTACCTATAAGATGTATATACGCGTAGCTAAGGTATGGACAATAGATGTGATACGAAGGAAATGTTAGGAATGCTTTGTCTTCAAATTTATTTGTTAGTTTGAGTAATTTTGAAATCTTATATTAAAAATATTATAAAAATATAATTACAAAAATTGAAAATAAAAACAACATAAAAAACTCCGCCGAGTCCAGCCCGACCCACCCACCCACTAAAATTTCATATCCGTGATGACGTGGCGGTGTCCAGATGCACCACCTCAAAATTTACTAGCGTGTCTGTAATGACATTTGTGAGAGAGAGAGAGAGAGAGATAAAAGAGAGGGGAGGGGAGGGGAGGGGAGAGACGCTTCACAACACAATACAGCTGCAGCTGCAACAGCAACGCCCAACGCTGCGCAGCGCATTCATTCATCATTCATTATTCATTATTCATTATTCATCATTCATCATTCTTCATTCTTCATTCTTCATTCTTCTTCACCATCCATTCATCCCTCCTTCCTTCATCTCTGCGGACCTGCATCTCTCTCTCTCTGGTTGAGTTCCCGCACAAGGCAAGAGGCTATCTGAGCGGGCACTGAAAAGGTGAGTCGGGTAACAGCCCTATTCAGATCCCTCCCTATTATAAATTGATTGTTTGCTTCTGCAGTGCAGTGCGGTGCGGTGCGGGTGGGTGGGTGATCTGTTTCCAAATATCTCTCTCCTACCGTCCACCCCCTCACTCCTAAACCTTCCTTCAATCCTTCTCTCCCGGCCCTCTCTCTCTCTCTAAACGGTACGACCGTCTTCTTCTCTCTCTCTCTTCTTCTATGTATGTATGTATTTTATGCCCTTACAGTCTCAATTTTCTGTGATTGTTTCTTCTGCGATGCGATGGGGTGGGTGTTAATCAATTGTTTTGAGATACAGACAGGCATACAGATGTGTGTATGTATATATGTGTGTGTGTGTGTGTATATGTATATATAGATGGATAGATGATTAGTATAATGTTGTGTACGCAGACGTCTTTCTTCCGTGGGTAGCTTTTACGGTTTGAGACTTTGAGCGGCTAATTAGTTCATGATTTCATTTACCATTCGCCTTCCTGTTTCGTTGAAATTAGAGTTTGTGGGTTAACTAATCTAATATGTTGAAGTTTGCTAGGGTTTGTATCGATCTCGTTCTTCACGCCATAAGAAATTTTGCTCGTTGATTTTCATTGACAATCGGATTTGGACTTGCTTGACGTTTTGGTTTCTGTAGAAATATGCTACAACTTTCACTTGCCTTGCAGCTAGAATCTTCAATGGCGGATGACAACACCGGCTCGATGAACCTTGATCTCAATCTGGTACCTGCCGATAGCATTGGTGATGGGAACGAGAACGTTGTTAACTTGCAGGATTGGTTGCATAATCCAGCTCCTCCTAGAAGAGCCGGGGCAATAATTGCTCAGCCCAGGAATCAGAGGCGGCAGCGGTCACTGTGGAGGCAAGTTCCCCTTCCTCCAGAAACTCTTAACCTTGCACTGCAGTTCCTTGGTGGCAATGTACCCCCTACCTCTATCCCTATCCCTACCCCAACCCCAACCCCAACCCCAACCTCAACTCCAACTCCAACCCCTGCCGGTGAGGCTAGTGTTGCTGCTGAGGAGGAGGAGGAAGAAGTGGCAGCGGCAGAGACGGGGCTGAAGATATGTGAGAAAACCGCCATTGCTTGTGTGGAAGATGATGCACAAGGCACTAAAAGAGATGGTGGAAAAAACAATGCCGACGACGGGAGCTTCTTCGACTGCAATATATGCTTCGATCTGGCCAGGGATCCAGTCCTGACGTGTTGTGGGCATCTGTTTTGCTGGTCGTGCATCTACCGCTGGCTGCACCACCATTCCGAAACCCGGGAATGCCCAGTTTGTAAGGGGGAGGTTACGACGAGGAGCGTCACGCCAATTTATGGCCGTGGTGGTGCTGCTGCTCCCCCACCTGACCAGGATGATGATACTGATTCCAGCCTCAATATCCCCGAGAGACCCCAAGCTCGGAGGGTTGAGAGCTGGAGGGAGACCGTCCAGCGGGCTGCCGCCAGCATGCCGATGGATGAGATCATAAGGCGCCTCGAACTGAGTTGGGTGCAGGCGCAAGCCCGCAATAATAATAATACTGCTGCTGCTGCTGCTGCCGGGGCTTCTCTTCCTGCTCCTGTTCCTCTCAGCCGGATGCTGTCCTCCAGGGGGCAGCGGAGAGAACGGATGAATGTGATTCCGGCGATCGATGCAGGGGAAGAGGAAGGAGTCATCCACGAAGTGGGTAATGCCCGGTGGCTTTCATCGCTGCTGTTTGGGAGGTCGGATTTGGATGCCCCGAGCATGGAGGCCGCGGGGAACGGGCGTGCGGTGTTGGGGGATGCATACTACGACAGCCATCCCATAAGAGCAGGAGGAGGAGGAAATGATGATGGTGATGATGATGAAGATGATGACGACGATGGGGATGATGATGATAATGGGGGTGGGGAATCTTCGGTGGGAATGGCGGATGTGGAGTCCTCGCGGCTGCAGCCAAGGAGGAGGAGGAGGAGGCTGTGAACCCAACTGGACTGGACTGGACTGAACTCTGAAGAGCTGAGAGTGAGAGTAAGTGGTGGCGAGGAGGATGTGTGGAACTTAGTCTTGTGTTTGTATAATAGTGGAAGAAGAAGAGCAGCATTGTGTTGTTGTACTCTACTGGACTGTGGAAGTGGAAGTGGAAAGTGGGGCAGATGGATGATTACAAATAGTACTATGGTTGTGACCCGACCCGACCCGCCTAGCCTTAATTGACTTGTTTAGTTACATTGGTCATTTGAACTGCCTGACTGACTGGCTTGCTTATTGGTTGCCATACCTATTACTACTACTACTACTAATCAATAATCACTTCTGGGGTGTGGTTCCAGAAAATTGGATTTGAAGTTTTTATTTACATAGTGTTTAATGGGATAATTTACAGGAGAAGTTTTTATTTTTTACTTCTTATATTAGTAATAATTATATAGTGCTGTGCATGAACTGAATTATTGATGACAAAGACACTAGCAGTAGATGGAACTTAAGCAGGCTCTCTCTCTCTCCAAAATTTGAATGGATTAAGAAGAAGAGTTGTTTTGGGTTGAATGGACGGTGGTATTTTGGGTTGGATCATCCGCATTTTATATTCAACAGGGCTGGGCTGGGCTGAAACTCCTTTTTTGCATGTTTTCATTCAAATCTTTTGAATTTTTGGTGGATTTTTCATTTATTTTCTTAATATGCACGATGTGATGTAAATATAAATATTTTTCTATTTCGATATGATATTAATGTATCATTTGATGATTTGATCATTACCATTACCAATACCAATCATTGATTCATTGATTTGCTGCTCTCTCGGCTCTGCTCATTCTCCAACAATTACTCTTTTCTCTTTTTATCATTCATCTTTACTACGTATAATTCACCCAACACTACAAGTCTACAACCAAACCAAACCAACCCACCACTTAACATCCAAACTCAATACTCTTTATCTACAGTCAGTCTAACACAACCCAACCCAACCCAGCCCAGCCCCACAATGCAGCAGCAGCTTCCTCTACTACCCTATCACAGGGACGGGGGTGGACCATTATTATTATTATTATTATTATTTTTCTCCTCATCCCACCCCTCCCCCACTCCTTTTCTTTACATATCAATCAATCAATAATAATACAAGGGAGGACAATCAATCAAGACCTGCTGCAGCAGCACAACATACCATCCATCTTCTGCTGCAACTTTCTGAGTTTTTTTGGAGAAAACATATAACCATTACATAATTTTTCTACAGAACAAAGTCTTCTGCCAGGATACAAAGGTGGGGGAAGAGAGAGAGAGAGGAGAGATTATGTGTACATCATCCCCGAACAGGGGAAGATAATACATTTAAGAGGGAGGAGGGCATGGATATTCCATCCTACAATATAATATATAATAGCAACTATATATATATATATATCATAACAACAACCCTTGTACTTTCCTTGACCATCTCCAGCTACCAATTTTGTAAAATATTCTGCCTGCGCAAGGCCACACCTGCAGGAAGCAAAATCAAGTCTGCGATGAATCTACCGCCACATCTACATCTATGATAAAAAATATCGTCAGGGCACGTAATAAATCAACCAACATAGCCTCAGAACACATTTTGGCATCTAACTCGGAAAAGAAATACACACACACATACACATTCTACCAGCAAGAATCCTTTTGAATCACAATGCTGCGCAATTTAAAGGCCTCACTTCTTGGTATACATACACATACAGACACTAGTAACATGCAGCACCATACCCTTAAGAGCGCATGGGGTGCCTCTAATGGAAAATGAGCTCAGCTTCACATGTGACATAACTAAAGGCCATGAAATGCTGAAGACACGCCTACACATTCAAAATTGAAGCCCAGCATTCCAAGACATGGAGCTATAAGGACAGGACATCATTGTCCTAATGGGGCATATGCCACTGCGGTGACTGCCATAGCAAAGTGTCGGATGCACCATTTTGATTGTTGGCATAAAACAAAACTGAAATGCTCACAATGGCCTACGCTGAAATCCACACTCCAGACAATGCCAAAAACTTGCATTCTGTTGGCTTATGATTTCAAGCTTATTTTATCACTATTTACTATAAAGTCCTTTTCTAAAAAACACCACATTCAAAATCCTTTTTAAAAAAAAAAATTAAAATGTCATATAAAAAAACTATTCTCCGGTCAAAACATCACATTCAACATCTACTTATGTTGAGTCAAACACCTATTTTCTATTTGACTTTCTACTATTCCCAAACATTTACATTCTTCTGATTTTTATTACCAGATGAAGATAAATTCTAACCATAGAGCAGTGCATATAAACTTTCCTAATACTCCATACTTCATCCTAGAACAAGCAGGAATCAGATATTCAGTCAAATTTAACCCATCATAGTCAATAATGCCAAATAAAATCATGACAGAAAAAATTACTTCGATAGTGGAGGAACAAAAGAAGATTTCCAGACCACGTTTCATCAGGGCATAAATACATACATTGTCTCAGCGTCGAGTCCTAGGCTTGCACCGAAACTCAGCCAAGAGTGCAATATGATCTGAAGACCATTCAGGGGAAGGAAGTGCAGTATCTTTTCGCAAGCTATCCTCATCCAATAGCTCCAACAGAGATTCCACCGTCAAGGTGTCAGCTAGAAGGAAGAACAATCTTACAGGATTAGGTCATATAATGCAAAATTCAACAATTAAAGGGTATCTTAGTGAGTTTAAAATGTTGAATACAAGACATCTGAAGTGCATATAAACAATTCAAACATACCTGAATAGAATATATAATCATGAGTACCAATAAAATCTCTAGTGCAGTTTGTAAACAGGGGTTCATTTGTAGCTGGATCCATTCTCCTTCTCTGCTCTAGACTAAGTCCACCCACAGCTCTCGCAAAGGATGAGTAAGCACTAACCTGGTTAAATGACAAAAGAAACAACCCAAATAAAGATATAACTAAGCCATTAAGCCAACTTATACTCAATATTCATTTTAGGGTTATACCAGTGGTAGCTGATGAGTCAGTTTGGTGACAGGGCGAAGAACTCCGAGTGGGTCTAGTGCCAAGTCCGGATGAGCTGGATCTATTTTGCCCATAGCAAGGAGAGCATGAGGAGCACTGCATGTTAAAACAAAAGAGTTAGGAAACAATCACATATTTTATACTAAGGTAATTTAATAGTAGTTGTGTATTAGATGAGAATAGGCAAAGCACCTTCCAGGAACAGAATTGAAATCACCACACACAATCATAGGGATATCAGCACTCGCAGCAATCTTTTCCAGTCCCTTCAATAATGTATGGACCTGTCACGGAGGAAAATATAGACATAAACGTTAAGAAGTAGACTGCACAGACACTTATGTGTTTGTGTGAGGGTTTAGATTTCGAGTTGGGATTTGAAAAGTAAAATATTTGAATTGGAATAGTTGTATGATATGATATAAATAAATATTGATGTGAAGTTTTGAATGTAAAATTGATTTTTAGAATAATATAAAAATGAAAAATAGGTGTTTGATTTGATGTTTTTAGGGAGAAAAATTAGTGTGAATAGTACAAATCTATTAGAATCCTTCAAACAAACACACGCTAAGTACACAAGAAGAATGTAGATTGTAACAAAAACCTGCCAAAGTTTGACATCCTTCAATTCTTGATGCAAATTTATATGTGTATTCGCCTGTGATCATGAAAGAAACATCAATATCACATAATGCAACAACAATTACAAGCCAATTCTGCATAATAGATGATAGAATAGAGTGAGGGGGAAGAAGGCATTATTACTCAAAGAAAAGAGTTCAGAAATAATATAACAACAGATGAAGGCAACATCAACATACAGGTGTCAAAAGATGTAGAGAATGACCTGGCAGCAAATGCTGAATAACATGATGCAATTTCTCAGCTAGCATCTATGAGCATCAACTCTCAGAAAGGCATATCTATGTTCAGATTATGTTACTAATGGCTTACAGCACAACTTATGTGCAAGTGTACCCCTCAGTCAGTGCCGCCTCACTGTTTGCAGGAAACAATCTTACTTCTCATTCAATTATGATCAAGCTTCAAATACAAAGAAATTCATATTCTGGGGTCCAACTCAAGCCAAGGCCCCCTGACTCAGTTCGCCTTACAATTTTCTTTTCCATGTATCACATACATGAAAGGGAAGCCCATCAGCAACAAGACTCGGAAAACCTATAACTAAAATGGGACTATATAAAAAGCAACACCATATATTAACCAAGTTTTATTGAACAGCTAATTTTAGGAGAAGACAGACACAAATAAAACATATTCTTGTATCTCCACCACCGAATTCATGACTTTACTAAGGTCTTGTGTATATCCTATGTAAGTGATTACTTTACATGATAATCCAAGATATTGAATTTGTTAAGCATATGAGAATCTGACTAAAAACCATTCCACAGACGAGTTAGGTTATCCTCAGGAAGGGTGCTAGATTTTTCTGAAAACCTTTGATGAGCAATACATTTTATCTGAATAGAAGGTATTGTTCCAGTTATGGTTAAATACAGGAAACTCACCACACAAACAAGCTGACGCTTCCCAGGATTATCAACACCATGGTTGCTGAACTTAGCTTCTAGAACTAAAATAAGTGCAACATTGTCCTGCATGAGAGAAGTGGGGTTCGAATCAAATGTTAATTAGAAATATGAAATGAAGTGAAAAATATAATAAGTGTGCAGAAAGTAAAATACATATATAAATGTACCTGTATCAACCGATTTAATGCATTTTTCTTCTGAGTGCTAGGAACCAAAGCATCAGTTAAAGATTGAGCAGCTTTGTTGAATTCAACCTACAATTATTAATGATCACAATTGAAAAACAACAACATGAAATAAATAAATTCAAAGGTGTCATACATTTAATGCAAATATGATTACCTCATATTTTTTTATATGTAAAAATCTATCACGGCGAAAAAAAGTAGCACAACCATCAATATTGTGGATGTTTCCCCCAAACATCTGCAACATGACAAAATAGGATATAAAAAAAAAAATGGCTTTCATCTTTCAGTTACAAAAGATGATTCACAAACCTCTGTAGTCTTCTTTTTGAAAAGAGCTTGGTAACCATGCTTATCCAGCTCCGGCAAAAAGAATTCCTCAAAATGGTCGTTTTGAACCTGAAAGGAGATTAAAATACAAAATATCATATAAAGAGTTGGATACTATTTGGGCTTGAAAAGCACATGAACTTCTTAAATTGTAAAAGGCTTCAATGAGCAAATGCTCTATGTCAGCTTGGTTTAGCCATCTAACTTTTTTAATCCAGACTACTCCTATTTACTTCAACCAATTATAATAATGAGAATATTAAACCCAACATTGTAGGAAATTTCACACATTGATGGTACCTCCTGAAGACAAATGATGTCTGCCCTGTAAGCAACTATTTCACGCAATAGGTTTTGCCGGCGGTAAGTCCATGATAGAGCCCAAGAGGGGCAATAGCTGTACAGTTCACTTGAAGCATATGCATCAGAAAGGATGTTATATGAGAGCACCGTAAAAGTCCCTGCCGATGATGTGCGAACATCCATATCTAGATGCCCAGGCACATCAACTCCACTTACTGGAATCATGCGCCGTGGACAGGGTGATGGAGCTGGAATGACACGGGAAGTTAATAAGGTATTGGCAGGTCCCACAGCCAATTTTGTTTCTAAATCGACCACAACACACTCAAACTTAAGGACATGACCAATGTCGTCAGCAGTTGGAGTATATGTTTTGTGACATCCAACTTCAAACCATGTTTCCCCACCATTCCTATGAGCTATTGCAGCAGGATAAAGCGGAGTTGTACCATTTGACAAGCTAGGGTTTGATTGAGAAGCTGACAAACCTACATTACTACCAGTACTATTGAAGCGGCCAAAGATTTCTTCATCTTCATTTCCATTTTCATTTACAGCACTCGCAGCACGATCATGAAGAACTCGATGATGTTGCCATGCATCATAGAAACACTTTGAAGAACAATGATAACTTTTAGCAACAGGAATTTTAGCCTTAACACATCCAATGCATTGTAATGTAGCCTGCTCAGTTGGGTGGACACTACAAACTGCAACTTTTCTATCACTTTGTATACGATACCTACAGGGAAGCAAAGTTATTTGCATGTAAGAAACCAACTTTCTGGCTAAAAAACAAAAACTGTTCATATATGCAATTGCAGATACAATTGCATTTTATTCATGCCAACGTTCAAATTTCAATATGCTCAGACAAGTAAGTCGATGAAATAACCAATGCTTAATGTCAAGGGAAGACAGAATTATTTTATCAAGGATACACATGGTGGACTGGCTTATATCCTTTACCCTAAAGCACTTAAGCTTTAAGTGATCGGTTTAACACCTAATTTAGAGAATCTGATCTTAAATTCTTAACATGGAAATCACATGCATGCACAAAACACCTGGAGGCAGTCACAATGTAGCCCCACACATCAGAACCAAAGATGCATAGGTATATCGTATAAGTCAAAACCAGTATTTTGTCTGTCATAGAAATCATGCACATTGCATACAAGTATAGGACCAAAATGAAACTTTCCGGTGAAAGAAGCAAACCACTGATACTGCATGCCATGTACTAGTCCAAACTAAATGAGAGAGAGAACAAATGGGAAATGTTTGTGCAGACTTGCATAATGTTAATATACCACAGGACTGTCAACCTGGCTGATCAGGTAAAAAGAAATTGGAGTCAAAACTAAAACCTGTGGGCAATTCACATGTCAATGAAAGCACCACAACTTCTAAAGTGTAAATAACAGGACAAAATTAGATAGCATCCCAAAGAGCAAATCAGAAGATTCTACCAACAAATATGAAAAAGAAATAAACATTCAGCAATTTGAAATTAGGTGCCACAATAGCAGACACATCATATGGGGGCGGTTGTTTAGAAAATTTCCAAGGATTTTAACTATTTATCAAAATTTTCCCACCAAAAATCAAATCAAATAATAATTTTTTATTTTTTATATTATATTATATTAAAAATTAAGTTTACATTCAAAATATCAAATCAACACCTATTTATATCAGGTCGTACAACTATCCAAATTGAAAATTTTTAATGTTCAAATCCCAACCCAAAATCCAAACCCTCGAACAAACACACCCGTTTTAAATACATAACTATTTAAAATTGTCTAAAGCTCTCACAGGTTAAACTTATGAAGTTATGGTGTTATAACTAGCCTTAACATTCACACCCATCCCATTCAACTGTCGAGATTAATGGCAAACCAAGAAATATAAAAACAGTCTAGTTCCAAACAAATCGCACAAATTATCAATCTCTCATCAAAGCAGCTTGAATGAGAAAAACACACAAACACAACTTGGGTAAATGGATGCATTAGACAGAAATGCAGTCAAATAACAAAGCACACACTGCAAGCTTTGCACTTTACAGCTAAGAGTTCAGAGACACATAAAAACCATAGGATACTGCGGAAAGGAATCCGAGGGATGCTGGGATAATAGAAATAGAATCACTTGCGAAAAACTCACCATTTGTATCTTAAGAAATAGCCGTCAACGGGGTTCGACTCGGACACATCGTCGCTAATAACAGACTTATCATGGCGCCTCAAAAGCACATACGGTGCGAGCTCACATCCAACAATCGGAATTTCAGACGGCAGGTGCACCCGCAACACAGTCAGCATTTTAATCTAACTTCGAAATGCCTCAATCTCTTCTTGGAACGTCGCTCGGAAGCCTAAAGCAGCAAAAATCAAACATTGAAGCCTAAACTGTCGGCGGGCTTTCGGCGGATCCGCCATCACATGTGCCCGGCTCCAATCGCCAGCTTCACGCCCTCAAAACCCTAATAAAGAGACGAAATCGGGGATCAAACAACGAGGGGTATCGAGGGGAAGGGGGGGAAAGCAAGGATCTTGGAGCAATCGGGATGAAATTGAGGAGAGAGAAAGAGAGACGGATGGTTGAGGCAGGGTGGAAATGTAGAGGGAGGGAAAGAAAGAGGGGCGGTGGGGAAAGTTAGAGATTGGGGCGGGAAGGGGGAAGTGAGGTGAGAGAAGAGGAGAGGAGGAATAAATTGATTGCGCAGAGTTAGGGTTTTGCAGAGACGACACGAGACGAGGCGAGGAAGGAGGAGGAGCAGGATGAAGAGGAGACGGGAAATTGAATGAAAAAGAAAACGGTGGAAAGCGTCTTTCACAAACACAAACGCATTAAATAATAATAATAATAATAGTAATAATGGGATTCTAAATACACGAATAATATATTATCCATTTATTATTTGGATTAGCATGTGATGAAGATTCAACCGTATGCGTTCAATCAAAAAAAGAAATATACAGAGGAGGAGGAGGAGGACATTTATTAAAAAAAGAAAATATACCCGTGGGAGGAAGCTTACCATCGACTCTCTCTCTCTCTCTATATCTCTCTCTATATATATATATAGAGAGAGAGAGTGTGTTGAGAAAGATTGAGGACAGGAGAAGAGCGCAGAGCAAAGCAATGGTGGTGGTTATTGCACATACACAGAGAGAGAGAGAGAGAGAGCGAGAGATGTGAATGTGAATAATCTCATAAACAACCAAACCAAACTAAACTGGCAGAAAACAGAATGAATAAAACTAATCGATAAAAATCATCCAAAGGTGAAATTTTCAGGCCATAAATTGCCAGCTTCTTTTCCATTCAAAATAAAGACGAGAGAGAATTTGATTTAGACTCAAGGTTCCACAACCAACTGGAAAAAACCAGTGCTATCCTCGTAGTGAAGTTCTAGTAGCCGCCCTTCAGGTCATTAACCACGTCATACGGGATTGGAGTTACAGTTTCTATTCTTGCTCCTCCGACAATGAAACCGGGCTTCGGCCCTTCTGGCTGCCTCTTGGTGCTTATGATTTTGCCTTGAGCTTTGGCTTCAGCCTTCAACTGATCGTTCTTTTTTATTCTCAGCAGGAACTCCGCATGGCATCGGGACGGCTGAACATGCTCCACACGAACATGCAACCTCTTCTTAATAATTCTGTTACCAACCTGAATAACAAACAAACAAACAAAGGTCAGTACACTTACTTTTACCAGCATTCGAAATACACTGATATAAGATTGCAAGACAACAAACAAAAAACAGCAATTAGGAGGTAGAAAACACAACTACAAGAAACCTTGATATGCCTAAAACCAAATTAGTTCGGAACTTATTCTCCTGCAAGCATACATACAGATGGAAAAAAGAAAAAGAAAGGAAACATGTAAATGATGATAGTTCTTCTGATGAGATCACAAATAAATAAGCCCCGTTTTGAAATATCCCCTAGTGCATCAGCACTGCAACGCAACACTTGATTGAAAATGTTGTGGGGAAAAAAGAAGGCTTCTATAAACCAATCAAATTAAGATTCGGAAAAGAAAGCCTTAGACATCCGAGCAAGGAAAAGAAGTAGTAGTACACTGAAGCCAAGCTATGGTGAATGTAGGTGGTCACTGTTGATGAGTTCATTAAGAAACAAGCTTTAGTCACACATCCAACTACAATAATTTAATGAGGATCAGCTCTCGTTGAGATTTGTGTTCCACAGTGAAAGGAAAAATTTAAATCTCATACTACTTTATTAATGGAACACTTTGTACGGACCTTAAGTAGGAGGATATGATATGGCTCTCAGGAATCGAACACGCCAATGCAATGGATTGGGTACGAATTGGGAACCCAAATTGCCTGAAAGCCTCCCTCCCATACCATACCCAAATTTGGGGGGGGGGGGGGGGATGGTGCACCCTAAGTCTTGTTGAATTCATTTGCTACATAGGTTGGAAGTAAAAGTAGACTAGACATGACATTGATCAGGGAACAAATTAATAGGTGCGCCCAGCCCAGCACAGCATAGCAAAAACCATAGCAAATTCGCAGTAATAGCACGATGATACAGCTGGTACAAGGGCATTTGCTAGCATCCTATGGGAACACACAGTAATATTTACTACACTAAAACACTTGAAGAAGAAGAATTCTAACTAACTAGGAGTATAATAATGCTCACTATGTGAGGTGAGGTGAGAAGAGAAGAACAACTACATTGATGCAACGATGGAATATTCCTTCACAACAATTCAATACTCGATGCACTTACGACACAATCAAATACGCCTTACCAGAGAAGAGAGTATCCACAAGATAGAGATATAGATAGCGAGGGAGCTGGGAATGATTTATAGGCACCGTACGCACCTGCTTGTTCAATTCAACACCGACGGCACGCTTGGCAACGTTCCAGACCCGACCGGTGCGGCCGTGGTAGAACTTATGGGGCATGCCTTTGTGGATGGAGCCGTTCACTTTGACGTCCACGTACTCGCCGATTTTGAAGACCCGGAGGTAGGTGGAGAGATGTGTGGGACCCTTTCTCCTGAATGGGCGAGCGAAGAGATCCCTGGTTCGCGACCTCTGACCGTGCCCCGCCGGCATTGCTGCTAGGGTTTAGGGATGCTTGCTAAGCTTGATTGACGGTGGAGGGAGGCTTGGGAGAATGCGGCAGAGGAGCCGAGCCGATCGAGGCAATGATGAGGACTTTACATATTAGGGTTTCGAAAATAACAAACTGGGTTGGGTTGGGAGAGTAAAATGCATAATTGGGCTGAGCCCCATTATCATAACTTCCCCTTCATTTTGCAGCCCACAATGTACTTACTGCTTTTTTAAGGTTTGACCGGCGAAGCCGTCGTCACTGTCTGTCTGACTTTCCAACTTTGTCGGTTCCTTTCCACTTGGGATGGGTTGGCAGTGAGAGATGGAGCCATCATCTTCAAATGCTTCAATTCATCCATTTTGATTGATGATCTCGGTCGCTTGCTTAATTCTTCTTCTTCTTCTTCTTCTTCTTCTTCTTCTTCTTCTTCTTCAACACGATCGATCGATCGATCATGAGCAGCAGCAGGAAAGTTGTGGTTTCCTTGATCATGATCCTCCTCCTACTCTCTGTCAGTGTTAACTCCGACGACGGCGACCCCCAATTCTGGCGCGAAATGTCGGAAGAGGATGGAATGGCGCTGGGGCTGATGATGAAACGGCCGAAGCTGAGCCACCTCCACTTCTTCTTCTTCTTCCACGACATTGTGAGCGGGCGCAACCCCAAGGCGGTGCCGGTGGCAGACGGGGGGATCGGGATTCGGGATGGTGGCTGTGATAGACGACCCGCTGACCGTGTGGGTGGAGAGGGGTGGGGAGGGCGCAGGGGGTGTACGCGGCGGCGGAACTGAGGGAAGTCGGGCTTCTGATGGCGCTCAGCGAGTTCAACGGGAGCACGCTGAGCCTGCTGGGGTGGAACCCGGAGGGAGATGCCCATCGTCGAGGACTCACCAGTTCAACCTCAAGACTGGGGATGCCGTCGTCGAGTACGACGTCTACGTCCTCCATTATTGACGGCACCAGATAACCAGATTCGATTCCATTCCATTCCATTAATGTAGCCAATTACTATTGCTTTTACTAATACTATCACTATCTTTTATTACTATTAATTGCTACGTGATTGTCAAGCCGCACCTATTCATAATTTCAAGAAATCACCCGGTTACTGCGAGGTTATTAGTTCAAAATTCAATACTTACAAGTTCATCTGTCATATATGGTTCGTCTAATGTAACTTATTTTATTGAAGTTAATTTGTAAGGTATGCGACTTGTTATATCGAGTTTAGTTTGCAAATTTATTAGGTTCGATCGTCTAATATTGAAGATTTTATTTATTGATTATTTGTATGTATGTATAATCATGATTATACATTCTCAATATTTGGAATAGGATGAGTTTGATTCTTTCATCGGAACAATTCATTATCAAGTACAACTATATGCATGTCATATATGTGCAATTGGAATCTATATGCATCCATGAGACATGTTTATTTATTTATTCATTAGTGCTGACTTTATATAATTAGATTCACTATGAATTATTATAATTTTCGATTAAATTTGGATTACAGCAGCATGTATTTCTCGACAGTATGCATTTATTTAAATTCGACTATAATTATTTATTGTATCAAATTTATAATCTCTTTGGGTGACATTTTTTTGTCTGTGTAATTCCACTGCAGTTAGTCTTTTTTGGATTATTTAATTATTTTAATGAGTCAATAAATTAATTGTTGTTGTTATGGCTTTCATATATATTGGACATTCATATTTATTTCAAGGTGATTTTAATTAGCAACAAATAATATAATATATTTTATAAATTGGTTGAAACATTTATGTTGCCAAAGCAGCATCTGCTATGTAAATCAATTTATTTTATATATTAAAAGGTTGTGTGTGACTTATAAGGTTGTTGATTGACCCAAAGACAAGTCAGCCGTTGAGTAGTTATGTACATATTTGGTGACATTGAATGTAGTGATGATAATTTGGTTATTTGTGTGTGAATAATAGATCTGTCCAAAGATAGGGTGTTGTTTGACACACTACTGTATTGTCAACATTCAATTGTCAAATAAGTTTATCACTAGTGAGTCAGTAATTTTTTCAACGACATTTGTTGATGTTGCTTGATAACTTGTGATAAGATTGCTAATTCTTTTATAAATTCACATACTAAACATTCATTAGCTTATAGACATATGCATTCAGTTGCTAATAAGCATTCTTTATTTTATATGGAATCAGACCCATATATATTGAATATGATTCTCATTATAATTTAGTTTAAGAAAATTATAAATTCATTAATAATGCATGTTGCGTTTTGACGGTGAAGATCAAGTATTTGACGTTGCCAAAGTAACATCTCTTATATAAGATTTTTTCTTGATAACGTAAGTGTTTATGTGTATTTTAATTCATGTGATTATTCTTCGGCCCAAAAGCAGTTGGTAATTGACAGAATTAAATATACATCTGCGATAGTATGTATGGGACGATTATATAGATTTAACTTATGTGAATAGTAAATCAGTCCAAAGATTGGTTGCTGTTTGACATTACTTATTGTCCGTATATGATTATTGCAACAAGATGACTGTTAGCAATCAATGTTATTGATCCAAAGATTGATCATTGATGTAGCACTTAGTATCTTGGGATGAGAATATATTATTATTGAGCTTCATTATGCTTCATGAATATTTATGTGTATATTTATTCAGTCACAACACTGTCTCGGGACAACTTTAAGCACTAAAAGAATCAATATTGATTCATTTTTTTGCATGAATCTTGACTTGGCATTAAGAGTAGACTCACCCACTCATACGACGAGTAACACTACATATTAAACGTAGTTATTTGAGAAGTGGGATAGGTTTAACGCCTAAGTCTAATTATTATTAAGAAAAGCACTGCATGAATTTTAGGAGTACAATATATGATGATATGGATTCATTGTCGAAATTAAGAAACACTTTACCAAAAGCGATAAGGCAGAAATACGTACTCTTCTTAAGAGTCTCATTACCATAAAGTATAACGACAAACCTAACATAAGGAGGTACATCATGAACATGTCTACTATTACTACTAAATTGAGGACACTTAAGTTAGACATTTTGGAGGACATGTTTGTCCTATTAGTCTTGTCTTAAAATTAATTTAATTTCAGTTCATAGACACGCCTGGGGGTGGATTTTGGTGTAACAACACACATCAGTGTGTCTATGTAAGATTATTTTATTGTCGAAATCAATTGGTGTTGAAAGATACATCTATATAGGTGACGACAAGAACGTTAAAGTTGAAGATATTGACAATTTTAGATTATTATTAAGTACTCGTTACTATTTATTTTTGGATGAGACATTTTTTTATGATACCATCTTTAGTCAAAATTTAATTTCAATCTCTATTTTGAACAAATTCAGTTACTATTGTTCATTCGGATATAAAGTTTTATCTCTTCCATAATTCAAAATTGGTTGGAACTAGTACATCATTTGATGATAATAATCATCATTTGCTTAATAGTCTACTTCATATTATGAATTAGTTATTGAACATATTCGTACAGCTTCCATGATTGTGGATCCGCTTTATTACTAAAGGGTTTCCACATAAGTTCTATAGTGATCATATTGCTCATATGAGAGTGGAACCATATAAGATACTTCGGTTTAGTGGAAGCTAATTAGTAGTGTTCAAATACTATTAAAGTTACTTTGGTTTACACTGCACAGTTCAATATTCAATGTTCAATATTCAGTGTGGAGTATTCAGTTGTTCTGAATTAAAGTTAGGGTGGATCAGTTGGAAATAGACATCTTAATATCACATTATATGAATTTTCCATGTTATGCATCCGCACTTGATCGAATCTTAGGTTATATTAGTGTTATGACCACTGATCGGTCTCATTGCAATAAATGCAGTGACGACCGCTTTGATCCGCATTGACATGACTTATAGATAAAATTGGTAATATACATTAAGGATCTGATAGCAAAACATTCATGAGCTCATAAGGTTATTCAGCGTACATTTACCCAAGTGGGAGATTATTGGATTAAAAATCCAATTGTGGGTTAAATGTAACTATTTGGGCTATCAGTCAGATTAAGCATATATTAAGTGATCTATTAATTTATTGGGCTTAAATATATTTAGTAATTGCGGGCCTCCAATGTACAGAAATCCGATAACTTATTAATTGGGTGATGAAACCAATTAATAATAAGAGGTATAAATAGGGTTGTGATGACGCAACAACCATTATGTTCCATATCTCATCGTGGGAATAACGGGCAGAAACCCTAGCGGTTTTCTCAGGAGGATTGCGCCATAGGCTTGAAGAACACAAAACCCTTAATTATTTGCAAATATGAATCCGACTATGCTGAGGAATAAGGTTAGATTTATTTCGCTTTATTTTTTTATCTCAATTATTACAACACGCTAGATCCTGGGCTTATGGTTAAATTCCTGACAAATTCCAACAGATTATATATATTCGAAGATAGTTAACTATGATGATTCCATTTGTAATCCGGGCTATCATGTTACTGTATACAAAAATTTAGAAGGTGTATAATTAATAAATAATTAAAAATATATTAGTAAAAATAATTATTATATAATTAAAATAATTATAAATTAATATTAAAATTTAAAATAAAATAAAATAAAAATGTAATAATATAATTTTTTTCTAAAAAATAAATTGACAAAATAAATAGAACTGAGGAAAATGAAAAGACGAATACCATTTAAGCTATATTAAGACTGTAGTTTTGAAATTTAAAATTTTAAAAAACTTTAAAATAATAATAATTTATGTGATATTTTATGACATTAAATTATATTGGTACGATATATATATATATATTTAATATTATAAACAAATAGTAACAAAAAATTAAAAAAAAATATACGAGTAAACAAAGTGTTAATTATTCCTATCTCGTTACTATAGTTTACCGCATATATCAATTAATCACAAGCTGCCATTCAAAGGGACTAGATACTTTATCAAGTTATTAAATTAAATACTCCATAAAATGATCAAATTAGTATTATTGCTAATAATTGTATTAAAGAAAATTACATGGAATCACATCATTATACTACTAATTAAGTGGGGTAGGGTAGGGTAGGGTAGGGTAGGGTAGGTTGATTATCACTCGCTCGTCCATTAATTAATTAATCAATTCTTCATTCGAATATTCTTTTGGGGTGTGTTTTTTGTCAGTGATTTGGTAGAGAGAGGAGCTTTAGTGGTGTCGTTTCACGCCTAGTCCCCTGTAACGTATATAATTTAGGACATCCATGATTGGAAAAATGTCACAATTTGATAATTATAGGATTCGTTATTGAATAATTTTGGGAGTGTTTCGTTGGAATTTAGGTGCTATGGATATTTGGAAGTTCAATATTGTCATTCCATCGAGATTATTTGGAATTTTGTAGTAGATTAAAAGATAATAGTATTTTATTGGTTAATGAAAGTAGTAAAAAATCTTAACATTTTTATCCTCTGACTTTATATATATATATGTTTATAATTTAAAAAGAAATTTTAAAAAATATTTTAATAGTAGTATATGCTTTTTTTTTTAAAAAAAAAAGAAAATAAATAATACATGTACATTATTTTATAAATAATAAAATTTTAAATGGTATAAACTAATTATATTTTTATATAATTAACCTAAATTAGATTATTAAAGATATAAAATTATACATATTTTTATTTATAATTTTGACATTATGAGTTACTTCGTAAGTTATTTTGGGTGTGTTTACTTGTGGATTTGATTTTTAATTTTATTATTCTAATTTTTTTTAAAAAAATATTAAATTAAAATATTTTTTATTTATTATATTACACTAAAATTAAATTTTACATTCAAAATATCGCATCAAATAACTATTTTAATTTAATATTTGACTATTTCAAATCAAAATCAAAACCAAAATCTGACCGCTGAAAGACACTTTTTTCTAATTCGATTGACTTAATTAATTAATTAAACGGATTTATTTAATTACCCACTTCTAAGATTATATATATATATATATATAGATATTGTAATCCATGAAAAAATAACCTCCTAGTGGCGGTCCAATATAAAGTAGTCCAAGGCAAGCAATTCATGGCCCAACAGCTCCCTGGCTCATCATTTCAGCCTTCTTTATCCTTTTTCTTTGGTACTATTGTATCTTTTGATTTGAATTTCAGCATTCACGCGGCCGTGTTGCGAAATAACCCAGATTCTTTTTCGAACTTTCAAACAATTTTTGATGGTACAATTATGAATGGGCGGCCGGGTCAAATTAATGAAGATGGGCTCCCTCCCACTTATACAAAATTGCAATCAATAATATAAAAATAGGTATTTTAATCTATGCACAGCCAATTTGAGGTCATTGTTAACAACGAGCCTAGCTAAGCTAATAATACTCCTATTGGTCCGGTCCACCATAACAAAACAAAAGGACGACAGAGAATTAACTTCAACAACGGTTCCGAGTGAATGCGACGCTAAATGGGTCAAAAGCCTTGAATTTAATTTTCTTCTTTTCTTTCAATTGCAACTCGTTCGAGTAATCTTTTCTCAAATTTAACAACGCAACCGGAAATTCATATTGGAACATAGGGTAAACATACCAATCCTAGCTGGAGATGCAGTCCGTGGTAGAAGAATGGATCGAGCTTGCTGCTTGCTTGCTATATATTAATTGATATCATGTTGCATTCACTACAGGGTGTGTTTGTGTTTGTTTTTAAATAGTAAAAATTTTGAATTACGATGTGAATATAAATAAGTACTGATGTAATATTTTAAATATAATATAAATAATAAAAGTTGTATGAATAATGAATTTACTTTGGCCTCTATTTAGCCCCATTCGTTAGAATGATGGGAGTTACTCCTCATTCGTAATAGATTCATTCTTGAAAGCAACATGTTTTTTTTTTTTTTTTCATGCATTAATTGAGTTACTCCTTATTTGTAATAGATTCATTCTTGAAAGCAATATTATTAATTTTTCATGCATCTTGTGTACTTGCTTCATTTTGCGTTTTTGTGCTTTTGAGATTTTGTAAGTGCCAAGGAATTATTAGGTCGACGGAAAAATCTCTAGGAAGGAATCATCCGACTCATTACACATGAAAGATTCTAATTCCTCTACATAAACTTGAAGTTGGAGGGGATGACAGGCTATAAAGAAGGGTTGCTGCTGCTCATCATTATTAGAATTCAAAGACGATGCTGATATTGCAAATGATTCTCCGATCTTCTTTATCTCTTTTTCTCTCGGTACAAATATTGTTTTAAGCTAAAAAAAAGAAAAAAGGAAAACTAAAACAAAACAAAACAATTTTATTATTTTAATGTCGAGGACAGTTTATATATGCATCTCTGTATAGATAGATTGATAGATGGAGATTTTCTTTGATAAGATGCAAACTAGATCCGACAAGACAAGTCACACTAGGCTAATCATGTGTGGCAGCAAGATTTAAAGGCGTCGGAGTTTTGAGTGTTGATGTTGAGTGAGCGTGCATGCGTGCGTGTGTGAGTGGATCAATGATATGTGGAACTAATGAACCATGCTGTTATTTATTTAGTTATGAACCATATGTATGCAACTAATTAATTTCCGTAGGGAGTACAGTCTCTCCTCTCCTCTCCCTGGCTCGCTCCACTATTCTATACTCTCTCTATATAATCAGTATACTATATTATTAACCAAAGCAAGCAAGCAAGCAAGCAGGTAGTAGTAGTACACACAGATGGAGCCGATCGGGATCAGTAGTTATAGGTTGGCAGGCAGGTAGGCGGGGTGGAGAGACAACAAATAAAATCAGTTCATCATCATCAACAACACCGTCAGCATGGCGGGGCTTCTTTGTTTGTTTGTTTGTTTCTTTCTTTCTTTCTTTCTTGTACAACAGTACTAGCTAGCTTGAAGTGAGAGAGAGGGGGATATATATATATATATATATATCTGTATGTCAGAGGAATGAAATGGAATGGGAAGGGAAGGGGATGAGCTAGGCAGTAGATGGGGATGAGCGGGCCTGCTTGGCCTTGATGACGTGCCTCCGGAGGCCCGGGATGTGGACCTCGCTGATGTACTCACTCCACTCGATGCTCTCCACGTCGAACCCAAACTCCGCCCGCTCCTCCGCGGACATGCTCCCCATCAGCCCCGATGTGTTGCTGTTGTCGAACCTGCGAGCCAGCATGTGTGTCAGTCAGTGAGTGAACAATGTTGGTTGCATCTTTCTCTCTTCTTCTTCTTCTTCAATCAATTCATTCATTCATTCCAACAGTACGTACGTACCTCCCCCCGTAGAAGGTGTAGGACTCGTAGATGCTGGCCAGGTACTTGGCCTGCTCCACCGACTTCCGGCACACCGCCTCCAACTTGTGGGACAGCTTCCCCTCCAGGTTGGCCAGCGCCCCCAGCCCGGTCCGCTGGATGGCCTCCCTCCACAGGTGCGCCGAGAACTCCTCCATCGACCCGAACAGCTTCATCTTCGGCACCCGGATCGCCCTCCCCGTCCCCGCCTCCGTGAACGGCCACCTCTCGAAGTGCTGGTGCAGCACCCGCGCCAGCTCCCCGAACACCAGCGGGTTCACCACCGACGACGCCACCTGGTAGATGCTGCTGCTGCCCCTGCCGCTGTACTCCTCCCCCTCCCCCGCCTCCTCCTCCACTGCTGCTGCTCCCCCGTGCTTCGCCATGGCTGCCAGGGTCGCATTCACCACCATGTCCGCAGGGACCACGTCCAGGACTCCATTGGGATCCACTAGGAACCCGGTGAGCTGCCCCTTCCCGTAGTGCAGAATTATTGGATCCATCATCCTGCACCCATTACCCATATCATACACATATACATGTGCCGACGAGTTCAATTTGTTTGTTGGTTGGTTGGTTGGATGGAGAGAGAAAGAGAGAGAGAGAGAGATTAACCTTGTAACAAACAAACACCAAACAACAACAACAGAAAGAAAGAATTCAATTGAGAGGATTCCATTGAATTGAAGTCAGTACCTGTTCCCTTCCATCCAGCCAGGGAAGGGCTCCTTGTATGTGCTCTCGATCACGCTGGGCCGAATCACCACCACCGGAATGTCCCCCCTCAAACTGTCGATCATCATTTCTCCCATGGCCTTGGTGAATACGTACGTATCCTGCCATCCGAACTTCCTCGCCCTGGACCAGGGACACAGTCAAATTAACAAGCAAGCAAGCAAGCAGTGGACTCTTGGACAACCTAGATGGTCATCATGCTTTTACCTCTGCATTCCCAATTCCTTCATGTTCTGAATAACTGAAGCATCGTCGTCATCCTTGCCATCTTCACGGTGGGCTTTTGTCATCTCCAAAACTATCTGAATCTCATCCTCAACACACAGTTTGGGAAGTGGGATGTGGTGTCCGTTTTCGCTGGCGATACACTGTCCTATGCAGAAAGGCTTTTCCATGATCCTGCCTTGCCTCTGCCCGTTCACGTAAGCTGGCACACACACATACAAACAAATAAACATTATCAACACACCTCCTTGAGGACACCAATCAAGACGGCAAGAAAGGAAATGAGAGGAGCAGGAGTAAACATTACACGGCAGCAATACCACACTCACCTGTTGATATTTGTAAGAACACCTTCAGTTTCTGGCATTGTTTAGCAAATCTCATGAGGCGTGCAGGTCCACCCGTGTTTATATCAAGAGCATAGTCATACCTGAAAAAGCAAGCCATCCATCCATACGCCATCATCATCATCATCATCATCATATATGAATTTCTTAGAAGATATATAGTGAGCAACAAAACAAAACAAAACAGAAAAGAACAAACCTTTCATCAAATGTGGTATTTGCTGCAGAGTTGATGATGGCATCCACCTCTCTGGACACCAAACCAGCAACATCTTCGTCTAGACCAAGATTGGCTTCACAGACATTCCCTAGCACTGGGACTAATTTGCTGAGCATGAAAGCTTGATATGATTTTCCATGGATTTGCCTCAGGCGCTTGAAAAGCTCTGCATGTATAATCTGCAGATGAAACCAGTGAATATTATCACCACCACTATCATCATCAGGCAAGACTAATACTACTCAAAATGCAGGCATGAATATTCACACATACATCAGTTTTCAGTCTTTCTGCTGCAGCTTCTTTGTTCTTGGCCTTGATCAGGACAAATATTTTGTGAACATCAGGAGCTGTCCGCAGTATTTTCTCAACTAGAACTGCAGATCATTAAACAAATAAATGCTTAGTAAGAGGAAGGGTGATGATGATGATGCAAAAAACACTAGCCAGCCAGCCAGCCAAGGTACCTTTCCCCAGGAAGCCCGTGGCGCCAGTGATGAGGAAGGTTTTCCCTTTAAGAAACTGCACGATGCCAATACCTTTCTCTCCCTCTTGGTCTCTCACTGCCTCTGCCTCTCCCTCTCCCCTTCCCTCACCATTAATTTCCACAACGGAGGTGGAGGTGCTTAACTCCTTTCCATTGGGGCTCAGAACCAAGCTGCTGCTCCCCACAGTAGGGCTGATCCGCGCTGAGGACGGAGGTGTGGATTTTATTGCATGATTGCCACTCTGCATGGAGTAGACCTGCAGGCGGGTGCTGATGCTCCTATATATGAAGGAGGGGGACCTCTGATAGTCTGCGCCTGCACGGTGGGGGGAAGCAACAGAGATGGAGGAGCTGAGAGAGAAAGCCTCCATGGCTGCTGGTGATCTAGTGAAAAACAATGGCAGAGGAGGGAGCCAGAGTGGGAGCTTTTTTGAGGAGAATGGGTAGTTGATCAGTAAATGTGGAATAGGGAATTGAGGGAGGAAGGTGGGGGTGGGGGTGGGGTGTTTGCTGTTGCTGTTTGGGGTTGGGGAAGGGGAAGGGGAAGGGGGGATGAAGATAACAATCAAAGAGGTAGTTCAAGTTTAAGATGAGAGTTTGGTCAGATTTAAGAGGAGGGGGGTTGGATCTGGCAAGTGAGAGAGAACACAACACAACACAACAGATTTTAAGGCGTGAGGAGATGAGAATTAGGAGAATAACCAGAAGGCTCTCTTTTTGCCATTGCACTGCACCGCACCATACCAGTTTGGTTGCCAAGTGCCATGCTCACTACACCTCTGTTGCTGCTGCTATTTACTGCAGCTGCTGCTGCTACTAGTAGTAGTATTTCTTTATTGTTGAATCATCCCTCCCCCCCCATTTCACATCTCTCTCTCTCTCTGCGGCTGCGGGTGTGGTGTAGGCCTATGCTATTCTCCATTCCATCCCATCCCAAACCCTCCCAGGATAAAGGGCGTGAGTTCAAGCTTCCCCACACCACACAGACACATACCCTTTGTAATGATTATTCCTCTTTCCTCTCAACAAACAATAACATGCCCTGCTGTGCTGTGTGTTTAAATCTGCAATTCCTCTTCCATCACACAATTCTTCTCATCACTCACACCATTCTGATGATGATAAAGTTACGATCCAATTTGAATCCGGTTGATTAGTTTTAGCTGTTCAACTCATTTTTTGAGATGAGATAGATCCCCCATGCAAATAAATAACCTCATTTCCATAGCATAATGTCAATGGCTGTTAACAATACTCCCTAAGAGTCAGCCAACTAAACTAAACCAGCATGGTCATGGGAATGGGAATGGGAACGGGAACGCGATGGATCCGCACACCCCTTCCCCTCCTTTCCTTTATATCCAACAACAATATCCACACAACTTCTTCAATTACATCTTCTCTATAACGTACTCCCAACAACCCAATTTTGGTCATTTCTTTCTCCTCCTCTCTACTCCCCCCATCCCTACTCGAAACAATTCAAAATTAAATTAAAAAAAATTACTCCTTTGCTGCACATCTCTCACACTTGCAATGGAAACCAAATCCTTCATACAGGATTCTTTGCCGAGCCTCAAACTCCATGCTTGCATCAATGTAGCATATCCGTAATTCTTCCCCTGCAATCCCAGAGATAATTTGAACATCTATCTGTCTAAACAAAAAGCCCCATACACACACATTCAAGATATTAGTTGGCCAAGTGTGACCAACAAAAAAAATAAATATGACCAATAATATATATCTGAGGTAATGGAAAGTAACACGTGTTAGATCACAGAAGAGTGAACGACTGATATTCTTCATTTAACAAAGAATTAACACAAAATCTAGGTGATATTGGTTAAGTATTATATAGGCCAGTTAAAATGCTTGCTTGCCAAATGGGAGGGCCAAATATGTTAAAAAATCAGTAAACCGCTATAGTCAAATCAAAGGACAGACCTTCTTCAATGTCCCGGAGAGCCTTGATCTTAGCATCCACATTTTCAATCCACACAATGTTGACATTGGGATCTGCAGTGAAAACAAGAACATCAACTGTTCATGCCACATTACTACTGTATTGCGGCTCTCTGCAGAACTAGATATGGGCAAACAGAGAACCTTGTGTCTTGTGCCAATATGACTAAAAAACATAACTCTTTCAGGTATGATTGGTGGACAAGTTCTATAGATGATAAAAACAAGCTAAACAAATAAGATTCTGCAATCAAATGACCCGTAAGCACTAATTGCCTTCCAATTGAGTAGTAGGATAATAAGAGTATTACCACAGTCATGATTGTACAAGGATGGAAGTATATAAACGGCATTTCCAACTGCCGCTTCTGCTTCTACTGATGCTGCTGCTGAGGAAAGTAGGTCTTCATAATGTCCCACAGCCACTTCAATCCGAAAAGCATTGATACGAACCCGTGCCAAAACATTAGTGTACCATTCTTCAGTCAGAACTAGCAAGTCAAAGAGAAATTTTTTCCCAGCTGGGAATGCTAGGAATTGAAATTGTGTGACTAGAGACTGGAAAGCAGGCCCAATATGGACAATTGTGAATATATGGAAAATTGATAAACTTCACTCCATAAGGATACACTTTATCTGCTCACTATTAATGTCTGAGACCTCAAAAGAGCTTTTTAAGAGGGCAACTTCCTTTTTCATCTGAAAATCATATAAAAACAAAAGGAGGAACAAAATAACATAAGAGAATACAGTATAAATTCAGTATAAACTTAACCCCATTTAGTATGGTAAAATAGGAATCCTCTTTTTTGCAGATGCAGATACAATCACAATGCACTAGGTAATAACATGACTTATTTTGATTCATTATAATTAGAATGCAAGAAACATTGCATTCAGTCTTGCAGATTCTTAATGTAAATTATTACTTGGGCCAGAATATAATAGACTATTACTGCTTCTGGTTATAATATCCAAGAAAACCACGGATAGATGTGCTGTGTAGATCTCTAATTGAAGAATTTCTCCACAGCAAAATTGACTTTCAATCATCGTAAAGCAGAAGAATGTGGTTTAGCTACATTAAATACAACAAAATTGAAAACCAAAACTAAACCCGCCTTACCTTGGATACTTTGTCAGAAGATAGAGTCTCAGGTTGAAGTATATCAAGGGCATTGGAAGGAGTGGATCCAGAAATAACCTGACAGGCCAACCGCTTGACCAACAGTGGATATTTCAGTCCCTGCAGTCTTGAGAAAAAGGACATAGTATATATCTTATGGCATTGTGCAGTATGACCGATCAATCATGGATGGAGATACCCATACCTACAGTATTCATTAAACCTCGACCAATCTGCCTTCTTCTCAACGTTGTAGAACTTCTAATACCATGGGAAGAGAACAGGAGCGAAAAAATTAGATAAGAGGACACAAAATGAACAACAGAGACTTCTATCAAGACCAATACGGAAGGATAGTGATAAATTATTAAAATGTGAGCATGCAGATTATGTGTAAAAGCTACAAAGGTTAAAGAAAAAGAGTATGTCAGTAAACTCAAAGTAAGCGACGTTCTAAACTTTTAATTTTCACTAGGGCTAGTGCCTGCCGCCAACTAATATGGAAAAGTCGAGCATGCTGCTTCAGACAAGAAAAGCTTAAATAAATAAGTAGCGTAAAACAGATTAGGGAGAGGCGACTGAAGGCGATGATTACCAGCTCGGATTGGTGTCGGCAGTGTTCGCTGCAAAAGGACACGACGGATTGAGAGTGGTTTTGAGGAAGTTTCCGGAGGCAGAAATAGCAGGCGGTTTGAAGAGAAGATAGATTGGGATGAGAAACAATGGGGAGGGCAGTGTGGAGGAGGTCTCCGGCAGCGATAGGGCGAGAGGCGAAGACGCCTCGGCCGGCATCGTGGGTGAGGGCAACGCGGATCGGAGGAGGAGGAGGAGGAGAGGGAGCGCGAGAAGAGAAGGGCTGAGAGTGGCGGAGGGTTTTGAGAAAGAGAAGGCAAGCGCGGCGAGGGCGGCACCCGTACATGGCCGGCTGGGTGGCTCAGCCTCAGCTCAAACTGAATGGAGGCGACTCAAGAATTTAGCGCCCAAGGGCAACCGGTCCGTTCTCATTTTGTACACAACCAAATTAATGAATGATTCACACTCTGAAGGCGAGAGAAGGTTTCTTCTTTCAGGAGATCCGTTTGAATTTATTTATATATATATATATATATAATTTTGACTATGTGATGCATAGGTGAAGATGAGAGAGAATATCTCCTTTCAGGAAATCCGTTTGATTTTTCTTTTTCTTTTTTTATTTTTATTTTTATTGCAACTATGTGGCGCATATGAGAAGGTATCTTCTTCCTTCAGGAGATCCGTTTGACTTTTTTCTTTTTATAATTTCGGCTATGTAGCGCATAGGTAAAGGTGAGAGAGGGTTATCCCCTTCCAGCTTTCAGGACATCCGCTGTTGCGGGTGGGGATGGCCTTATTATTAGTTATTAGTTCTCAGTCTGATCGAGACTCTGAACAATGAGCACCCAGGTTTGAATTTAAGTAGGAAAATTTAAATAAAATGTTAACGACTAGAATGGGCAGGCCCGGACTCATAATCATAATCATAATCATAATCAAATCAACGGATTTTATTTTAATGTAGACTTACCCAACTCTATAACATAAAATGGTAGTATTAAGTAAATATATATATATATTTTTTTTAATTTTATTTACATTGTGATAGAATAGAAAATGTGATACATACTGATCGGAGATTGAGAAATACTGGAATGAGGATCACCTCACATCACACGGGATGATTACTTGAGAATGAATTCAACCGAGATCTACTTGTCTGTACCAGCACCATGAAACAGGTGCAGCAAGCAACCAGCAACTAGCAACAACCTTCCTTACTGTCAACACTAATATAAAAGTTTTCACCAGCAAAACCGACAGTTGCTCAACATCTGCAGCATCCCTTACCCAAAATTCGAACACCACAACACAGCTAACCAGTGTTGAGGATGATATGAAATTTTTATCCTGTGTCTGCTGGGAGGAAACAAAAATAAGAAAAAACAAAAGAAAACAAACCGCACAATAATACACACACAAACATACACACGGGGTTAATAGTCGAACATCTAGAAAAGACATATGTATGTACTGTATATATGTGTGTGTAGCATTGTAGATCATAACAGTTCGATGGTAATCTCAACATGTTTTACCCCTAAACAGATCCACATAGCACCATGCATACATGCATCAATCAAAAGTAATTCACCCATATCCATTCCTAACTGCACTGCCATCACCATCAGTAGTACTCCAGACTTCGGCTCCTGCTCCTGCTCCTGCTCCTGGCCGGGCTCAGGCTTCTTGAGTAGGACCTCTCTCTATGCCTTCGCCCCCTGGGTGAAATGGACCTGCTTCATCAAAAGCCAAAGATATCCTCCAGCTCATATTTGATACACACTGCGAGATAAGAATCTTGTAAAATTAATCTTGAGCCAGATTCCACACACCTTGAGAAATATCGCTGCCTCCTTGGAGATGGAGAATAATAATCAGGGCTTCGAGAGTAAGGAGAATACGATCGCCCATAATGAGGTGACCGAGAGCCTGCTGGGGGCGTCCTCCGCCTGCAACAAAACAAAATAGAAAACTCATTACAATTAACTCTACGCGTAAAACAACATATGACTAGTCTAGAACACAACAACCGTGTGCAAGCACCATTCACCTTATCCTCTCCCGGGCCCTCATCTCTGAGGGCTTCTTCCTATTTTCCTCAGCAAACACAACAGTCAGTTTCCGACCGAGTAAAATCTGACCATCCATCTCGTATTTCGCATCAGCAGCATCTTCAGGGTGAATGTATTGCACAAAACCAAATCCACGAGGCTCCCTGCATTATGTAACAGGATTTCTAATCATAAGAAATGTGGTTAAGATAACTGGGAATTTTCGTGAGATCCCAATGCAGCTTTCCAATAAACTCAAGCCATTACAGATGTCAGCTCACCAAAGGATTGATAAGGCAATTATACAGCACCTAACCTCGTTAGCAAGTAAGGTTAAGACTTGAAATTCTTCAGGACGTGAACCTTGTCATAATTGTATTCATACTCAACCTTGCTTCAACCTTCAAGTTCATAAAGATGATCTTGAACTCTAACTACTTCACTCTTGTCTCCAGCACTTAAGAATGAAAACAAAAATGAAGCTTTCCATGAACAAATGCAAAATATGTAAAAGACCATGCCCGCTGCTTCAGATTTAGCGACACCAACTTCTATATCAAATTTATCACGAGCAGTAAGAGATGGATTTAAAGTACTGACCCTGTGTAATAATCTCGTGGCAGGTAAACGTCCTTGATAGGACCAAACTCCCCAAATGTTCTGCGCAGGTCCTCAGGCCTGAAAACCAAAAAGTTTTGAATCATAACACACAGTCATACAGTCACCAAGGGTCAGCATGTCACTTCTAAGTTTCTAAATTAACAGAACCTGCGGCTCATGGTTCTTTGCTCCATACGCTAAAGAGAGAGAAAAGATTGAACATATCTAATATTGGTTTTACCATTCATTAGAATATGGATCATATCTCAAGTGCAAGAATCAGGTAGTGTCCTGGTTCCCCATTCCAAATTCCCCTTCCAAACTAAAGTTTCACCAGCACGCGAAAGTAGGATAGAACATGTATTAACTTCGAAAAAATTCCAGTGGTCATTCATTTCAAGACATCAGATAACGCACTTAATAACATAAAATCAGATAGAAAACTCGCGAAAACACAGAAAAGCCATGCGGTTCTAGGAGTACGATAGCCAAGTAAGCAATAGAAAAGTGACTAAGCACGCCATACCTGCAATCATGACGAAGGTTGCGAACCAATAGGCTAGTTGGATAATCTCCCCCACGGCTTCTATAACGATCCCTTGGGCTCGGGCTACGATACCTCCTGCTATAACCCCTCGGAGAAGGACTTCTGCTATATCTTCGACCCATTTTCCAATCTAAATAAGAAATTACCAGAATCATGAGCAAGAAACATTGAAAATATATCCGATCACCGCAGGAATTAAAAGCGTGCCAAATACCCTAATAGGTTAACGCAGTAACATTCCATCAAAACGAATCTTAACCAAGAACTTAGGAGTTTAATAATTCGTAAGCCAAGCTATGAATCTGAACCAAACCAAACCATCGAAGAATTGAAAGCCATACCTTAATAAAAACGAGCAGCGCGATGACCGGAGACGCAAGCGAGATGCCCTGGTTCTCGTCCGCCGCGTGTATTTATATAGATGATAGTGATACGATACGATGATATCTGGTCTGATGTTGGAGGTTCTCCAGAAGCTTCCGTGGACCTCCATAATGGGCCTCGGCCTCTTATGGGTTGGGCCAAATGCAGTGGGATGTATTGGGCTTCCAGCGACCTGGCCCCAATAGCATGGCCTGGTGCTGATAGTCGGTCCCGACGTGAAGAACATTGAAGAGGCCCGATAAGACAGATAAGAGCATTTTCCCAAGCGGAGCCTGTTAAAAGCCCATAGAAATTTGTGACATAATCCAAGTTTGGTGGAGAATATTTCTTTACCCAAACTTTTTACCTAACAATTCTATATAATATATACTCCCTTCCCTGTGTTCCCGTTAGGTGAGTATCAGTTATTTTTTGTAACATAAATTTTTTAATATTAATATTATATTGAAATATAATAAAAAAAACAAAAATATCTCTATTAGTATGGTGTAATATAAAATTAATGACATTTGTATAATATATTGTAAGTAAGGTAGATAGTACAGTTACTAAATTATGAAATAATAACCTTGTTTTGGGAGAAGAGACGGAAATAGAAAATGGTAACCTTTCAATAGAATTGAAAGAGTATTATATTTTCTTTTTTAAAAAATTACTGATATTCAATAAAAACCATTATTTTTATATTATGAATATAGTTATTCATATCATAAAAAAAAAAAAAAAAAAAAATTATTTTACACTAAAAACAAGTGTAAAACTCAAATATGGTTTTTAGTAGACCATAAAATATAGAGGTGACAAAAACTAATACAACATGATAACTTGATACGAATTTGGCACAAAATAATTGAGTTTGAGTTAAGAATTCTGATCCGATTATATATATGAATCAATACAAATTCAACACGATAATAAATAGGTCGAGTTATGATTGAAATCTTCAATTCAAACCCCGCACGACAACTCAGTTATAACACGTGAATATTAATTAATATAGTGTATGCATACCTATTTTTGATTGAGTTAATAAAATTTAATTTTCTTTATAGATTGCTTATTTAATTATAATTTGTTTTTTATAAATTTAATTAATTTTTTTAATGAATAAACGAGTTAAGTTCAGATCTCTAACATGTTTAAAAAGGTATTAAACATATCGGGTTCAAATTGAATAATAAATGGATTGGATTCAAATAAAATGATTTGATCGTGAAAAAGTTAACCCGACCCAACCCTAGATATTGCTGCTCTACTGAAACCTACTTGAACAATCTTCCAACACATCTAAATCCAAGAAAATGAACTTATAAAATACTACGTGAATTGTAAGAGTGATGCTAAAATATTTTATTAATATATTTATAGTTTATACTTATTAAATAAAAAGTAAATAAGAAAATATATTTATTGATAAGAAAATATTTTATAATAAATTATATAAAAAAAATTGTATGGTAAAATATCTTGCGAAAAAAATATATATTTAATTTTTTCTTTTGTAGAAACCTGATATTTTTTTAGTAAAAAAAACAAACCCTTATAAAAAATGGTTATATATTGTGAGATGCGGAGATATCATATGTTATTGTAAAATGTGCTGTTTAACTTGATTAAATTTTCTTATTGAATCAAATAAATGTGATGTTCATTTGAGTTAGTAAACACTTTAACGGTTGAATATTTTTACACCTTTTTATTACTCTCTCATTCTCACATAAATGTCATTTTTTTTTTTAATTTTTATTCGTCCTATATAATTTATAATTTTTTTTTAAAAAATATAATTATACATTTTAATTTTATAATTTATAATTTTCTCATTTTTAATTAAATTATTTAATTATTTTAAATTTAATTTATAATTATTTTATATAATACAATTTTTTAATTACTGATTATACTTTATTTAACCATAGACACTTTTTTAGTGAGGTAAGGAATATAAAGTATAATAATTTATAAAGTATTACAAAAAGTAATTATTCCACTAAAAGTATATATTTATTTATTTTTATATATTGCATTCAGTTTTATATAACTATGTATATATATATATTTTTTAAATAATATTTTTGAGATTTATATATTAAAATTTAAAAATTAAATGAACATACTCTACGTATTTACAAGGTCAGCCCATACTAAACTGAATCCCAGCCCAGCCCAGTCTACACACTCAAACCCATTCTACCTTCTGCATTTATAACGCAGCTAGGGTTTCTTTCGCCTGCCCTCTCGCTTCGTTCATCCCCTCCTCTCTCCATCGTTCGCCGTCCCAGAGAGTTTTTCTCCGTTTCTTATCTTTCTACGTTGTTACTCGTCTCTATTCCAGAATGGCGACTGCAGACGTGGCGGCTCCCGGACTTGAAGGTGAAAAAGCTCACACTGGCGTGTTGCTCTTCAATCGTTGGTCCTACGACGAAGTTCAGGTCCTGCAGTTGCTTCCTCTTTTCGGATCTTGCTATTTTGTGTCCTTTGGAATCTCATATTCGTAACCTGTTCTATAACTTAGTTTCTATTATTTGTAATAATCTTGCTTCTAGATTTTAATTATTTTTCACTGGAACCAATATCGTTTGTTTCTTGCCATGTTTAATCTAACCTCAAACTAGTTTGTATGGAATAGTACAATCTGTGTTAGATTAAAAAATGTGACTCAACTGCTTATTGTCTCGAAACCGTGTTAATAATGACTTTGCTTTTAGATTTTAATTATTTTTCACTGGCACCAATATCATTTGTTCCTCGCCATGTTTAATCTAACCTTAAACTAGTTTTTATGAAATGCTTCTATCCGTGTTAGATTAAAAAAATGTGACTTGACAGCTTATTGTCTCAAAACCGTGTTAATTTCGGTGCCTAAATCAAATCAATTGATTTGGTTTTGATGAGACTTTTGTGCAATTCCTAACAGAATTGATATGTCCTATGAGACTATCTCAGAAGATTTAATGAGAACTTCGCTTATATTTGTGGTGGCAACATTTTCTAGTCTTTGTATAGCATTCTTTACCTAATTGCCATTCCTATTTTTGTACTAAACGCTGCAATGAGTTATTCGTCATAACTGATATCTGGAGAGTTTTGTGATGTCGTTGGAGAATTACTGATTTCTTATTGCTATGATATACCTTGTACATGTTTGAAAGGTTCATTGTTAAAGGTTGAAAATCAAGTATATGGGTTAAGAGATGTCCTTTCATGTTATGGGTATCTATATTCTGCATATTTTTCTTGTAAAGTATAATCAGTTTCTTGGGAACATGCCTCTGGGTTGTTAAACAAGTAGGAACGTAGTTTTAAATTTTTGTTTAATTGTAGATTAATGACATCTCGGTGGAAGATTACATCACTGCAACTGCAGCAAAGCATCCAACATATATGCCACATACAGCTGGAAGGTACCAGGCAAAACGCTTCAGGAAGGCTCAGTGCCCAATTGTTGAAAGGTTGACCAACTCCCTCATGATGCATGGGCGGAACAATGGTAAAAAGCTCATGGCCGTGCGCATTATAAAGCATGCCATGGAGATTATCCATTTGTTGACCGATCAGAACCCTATCCAAGTAATTGTTGATGCGGTCATCAACAGGTTTGTGACTTGTTATGCATTATAGTTTATAGTTGGTATGGTAAATTTTGCTCACCTGCACAGCACTTGTATGCAGTGGGCCAAGAGAGGATGCCACCCGTATTGGGTCAGCTGGGGTGGTGAGGAGGCAGGCTGTTGATATCTCTCCCCTTCGCCGTGTGAATCAGGCTATATATCTGTTGACAACTGGTGCTCGTGAAAGTGCTTTCAGAAACATCAAGACTATTGCTGAGTGCCTTGCTGATGAACTCATCAATGCAGCCAAAGGATCTTCGAACAGGTAGGAAACCCTGTTACTGAATGAATGAATGAATGAATGTGGTTCGCCAATTCTTGCAAGCCTGTTCTGTGTTTTAGGAAAACTTATTTTGTTCTCGTATATGCAGCTATGCCATTAAGAAGAAAGATGAGATTGAGAGAGTTGCAAAAGCCAATCGTTGAGGGTCGAGCAGTTTTGGAAGGATGTGGTGCTTTCTTCTGCCTGGGAATATGGTATTTCAGGGTACCGATGAAGTCGTTATTGTTACAGAACCATGAGATAAATGTTTTTGTCACCTAGTTCAGACATTTCTGCAAGAACCTGGGCCAGCTCTTATTTTCCTGCTTTTGTTATTTTATCAAAACTTGATTGTGTTATGAAAAGTATTTTATGTGTTTTAGCAATTTTGTTTTCTGTGTATTTTGAGTTGATCCTGCCTATGAATGTGTGTTGTTATGTTTTTGGAAACACTCTGAGTGATATGTGCGCTCCGAAACATATTGGATAGTAGGTGGATTGTTATCTGTTTTTTTTATTTTTATTGATGATGCGGGAACTGCAGCTATCCCAGAGTGCAACTTCCGATAAAATTTATTATTATTATTTTTTATGTTTGGCGATGGAGTTTTATTTTATATAAAATATAGAAAATAAAAGTGTTTGATTTAATGTTTTGATAAAAGAAAAATTCACTGGAGTGGTACTATGGAATGCCTATCTATCTATCTATCTATCTATCACGTTTCCGGATTATCCTTCCTTGGTCAACAATCGTATTTAGTCTTAGTTGCGTATGCAAGAATGAAGAATGGTGTCTTACTCAATTGTATGATGGTTTGTCTCAGTTTATATTTGAGAGAGAGAGAGAGAGAACACAACATATGCTCCGTACCGTCCGGCCACTGGATTCAAATTTCAGGGATTATGCTTACTGCAAGATTGTATAAAATAGCTTTGTTATAGAAAGAATGTCCGCATGCATCTTTGATTGAAACAATTCATACACACCGATCTTTATTATAATGTTAGAGCTTAGCAGCCAAGGGCTTGGAATCAGCTTGGGCAAAGTTGCATGTGCTTCCATTTTTTAGCTTCTAAAGAGTGAGTATACATACAATGGTTCCGAGAAAAATCATCAATTCCTTATGGGACATGGGGAGATAAGTAGATAAAATGCCACAATGGAAAGAGAGTAGAAAAGTGTATTTACAGAAAGTGAATGCATTTGCGAATGTGGTGTAAGAGAAGAAATTAAAAAATAAAAAAATAAAACCGGACTTCATAGCCTGAGCCTTTCATATTTTAAGTCGGCTATCGAACATTACTTTTTGTATTATTAGACTTGAATAATGAAATCTTGGTAGCAATAGAAGCAATTTATATCACAATCACTGTATATATTCTAAAAAATTGGGCTCTTTTGAGACTTTCTGCAACTAACATCTTCATAACCAGAAAAAGTGGTAGAAAATATAAAAATCAAAGAAAAAAAAGTATACCGAAAATTTGGGTGGATCTTTGGATGAATCATGCATCTCTTTCCTCAATCAATACCAGTCTTGTCCATTTGTTTAAAAAATTAAATAGTAAGTACAGAGAGAGATGATATTTTCGGGGAAAAACCCAATAATATATGCTTATAAGAAAGGGACAAGTGAATCGGCGTTAGCGGTGGTTCAATTGGTCTGGGGTCAATAATAATAACAACATGATAACGATAAAAGAAATTAAAGAGAAATATCTTGTATGTATGTATGTATGTATGTATCCATGTAGAGATAGATGCCAGCGCGATTTTGTGATTGAAGCCGGGCGAGGTGAGGCAATCAAGGGGCCACGATCGATCGAGATTTGTCGGCTCGCCCTTCCTCCCTCGCCTCGCCTCTCTGTCGCTCTCGTCTCCACAGACAAACCTGCCCTGCCCTGCCCTCTCCTCCTCCGATCCCTCTCTCTCTCTCTCTCTCACAAAAACAGAGTACGTGATCTTCTTCTTCTCCTTGCTCCCAAATCCCAATCAATTCAGTTCAGAAGGCTATACTATAGTAACAACCACTGTTGTTAGTTTCCCATCGATCCGATCCAATCCAATCATATATATTTCCCCTCCAACCGCCAAGATTAATCAACTAATTAAATGGATCTCGAGAAAGATTGGGAGCTCCTCCCCGACGAGGGGTTCCTTGATATCAATGATGATGATGATGATGTAGATGAGAAGAAGATCTACTCCTGCAGCAGCAGCAGGAGGAGGTTTCACTATCAGCCAAGTATGTTCCAGATGAACTACTTCGTCTGCCCATCCCCCAAATCAGAATCATTATTCATCCCCCTCGTGTCCCATCTCCCAACTGACCATGATTCTGAGACACAGGACGGCGGAGACGATGATCGCATCACCGCCACGGCAGCGGCAGCAGGTTTTGATGAGGTGGTTCCAATACCAATACCGATACCATTGGCAGGTTCTTCGCCACAAGTAGTATTTCTCAAGAAGGTCAAGGAAATCACGGAATCCGTAGTCGACACCATCAAAGTCAGCAGCAGCAGCAGCTGGGGAAACGTGCCCCGTCCTCGTGAGATCGAAGGCGACAATTTCCAGTTTGTGGAGGAGAAGGATCCTGTTGCTGCAGGGGGGATATTGACCGGAATGGTGATGACGGCTAACAGTAGGAGCAGCAGCAGCAGCCACTTGGATTCAGATGATAATGGTGGAGAAGGAGGAGGAGGCCCTAATAATAATAATAGCATTTGGAAGTGGAGGTGGGGGCTGAGCGGAGTCGGGGCTATTTGTTCATTCGGAATCGGAGTGGCTGCTGCTGCTGCCGCCTCTCTAATTTGCGTCGTCATCCTCAACAACAGCCACCACCATCAGCTTCATTTTCAGCTTAATTACCCCAACTCCAACCACTACAACTACAAGGTACCGTATACTATGCCCAGCCCATCTAATTCAATTATCCTTCCGTCCGCCCTTCCTCTACTGCACTGTACTACACATCACATACACACACACACACACAAGCAGCAACAGCAGATGTAATTCTTAAACCACCGTACCAAATTAGACTCCTGCCTGCTGCTGGATGAGATGAGATCTGATTGGTTGATAACTCATAATACAATAATGCAAATAAGGATCATCAGAAGTTTTGGTTTGGTGATGATGTGTCAACCTACTTTCATGGTCAGAACAGAGAGATTTTATTATAATGATTTAGAGAGCTACAATCATGTCATATACAACTAGGAACCATAACTATTTATATTTATAAGCACTTCAACATACACTAAACTCTAAACCTATTTGTTATTAATTAGGATAAGTCTGAAAGAAACATTGCCAATTGAAACAGCCCTTTCGCTTTAGTTTCGGGTCGGGTAGACCGCTAAATTCAAGTCATGTTTCAACCATCTCCACCTTGACTTGGAGTTTCTCCAACCGCCAAAGGTTCGTCAGTATCTCTCAGTCGTCTTCTTCCTGCCAAATGCCCCAAGAGGACTTTACCTCCTACGAATATTCACCAAGTTCAAGCAGTGCTCGAACTTCTCCGTTGGTACGCCTTCGTCAACGTATCAGCTGGATTGTGTCATGTAGCTATTTTCTGAATAGAAAATCTGTCTTCCACCAGAACATCACGGATAAAATTCAACCTCACATTAATATGTTGGATTTTTAGCCAAACTCAAAGCACTCTGTTTCTCCACCTTCAGACCCAAACTCCGTACCAAACCATGTAACCAGATACCCTCCTTAATACCTTCAGTCATTGACATGTATTCCGCCTCAGTCGTCGACAGTGCAACCGTAGGTTGTAAAGTAGATTTGCAACTGACTGCACATCCAAACAAAGTGAAGATAAAGCAAGTCAGTGATCTTCGTTTCATCAAGTCACCCCCATAATTAGAGTCTGCATAGCCAATCAGACCATCACCATACGCTCCTTTCAAATATCGCAAGATCCACTTTCCAGCTCCTCAGTTAACTTTACCCGGATTAGCCACCAAACCTGCTCACCACACTAACCGCATAAGCGAGATCCAGTCTCGTACATACCATCGCATACATAAGACTTCCAACTGCACTTGAATATGGAACCGTGTTCATGTAGCTAACTTCTTCATCTGTAGCTGGTATAATGCTTCGATCAAGTTTAAAGTGTACCACCAAAGGGGTACTTACCGATTTGGACTGATCAACAAAGAATGCCTGCAAAACTTTCTCAATATACTTTTCTTTGAGAAACCCATAGTCGTCCTCCTTCTCTATCACGCCAAATCTCCATACCCAGTATTTTCTTTGCCGCACCCAAATCCTTCATCTCAAACTCACCCTTTAGTAGAGCGTTCAAGTAATTAATTACAACCATATTTTTAGCTTCAATTAACATATCTTCCACATACAATAACATATACACAAAGGAATCAGTAGAAACTTTCTTTGAGTAAACACAATTTTCAAATTGATTATGAGTATAACCATTAGATACCATGAAAGAGTCAAATCTCTTGTACCATTGCCTCGGAGACAGCTTCAAGCCATACAGAGATTTCTTTAACAAGCATACTTGGTCGTTTTTAGAACTGTCGAATCCCTCCGGTTGAGATATATAAATTCGTTCTTTTAGATTACCATGAAGGAATGCCGTTTTTATATCAAGTTGCTCCAGCTCCAGATCAAAAACACCCACCATTGCCAAAAGAACCCGGATGGTTTTGTGTTTCACCATAGGAGAAAAGACTTCATGGTAATCGATTTCTTCCTTCTGTGAGAACTCTTTTACCACCAGTCTCGCCTTGAACCTAGCAGGTTCAACACCAAAAATTCCCTCATTTCTTTTAAAGATTCACTTGCATCCCACTGGCTTCACCCCTTTTGGTAGTGCAACAAGATCCCAAGTCTTGTTCTTTTCAAGAGACTGTATATCTTCATTCATTGCATCTTTACTCGCCATAACTTCTTCATATGTCTTTGGCTCATCAGAGCCAAGATCATCACCAACCACCAGTGCATAAGCCATATAATTCATGTCATATGTATTGACACATTCTGCAAACCTAGCTGATTTCTGAATATTTCTTTTTCCCTTTCTTGCTGTTATGAAATCTTCAACTCCAATACCAGCATCATCAGCTTCCCCCTCAACCGGTTTTCCTTGAGGTTTTGACTGATCTGGTTGATCGGATTGATCAATAGTATTATCTTGCCGCAACCGGTTTTCCTTGAGGTTTTGACTGATCTGGTTGATCGGATTGATCAATAGTATTATCTTGCCGCTATTCATCTAACACAACTCTGTTAGGAGTCTCAAACTCCACCCTCTGGTCAACACGACAATCTTTTGTACCTGCAATACTTTCACAACCTCTACTCTGATCAAGCATAGCAGATTCATTAAATGTTACATCTCTGTTAATAAGAAATTTACTAGGATTTTTACCTTTTGTACACCACAGTCGATAACCTTTTACTCCTGTTGCATACCCTAAAAATATGCATTTTACCGCCCTCAGCTCCAGCTTACCATCATTCGCATGAGCGTATACAGGACATCCAAATATTCTTAGATTAGAGTAATCAAAGGGTTTAATTTTTTAGGTCAATTTAATTTTTCTTAAATTTTCGGGTCTGTTTCGTGTCGGGTTCGTATCGGGTTTGTTCGGGTTTCGGGTGACCTGAAAGAATTCGTGTCGTGTTCGGGTCTAGGGTTTCAGGTCAGATTACGGGTTCGGGTCTAGGGTTTCAGGTCAGATTACGGGTTCGGGTCGTTCGGGTTGACCGTTTTTTGTTATCCTCATGGCTCAACCCGACACGAACACGACCTAAAAACACGAATTGACACCCCTAATCACTCTACCCTCTTTCTTGCAGAAATCATCAAATGGAGCGTTGCAGAACTCCAATCCATTATCAGTTCTTAGAGTCTTGACCTATTTACCCGTCCGTTTTTCAACCATGGTCTTCCACTCCTTGAACTTCCCAAACACATCATCTTTAGTCTTCAGAAAGTACAACTAGAATTTTCTCGAATAATCATCTATGAAAGTGACAAAATAAGAACACCCGCCCTGCGATTTCACCGGAGAAGGACCCCATAGATTTGAATGAACATACTCCAGAATTTCTTTTGAAGTGTGATGACGGGTACTAAACCTCACCCTGCGTTGCTTCCCTTTTACACAAGCCCCACAGTCAAATTTCCTGACAGTACCGTAATGCAATTTTATCTGCACTATCTCGTTCCCCTTTATGGCTAGAACTCCATCATCACCTAACTTTAACGTTCCATTTCACTCCTTAAAAGAAGTGAGTAGATCACGAGAGAACGTCATATGGTGAGAAGCACCAGTATCCATAATCCAGGAATCAACAGTACTAGCACTACACGCTGTCAGAAATTCACCAAAGTTCCCATCATCAAAATTGTCTTGTACCACAGTAGCGCTGCTGCCACTGTTACTGTAATCAATTTTTGTATTTCCCTTCTTTTGTGGACAATCCCTTTTAATGTGCTTCTTCTCATTGCAAAGATAACACTTAACTTTGCTAGAGGACTTTGATTTTGAACGCGACCTGCCATTCCAGTTACCCCTCTTCTGTGGTCTTTCCCTACTTGCAAACAGACCTGAACCAGAACCCTCTTCCAGAGAAACCTTTCTTTTCAATTCTTTGGACATAAGAACATCTTTCACATCATTAACATAAATTGTATTTATACCATATAACATAGTATCTAAAAATTCTCATATGAACTAGGTAGTGAACACAATAAAATTAGGGCTTGATCTTCATCATCTATTTTAACCTCAACCCCTTGAAGATCAAGAATAATACGGTTAAAGGTATCAACATGATCCTTTACCTGAGTACTTTCGGACATCCGGAGGGTGTAGAGACGTTGTTTATGATATAGCCTGTTCGTGATAGAGTTTTTCTGGTACTTCTCACACAGTTTATTCCATAGCCTAAAAGCCGTCGTCCGATCTACAACCTCCCGTAAAACCTTATCAGTAACTGACAGCAAGATCGCGGAATGAGCCATTGCCAAAATCTCCTTATTTATCTCTCCCTTCGTGTCTTTAGGAAACTTGTCTTCTCCCTCCAACGCAGCCACACATCCTTGTTGAACCAGAAGTGCCCTCATCTTGACCTTTCAGAGCGTGAAGTCATTCGACTCATTAAACTTCTCCAGATCAAACTTATACGAGGACATCTTCAATCAATCATATATGGCTCTTATACCACTTGTTACGAGAAAACAAGAAAGAAAGCAAATAAAGAATACATAAGTTTTATGTGGTTTGATGACGGTGTGTCAACCTACGTCCGCAGGCAGGAACCAGAGAGATTTTATTATACTGATTCAGAGAGTTACAATCATGTCATACAACTAGAAACCATAAATATCTATTTATAAGCACCCCAAAACACCCTAAACCCTAAGCCTATTTGTTATTAATTAAGATAAGTCCGAAAGGAACGCTGCCAATTGAAACAACCATTTCGCTTTGGTTTCGGATCGGATAGACCGCTAAATTCAAATCACGTTTCAACAGTAACTTTACTAGTAGTATTTTATTTTTGTTATTAATGTAATTGATTAATGTGGGCACATATATATGCAGCAGGGGACGAAGGAATCAGCGGGGAAGGGTGGTGCAGGTGCTCTTGTCGATCATGTTGCAATTGCTGCAGCAGTTCGAGGAGGAGGAGGAGGAAGAGGATCATCGATTCCCATTACTACCGCAACTCGTATCACTTTTGGGGGTTATTACCAATACCGCGATGATGATGATGATGTTGTTCCTGCACCCACCTCTCTCATTTGAAACATATATATGTAAATAATTAAGAAGAACAATCTAAACTAATTGCGTATATTCTGTGAGAGGGAAGGGTGGGGAGCTGAACAGAGACTGTGTACAAAGTAAGAGAGGGTTGGTACTTAAATTAATTATAAGCCATTAGATTAACTATTAACTATAAGGAATTTTATTTTATCAAAGTAGAGAAATAATTTTAGTAAAAAAAAACTCCATGCATCAATACATCCTTGTTTGAAATTTAAATTTTAAATATTATATCTATGATCCTAATTAAATATTGATGTTTATGGTCAAGTATTACATACATATATGATCGAGCCTGTAATCAACTCTCTCTCTACCTCATTCTTCAAACATATCAACATGTAGATCCAAAACCGATCCAAATCACAATACAAACCTCCAATCTATATGAGATTCCAATTTCGGATAAATTATACTAGATCCAAAATCGAATTTAATTTGGAATGGAGCAAATTGACAGGCCTAGGCCGCAGGCGTCTAATTCCCATTCACCAATAAGCAAGCAAGCAAGCTGGCTAGCAGTGTATATCGATAGCCTGCTGCTCTACTCCACAAAACATTGACTTGGAATTGGATTGAATTGATTGCAGTGTTCTATGCATCCACACGGGTGGATCATGGATCATTCAGCAGCAGCAATTGCACAGGATATATTTGAAAAATTAATATCAGAATATTAAAATAATTATAAAAAATCAATAATCAATATAATTTATTGAAAATAATTTCGATATCAATATAATTTATCGAAATAAATTCGATAATCACGTCGAACAGTCGAGATAGAATCTCTTTTCGCAAAATGAATATGTCCGGTAGTGTCTCCCGTTCACGGCATAACGTATTTAAAGATAAAACGACGTTCATTTCTAAATTAGGTGAAACTTCAATATTTCATAATTTCGACGAATTATAACAAAGAAATTGAGCTATATCAGAAATCTAAGGAGAGAGGATCACAGGGTTTAGGGTCGGTTCCAGATCAATCCGATTTGGATCTAGTATAATTTTTCCGTATTTAGAATCTCATATGTGAGTTCGAGGTCTGTATCTTAAATCGAATTGTTTTATATGGTTTCAGATCTATATTTATATATAATATTAGATGATTTAGTGTATCTTTTTTGTATTATAATTTATTGTTAATCAGATGATTTTTTATATTAAAATTAAAAATAACCATTAATTAAAATTTAATTGTCGAAAATTTGGAAATATTTATAGATTTTATAGATTGATGTGAACATAAATTTGAATTTGATATGTACCAGAATATTGGATTTGAGGCCGAATCGAGTGATCAATTTTTAAGTTATAGCATATCCAATTCTAAATTCGAGAACCCTATTGAACAACGGATGTGGATCTGAAACTTTAGAATCCAAACCAAATCTGTTCCATTGACGGACATACCTGCGGCTGCCAACATCAACACGTGCTTTTTATTACCTCTTTCGTCTCGTGAGAAAAAGAATTGTCATTTTTCATTTCTGTTTATTCAAAACAAATATGTAGTTTTTAAATTTAGTAATTGTACTGTCTGGTTAACATAAATTTTTTTTTTATAATTTTACAATTTAAATATATTAAACAAATGTCATTACTTTTATATTCCCTCCGTCTACTTACAATGTTTACATATTTCTATTTTGGAACGTCCAATTACAAAGTTAACATTTCATTAAATACCCTACTTTTTTCCACAAATACCCTTACTTTACATCACATCATTACTTTTACACAAAAAAAGAATGACAAAAATATTATTACACTACTTTTAACTACTCACTATAATTAAAATACTATTATTTTTTAAACACCGCGCTAAAAGTAAATGTAAACTTTGTAAGTGGACTATTATATAATACTAATATATATATATATATTACTATAAACTATTATAATACTAATATTTGATAATCTATTTATAAAAGACACCTTGCAATATTTTACATTTTTTTTTGGTATGTCCCGGACACCTTGCAATATTTTCAAAATAGGAAATAATTAATTATACTTAATCACTATCTTACACTTTAACCCCTCACATCATCCAAATAAAAAAATAAAATACATTTTTCTCTCCACCAATCATCTAATTTTTAAATTATCCTACTTAATACTATCCATATAAAAACTCGTGCAAAAAAACAAATGTTGCAACTTGTTTGGAACAGAGGGAGTATTATATTTATATGAAAATAAAATTTGGCTTAATTGTAAAATAGTCCTTGATTCACCAAGTTTTTATTTCCTTTCTTTCCTTCTACAGCGTACGGCACGAAACTCTTCTCATAATCTAATTCGTTAAGGCCTGTTTGCTTCGAAAGTTTAGAAAGGAATATAATCTTTTCTAACATTTCTTTAATTCCAATTTGAGGAAATTTGGAAATAATGAATTTCATTAATTAAAAAAAAAATCTAATTACCTATTATCCTTTTAATATTTTATTAAAATGTTTATAACATTTTAAACAATTTTATATTTATTTTATATCAAATAAATATTAACATATACTCCCTCTATCCATTTTTAATTGACACATTTTTTATTTTTTATTCCATAACAATTGACATTTTTGTATTTTGGATAAAATTTATTAAATTAAAACATACTTAATAAATATAAATTAACTTAATTAACTACATAATATATAATATTTCTTATACATCATATATTACCAACTTTCTTATTTCTATATTTTTCCTAAAAAAATAAATATTTTTATTTATATTTAAAACTCCATCATTTTTGTAAAATTAGTTTATATTAATTATAAATAAATAAATAAATAAATATTTATTTATTTATTTATTTTGTATTATAAAAAAATTATTTATAAAATGATATCCATATTGCATATAATTTTTTATTGTAATATAAATTTTAAAATATTTAAATACATAGTCTAATTTTATTAATCATATATATTGAATTTATTTAAAACTATCAATATTATTAATTATATATTGTTAACTAATTAAAAATTACTATTATCTTAAATCTTATATCACTAACGAAAAAGTTCAATTGAACCGGAACGAAAGAAATATATTGTAGGTAAATTATATTATATATTTTAAAATATTTTTAACTAAAATTTTTAACCAAGTTTCGTTATATATATATTTTTAAAAAAGTATATAAACTAATATTTTCTCCGTCCTTTAAAAATATATCAATTTTTCTATTTTGATTCGTCTTATAACAAGTATCAATTTTCTTTTTAGTAATTATATTTTCTAGTAACATTAAAAATACTTTTACAACTTACAATATATTACACAAATATCGTTACATTTATATCACACAATACTGATAAGGTTATTTGAGTCTTTTTCTACTTTATTTGTACCACACCCAGACCCGTTCCTGAACTTTATTAGGCAGAGGCAAAATTAAAATATTGGGCCCTTAAATATTTTTTAAATATAAATGTATTAATAAAATATTTTTTATTTATTAAAAGATAAAAATATAAATATAAAATTAATGTGACATGTTTAGTATAATATAAAAATAAAAAAAAATATTTGATTTAATATCTTTTCAAGAATATTTTTATAAACAATCAGAAGTCTTTAAAAAAAAATTTTTAAACAAAAAAGTTTATTAAGAGTTTGTTTCTTTTGATTGGTTTAAAGAAAAGTTTGGTTTGAATTTGATATTAAAATAATGTTTGATGGGATGTTTGTGAGAGAGAAAAATATATTTTTTTCGATAAACACATAGTCCTAATAATAAAAATTAGAAAGTTTAGATTAAAGAAACAAACTCAATTTTATATAATACACAAATATTTAAAAATACTTCTAAAAAATACAAATTTAAACATATAGATATAAAGCTAACAAGAACATACAAAATATTAAACTATCATATCTTCTTAATTTTTCATAATTCACAAAAATATATAAAATTATACTATTAAATAAACACACTAAAATATATAAATAAATAATTTAAAAATTAATGTTCAAATCATTTATTTAAAAAATAATTATGAAATAATTTTTTTATTTAAAATTTTATTTTATATATTATATAATAATAATAATAATAGTAATATATAGGAGTATATATATACATATATTATTGGGCCCCCAGCGGGAATGGGCCTGAGTATAAAAATAATTTTATTCAAATTTACTATATAAATAAGTATATAGTTATATTTATAAAAAATTATTTAATTAAAATAACTTTAATTGATTTAGTTTTAAATTATTTGACTTAGTTTGATAATCAATTTAATTTAGTAAAAAAATTGAATTGACTTAATAGGATAAGAATTAGTTTTTATAATATACTATCTTAGTCCCAAAACAACATAGACATTTGAGATGAACACGATAATTAAAGAATAATAGTATTGACAGTGAGTGTAAAAATATTTTTAAAAGACAAAAATATTTTTATTGTGAAAAAGTTGAGATAGTTTTGTAAAAAAGTGAAAAATTAGTTTACCGAAAATAGGACTATTGTTTAGGAACAAAAATAGTAAAATAAAATTATTGCTTTGAGACAGAGAGAGTATTTAGTTTATATAATTTCTATTATCTTGTTACTATTTACAGTTAAAATTACTGTTAATTTGTATTAGTAAGTCTAATAAATATATTGTATTATCATGAATAATCCAAACTAATTTCGAGCTGTTATTAAATGCCCACTTGAAACATATAAATTGATCATTATGTAGATAGTATTTGTTTTCTTTTATATTTAGTAAATTTTGTGTCATATTTATAAATAAATAAACTAATTTTATTGAATATATATTTTTTCTTTATTTATATAATATATGAATAAAATAATAATTATTTTATTCTATTTTCATTTTCCTATCCTATCCTATCTAAGTAAATATGAAAGTAGTATTTTTTATCTTCCATTTCTCTCCTTTGCTTTAGCATGATTAGATATATATGCTATTACAATTTTAATTTTAATTTTTCGTATCCATTCCCTTTTTTGAAATCTCTTCTCTACCCTTCCTTCTGTTGAACCAAATAGACCATAAGGGTCCGATCAAAAAAAAAACAAAAGACAATAAGGGAAATCGATCGATCGATCGTTCCCCTCTTCGCCGATGCTGACCTCATTCCCACCAACAGTTGTGTTGCCGACGTCGTTCAGATTTGTCTCTATCTACTTCTTTGTTTTTGTTTGAAATTTTAATCTATCTATCTCTCTCGCGATAAGTTTCTTCTTTGCAGCCACCCTGTGCGAGCCTGAGCCCATCAACTTCAATTTCACTCCGAGTTCGGCTTCAATTTTAGGCAATTATTATAAGTCAAGTTCGATCAGCTTCAATTTATATCTCGCAACAGTGCTCAACATTTGATTTTAGTGATAGAAAAGAATTGTGTAATGCTTTAAACATGAACCGCTTTAGGGTTGATGCTTCTTCTTTAGTTTTTGTGCGTTGCTGTTTATGAGGCTTGATTGATTCATTCTGAGATGTATAATATCCAGATTTTCTTTCATATTGGATGGTTTCTTTTAATGGCTTTGTTTTGAGGCTCATAGCCAAATTATAATGTAATTTAATTGAAGCAGGATTTATTATATGTAGTGTGGTGTAAACTTACGTTCTCTATTGATGGATTATCTTTTATTCTAATTTTCATGTCGAGAGTTAATTGTGTGTTTCAAGTAACTTGTAGTTTACATATATATATGTTACTTTTCAAAAACCTTGTAGTTTAAATTTGTTTCTTTTCAAAGCCTTTTAGCAATTTAGGTTATTTATGGAGATTGATGATTTAACCATGGATCGTGTAACAACGATGTGACAAAATGATGCTCAATCCCATCCCATAATGGTCACATCTCTACCAGATGAACACCTCAAATTGAAATGCCTTTTGATAATGAAGAAGATGCCTTCAGTTTTATTTGTTTAGTTTATAGTAAGTAGGCTTCAACATGAAAAGTCATAAAATGCATAAAGATGGAATACAAAAGATAACATCCAAAATGAATTTTTATATTGCCCAAGGTACAAAGGAAGAGATAGAAGAATGTTAATATGAGAGCTCCACGAGATACTTTCTTTTTGTTACTTTTAAACTTGCTCACTTCATTTTTCCTAATTCATTCACCATATATCTCTATTAACTCTGATGACTCTCTGTGATCATCTTTCTAGTTGAGTATGCATGTTAAAGAAAAGAAAGATATGAAACGTAACATATGAAAAACCAAACCAAACGATGGTTAAGGAAATATCCATATGCATGCATGGATATATATATATATATATATAGAGAGAGAGAGAGAGAGAGAGAGAGAGAGAATTAATTAAGGAAGATGGAAGAAATTTTAATAAACAAACGTATTTATTTATTTACTTATTATCCATAGAAAGATGGAAAGCAATCTTGCCTCCTCCTCCTCCTACTTACAATTGCTACTACGACTACTACAACTACACATGCACATCCACATCCACATGCTCAATGGACTGGATTGAATATGCACGTTAAAGAGAAGAAATTAATTAATTAAACATAACAAACCAAACGATGGTCAGCTATATATATATATATATATATAAAATATAGAATGATCGAAGATGGAGGGATGGTGTTATTGATCAGAACAGAGTCATCCGGAAGGCGGCGGCAAGCGAGGCGAAGAGGGCAAAGGCCGCCGGCGCCAATGAGACTCCGCCGGATGTTGGGCTCGGGGCGGGGGCCGCCTCCTCCGCTGCTGCTGCAGCAACCACGCTCTGCACCGACAGGGCCACCACGGCCACCGCGAAGATCATCTTCAGCTTCAAGGCCTCCATTTTATGTATATGTAGTAAGGTGTGTGTTATTTGGTATTATTGGAAGGATGGATGTAATAGGGAGAGAGAGTGATTGATTGATTGATTATTGATGAATGAATGAGTATGAGAATGAGAATGAATGTGGGTATAAATAAGGGTACCCTTGGCCCGACAAACGAGGTGTTCAGTGACACGCGTCCTGCATGCTCTCCATCAATATATGGATCTATGTAAATTGTAGTAATAGTTAGTTAATTAGTTGGCCAGTCAAATCATATATCCATCCATCCATCCATCCTATTGAATTGAATGAGAACCACATATATATATATATATATATATATAATTAACAATATTCCATTTCCAGGCATGCATGCATGCATCCCATCCCATCCCTCCTCATCTACCTCCCGTTTCTTTCTTTCTTTCTTCTCTATTATTATGCATGTATATTGTTATTGTATACTATTACTAATTCATGTCCTCGATGACCATTTCTCTGATCGATCACTACAACAGAACAGCTAGCTAGACGTTCTATTTCTGGAAAATCACAGTTTATATATTGTATATATATACATGCAAGCATATCTACCAATTCATTAATTAACCCTAGCTGGACCAATTCCAGATAGATTTCTATATGCATATATGGCTTGTCCACGTTAAATTGTCCATAAAATCTAAAAGCCCAACTTCAAAGTTCAAAATCCACCAAAATTGTGAACTATCTATCTTTTTTTTTTTTTTTCTTCTTACTTTTATATATTAAGAAACCCATGAAGGTGTTCATTTGGGGTTTTCTTGGGCTAAAAGCACTATTCTCTCTTCTCTGGGCTTTACAATTGTAGGCTTCATTGTATTTATGATCTGTTCGGATTAGTTTTTGTAAAGCGCTTTTGGCTTTTGTTTTTTTAAAAAAGTAATTATTTTTATTTGTATTGATTTCTCTTCAAAAGCAAAAATAGCTTTAAGGCTCCAAAAAAATATTTTTAAAAGTGCGGGTGCTTTTGAAAAAAGCGGAAGCAATTTTATTATCTAAACTACAATTTTAATCTTAATAATAATAATAATAGTAACAGTAATAAAAACAACAAAATTAAATAATAAAATAAAATAAAAAATAATTCATTTATATAAAAATTAAATATAATGGTATTTTAATTATTAATTTATATATTTATTTTAATTAAATTTAAATTTTATTATTGAAAATATCAAATTTTAAAAATATAAATTTCAATTATATAATATATAATTTAATATTTTAAATACTATAATTTATAAAGTTAAAATAAGTTGTAGAATAGTATTATTTAAATTTAATTATATTTTTAATTTTCATCTTTATAAAAAATAAAAAAATAAAAATATAGTTTATACATAAAATTTAATAAATATATTTTCAATTAGTTTAGATAATTAAAATTTTTAAATATAATTTATAAAATTCTATCAAAATTAGAAAAATTTAATAAACAAGATACTATTTACATTGCTATATCCTATTTGATAATCTTAATCGTTTAAAAATACTTTTATATAAAAAATTACTTTTATAATTATTCATCTAAATATAAAATCGAATTTCTGCTTCCAAGCAAGTATTGTAAATATATGCGCAATAAAAATAATAAAAAAAAACCAACAAATAGCATTATGTTTCAACAACAAGGAATTACCTCCACAATAAAAAATAAAAAAAAAAAAAAACTACTTATTAGAGTTTTAAAACGCCAGAACACGTAACACTAAATTACAATGAATATTTATAATAGTCCAATCAAACCTATTGGATTGAATTTAAGGCATCCAAGCACATATATTCTCTTTATCGGCTCTTACATTTACTTTTATCGTGTTGTATTAAAAATATAGCATAAAGTAACACAAAATGACAAAAGTATTTTTACAAGTATCTTATAATATTAATATAATGTTATTTGTAAAAAAAAATTATATAAATATAAAAATATTTTTAATATTAAGTACAAGTAACCTTTACATAGGTTTAGGGTTTAAGATTTATAGGCTGACGAAACGAGTATATCGTAACTATTTTATCATATTGCTATACAAAATATAAAAAATTAAAGTGATGCACTTCTTTTACTACTATGATTTTTTTATTTTATATTTTTTCAACCTATTGCTTTTATTTATTTTCAACTCTAGCTAGTACCTTATGTTGCTTTCATACTTTTACTTTGTTTTAATTTCAATATTAATTTTCATTTGTTTTTTTTTTCTTTTCTTTAAAAAATTTATTATTGTTAATTTTCATTATTTTATGTATTCAACTTAATATAAATTGGCCTCGAAGACTTCCTTAAATGAATCGGAAACCGTTGGTAGTCTTTCGACTGGCATACATTATGGTAACCATCTAGGACAAGTAGTGAGGTATTTTTGTTCTTAAGGCTATGACCTAATGAGAAAAAAATAAAAAAATAAAAAAAGAAATGGTGCTTGATTTCCTTGGATTGGAGAAGCAAGTAATGTCCCAAAACATCCATTGTTACGGGTAGGAGTAGGAGTAGGAGTAGTAGTATTTCACAAGGATCCATTCATAGCCTGCATAGGCATCTATCTATCTATCTATCTAACATCCATCCTGTCCAATGTGGCCGCCTAAACTAAACTAAACTAGCATTTGCATTCACAACCTTGCACGCACACAGCAGACTGGCTGCCGACTCTCGCCTGTCTTGCTTGCATCAATCAAATCTAAATCCCTTTATATCATAATTATCCAAAGACTATTATTATTATTATTAATATTACTATTATTGCCTCGTAGAAAGGCTTCTTCTTGTTGTATATACTGCTTGCTTGCTTGTACACCACCTCTACCTCTGGGAGCTGGCTGACGGAGCTTCAAGATATCCCCTGTCTTCCAAGTACGACACCACCTGCCCAGCCATCTCATTTGGTGTGGGGCAATGGCCACCCTTTCCTTCCAGTTCTATCTCAATCTACACCCCATTAACAAAGATCATTCATCATTAATGAGCTATAGCTAGGGAGTATCTCACTCACCCCACCCACACCAACACAAAGTCTCACACACCTCGCACTTCAGAGGAGGCTCATAAGGATCATCTATTCCTGTAAATCCTGCACACACAACATAACACTACTATATTAATATTCATAATCGTACCACTGCTTAATGTGCAACACAGATCAGATTCCCAACATTTTGTGACAATGCTTGCTCGCTTGCACCAAACCATTATGTGACCTCTGGTATTTCCAAATCCTAACATCATTTTTCCTTTTTCCTTTTTAAGAACACACACCTTTGATCTTCCCTGCTCGTGCAAGCTTGTAAAGTCCTTTGGGATCTCTTCTCTCACACAACTCCAAAGGCATGTTTAGGAAAACCTGAAAGAAGTTAAGTTGGTTACACCTCCCCCCAATCAACCACCCGCCCAGATTTCAATAAATAAATTTCGAAACAAGAAGAGCCTCGCCTCAATGAAATTCTCTGGCAACAATTCACGACAACCATCACGGTCTTTACGATAAGGAGATATCAAGCTAGCAATGCAGATTAACCCAGAATCAGCAAAGAGTTTTGCAACTTCCCCTAGAGAGATGAGAAACAAACTCAATATTGTATTTAAGCAAGCTTTACTTCTGAAATAAACCATAAAAAAGTGATCGGCCCCCAAGAATAACAGTTCCAAATAAACACAACACTTTGTAAAGTCATTCAAGCATTGTGACATCCAGATAACAAGCATGGTTGTTACAGTCAAGAAGATCATCATCATTAATGCTCAGCAATGAAAAATGCAATATATTGCAATATATTTACTCCTGAAGGTAGAAAAACATATGACACTTCGCTCTCATATACTCTATTATTATACTCATTCCTAAATTAATTACCTCCAAGAGACTAGAGGGACCTGGCCTACATCAATGAAGATGAATTGCATGTATTTGCAGATTTGCCACCATAGATTCAAATATTTCAAAGTGTATTTTCTTAAGTAAATATTTTAAAATTTATATGATATATATTGGACAGTAATGAGTAATTATAAAACTCTCAGCTATGTTAAAAAAAGAGAGAATAAAGAGCGTGATAGTCGCAGGCACAAACAGTTTCACGGGTTGATAATTGAGCAGAGAAGGCGAGGAAAATAGAAAAGGATTACTTCAATTTGCTCACCAAACAAAAATGAAACACAAGGGAAATCTATTTCATATGCTTTCTCAAAACCAAGGATCCAATTATGTTTTTCCCTATATTATCAATCAATGTATACTTACCAACCCTTCGAATATTTTCAGCTCGATCTTCTGGTGAAAAACCTAAATTCTTGTTTAGGCCATGCCTTAGGTTGTCTCCATCAAGGACATAAGACAGTTTTCCTCTGGAGTGTAATTGTCTACCCAGTGAACAGGCCAATGTACTCTTCCCTGCAAACATGGATCCAATGTCACTGACAAATGATATTTCACCACCCATTTACAAGGCTCGGGTGTTTGGATTTACAAGGATGCGATATGCTGCTTCTATCCATAAGCCAAAACTGAAAAGAGAAGCTGCAATTATTGTAAATCAATTTATTTTCAAGAGAATGAAGCCTAAAGGTAATGGACAGAGGCATTGCACAAGCAGCATGCATAAAACCACAAATGACAAAGATACATAAAGAAGACCAGCAGCAGCACCATCCTGAATACAGGGGAAATGAATAAATGTAAGAAGGGGGAAAAAGAGCAAATAGTATCAGATATTGACCTGATCCACTCAGACCAGTGATCCATACAATACATCCTTGTTGATTAAGCAGCTTCTGCCGATCTACTTTACTGACAGGATATTCATGCCAGAAAATATTCGATGAATTGCTAACAGTAGACATTAGGAAACAACGCTCTGCTTTGAGTGTCTGTCAAGAGTAGATTGACCTTAGAGACAGAAAGTTCCCATATGGAAATTGAAAGAGTAAATGATTCAGCACAATACGAGATATGAAATCCATGAAATGCGTCTAGAAAAACAAGTGTGAAAGCAAGATCTCACCTTTATGGCACCATATAGATCCTAGGTAAACAATTAAGGAATATTTTCACCAAGCTTGCACAAGTTCTTCAATAGTGAAGGAAATATTTATATAAGAAGTTTTACATTCGAGAAATAACAAGTAATTGATAATCCAATGGATCATCGACAGGAGGAAGCTACATTGCTTTGATACAACGGTAACCGAGGATTGGAGTAAACCGCAAGTACGAAACAAAGATGGACTAACGCGGAAGCAGCGGAATAAAAACAATATACGAAAATAAATAATAACCTGGATATCTACTCAGGTAATCAACACACCACCAAGGTCGCGCAAAAATCCCTGAATCGATCAGCCCAACATATGGGGAATATGAACAATCAAATCCAGGTGGCGCTCTAAATCGTCGTTTTGAGGAATCCTTAGATATCAATGGAGAAAACTGAGGGAGTGAGGAGAAATGAAATTACCTAGGTGAGGTCAGGCAGGGAGGGGAAGAAATGGCATGGCAGAGGACCGATGGTGGGTGCGATGTTAATGCGATAAAGGGAGGGATGAATGTGGACGTACTTTGCGATCGGGGGGGGGGGGGGTTGAGACACCACTACTACTGTCCTGTCCACACGGAAATGGGGAGAAGAAAAAAATTAAAATTAAAATAATTTAAAATAAAAAATTATAAATTATTAAATTTAAAATTTAAAATTTAAAATTATACTTTTTAAAAAAAAAACAAATTATGTAAATCAGAACTAAAAAAAATTAACAAATTATATGTAAAAGAAAAAAGTATTATTTATTTATTATTTTGCTTTTTATTTTTTTATAAAATTAAATTTTAAAAATGTTTCACACATAATAAGTTATATTAATCTCTATTAATAATAAATTGATTTGCATTATACTTTTTATTATTATTATTATTGGCATAAGCTCTATTGGTATTTTTATTTACATTTTAAAATATTTAATATTAAAAGATTCGAATATTTCGATATCATATATATATATATATATGCCCACATAAATATTCAATATATCCATAATATTTTCTACTCTATTTACTTTGTTCAAAAACATATACTTTCTATACTCTTTATATATCTTTGTTTTTCTTTTTTTATTTTGGTTTTTTAAAAAATAATAATAATGAAATAAATGAAATAACAATTATAGAAAGTGTGGCAAAATAACCACTCCGCACTACTTCTCTGTGCAGACGATTAGTCTTATTACCCCCAGTCTGCTCGCCGTCCGACAAAATGAAGTTGTATGGCGAAGAAGCTCTACCCCGGTGTACCGCGAAGAAGTAAGCTTTTTGTCGATTCTTCCTAAAATTTTCCTATTATTCACAACAATATGTTTAACCTGCGTTTGTTTAACCTGCGTTCGATTGCGGTTTAAACTTCAGTCCTAATATAGTATGCCTTAGTTTGTCCTCGAGAACTCTGGTTTACCGAAATTTGTGTTTGGGCATAATTGACGTGTTTACCCTATTTTGAGTTATATATTTCGGAAAAGTTTTACGAGATGATGAGTTCGTTTTGGCAGTGATTTTTATATGTTGGTTGGTTGTTTTATGTATGTTAATCATGTTTTGAGAGTCGAAAGCGTTGTTACAAATTAAATCAGTTGAGAATTAGTTATGGTATTGTTATTTACCAACAACTGCATCTTTTAAACCTAACATGCTACGTAATATTTCTACTGGGGTTATATGTGTCCTTAGATTGTTTTATGAAAGTGCTCCTAGTGAACTTGGTAAACTTCTAAAGCAAATCAAGATAGCCCCGGCTGACTGATAATTTTTCATAAAGTGGGAAAAAAAAAATAAATATCTGATAGAGGTGGGCACTTTGGGTATTTGTAAAAATGCAGCTATTTGATATTTGAACTAAATCGAGCAAATACCCGAAATCGCAAACTGTATTCGAACCGAAATTTTTTAGTTAACCGAAAATATTTGCAAATAATTCGAACCGAACTGAAATTAAAAATATTTATTAAAAAATAATTAAATAAAAATATATGCAAATATCCGATCCAAAATCGAATTGAAACCGAATCGAATATAATTATTAATATAAATTTTAAAATAATAATATAAATATATTCGAATCGAAAAAAAAATCAAAAATTAAAATCGAACCGAATCGAACAAATATCAAATATGCAGTATTTGTATTCGAACCGAATTTGCTCAATTAACCAAAAATTTGGTTCGGTTCAACGGTGTGGCGGTTCGGTTCGATTTGTTTTCCCACCCCTAATCTCTGGTAGCTTGTTTGTTATCCCACACCTCTGTAATGAGGTAGAAAAGCTAAAAAAGAAAATATCAGATTATCATATTAAAGAAATAAAACGGACTCCATTCGGACATTTTTTATTGTCCGAAGATAAGACTCTTGTGGCACCGATTACTTGCATTTGTCTATAATTTTCAACTGGACACCATGGCCTTTACTATTGGTACAGACTTGGAGTCGCCATTTTCTGCCAAGGAACATTTGGTGATCCTAGGACTGCATTCGAAATGAATGTATGTTACGGACAATATCATTGCTCAATGTGAGAGCTTCGTCCGTATTTTGTAGAAATTGAAAGAGGCTTTAGCACAGTGGCTAGAGCCTCTAGCTCTTTCTGACGTTACTGATAACTAAAATTTGTTATTGTAGTTTGTATACAAATTCGCAGGGAATTTTATTCGAAAGTCTATGAGTAGATTTTTATAGGAAAACGATCAGATATAGCAATTGTGTGGTTGTAGACCCTGAATAGTTATCACAATTATTTATACTCTTTTTACTGGTGAGTTTCCAGGTCGAACACAAGGATTTAAAGTCATGAATTTCAATGGCGAAAATCTTGGAGAAAGCGACGAAGGATACAAAAGAGGGTCCGCTTGGAGCGGGCTTGAATTTTTAACCACTGAAAGCGGTAAATAAAGCAATAAAGATGAGGTGAACGGAACGAGCGAAGCGAAAGCGAGAGGTGGAATTCCAATGGTAACCAGATGATCGGGACATAAGCGAAAATGGGGACCAGATGATCGGGGCATGGATGAATCGTGGTTACCAGAGTATCGGGGCGTGAGTGAGCGGCATATTATATATATATATGTATATGAGCGAATTAGAGTGAAGGAGAGGTGCTGTGTCTGATTTGTGCGTTACTAAATGGATAGATTTCCCTTGATGTAGTGAGCGAATGACGTAAGTGTGTTATCGGAGGAATATATGTATATTATGAAAATGATGAGAGAAAGATGTTGTAATTATATAAACTGGATTATAAAGAACTCATCGCATTGGTATTTTTGACCTGGGGGATTTACAGCAAGACTTCAATGACACCCAGAATTAAGACATTATAAGAAAGAAACCCTACTGTCACTAGGAATTTCTGTGACCTAATAGACCCCCGTCTATGTCCCGTTAATTTTCCCAATTTCTGCCTCATTAGTGGCTTTACCCCCTGATGTTACTACTATTTCATCAGAATCGAATTTAGCACAGCAGTTAAGCAGGTCGACAAGGCTCCCGCGTACTTAACTACATTGAACTACCTTGAAACCTCTTTTGGCGCATAACAAGGCTTAAATGATCAATTCTTCTCTCGCTCTATACCAGTGATATAAAATTCTCTAAACTTGATTTATATAAGTATGGAAAATTACGAAAGAATTTAATTCGAAGAAGTGAACGATATTTCTTTATATACTGCGAAAGCGCGAAAAATTAGACTACAAAGCTGTAAATGAAAGCAGTAATCTAATCTAAGAAAGCAATAAAGACGTGGCCATGGGAGAGGGAAAACCCCTACTCCCTTGGCCTTTCATGTGGAGAACTCCCTTACAGGGTTGGAGCTCTTGGAAACAGGAAGACGACGAATGCTATATGTATGCTGAAATCACCAAAGAATTCGATATATTTACATAAAGATATCTGACCCTATTTATAGCAGGTGTGAAAAGGCGGTTGCAAGTAGCTGTTAGGCAGTTCCAACCGCTGGGCAGTTAGGCGGTTGCTGGTGGTTATTTTGTTGAAGCAGTTGCTGACCATAACTCCCAGGGTGCCCGCTTCGCTTGCATTGAAGGTGAAGGGCACAGATCTTCCTCGCTTGCTGGGGCGCAGGAGGGTATCAGCGTAGCTCGGCTCGCTTGTGCTGGCTGGAGTTGGAATGGCTGTACCGCTGCAGTTGAAGTACTTAGTTGAAATCTGGTGATAGTCTGCAGCGGCGGGTATCTGGACTGTAGCTTGCAAGCGGGAGAGGTTATCGCTTGCAGGCTATGAAGGTGGCCGCTTGCCTCTCATGCCTTAGTATTTTCAAAGTGTTTTCTGGGCGCTTGTGAGCGGAGGTGGCTGTCGCTTGCGGCGTCTGCCTTAGCTTTTCAGGTTCCAGATTACCGCTTACGAGGACAAAAATCATTAATAATCTCAACAACGAATTCTGGATCATGCCTAGTGATATAAATCAATATTGTATGCCGATTACGAATTATTTTGATGGTTCTTATGCAGAAATTCGAGTAATACACATTTTTTTCAAGCTAAGAATATGCTCATATTTGGAGTCATCAGTTACCTACTTAGTTATTTTATTTGTTTGTTTCAATTCTTTGCATGTCACCGATTTTCGATGAAGTTGATCAACAAGTTCAAGGCTGGCAAGAAATATCTGACAGGGTGCACAATTGGTTTATTGGTGAACATTCTTATAATGTCTATTGTTTTATACAATTTTTTTTGTATACTGTAGAATATTTAGATTGATATTCTTTATTGATAATATTGTAAATTGAAAGTGTAGTTGCACGAACGCATTCCGTCCATGTAGAGGGACAAGGGCTACCGAAGATTCCGTGTTTGTTTTGTGGCTCAGTACCGTAGGACCTATCTTTAGGGTCGCTTCCACGAGTGAGCTTTCGTCCCTGAAAAGGACTGATATTCAAGATTTTTATCGAATAGGCCCTGACGAGAAGTTTGTCCGACCTATAAGCCATGCTTCGGAGGTAACTTAATGATGTTGTGTATATATTTTTTGTAAAAATGTAAACGATATTTTATGTAGTGTGATGAACAATATGATGCAAGAATTTGTGGACGGGATTAATTCACTAAAAATTGAGATTCGCAAAAAAAAAAAAATAAAATAAAAAAATCCCGTAATAGTCAAGCAAACTCGTAAAATTGAGTGGGACAAATCTAGGGCAAACATGAAGCTGGATGTTTCAAGTGGGGTGAGACAGAGTCCGAGGTTGTAAGGGCAGATGCTACAATGGATGACGAGGAGGAAGAAGATGGCTGGCGAAAGACAATAAGGAGAATTTTTAGGAGGATAAGAATGGGAAGTCGGGAGAGGAGAAGGCGGGGGAGGTGACGAATGAGAAGGAAGACGATGAGATGATTGACGCCGCGGGTGAGGATGAGGTTCACATGGAGCGGCAAAGCAAGAGAAATAAGGACACATTGTCAAGCGGGGAAGAATCCCAACACATAGATGTGTGCCAAGACCAGGACTTCGATCAGCCTGGACTGATTGATGCGAGAGATAAAGGACGGAGAGCTCGAAGGGGGCACTATCGATCAATACAATAAATTGATGGCAACTGTCTCGTATGTCGTTTTAGCGGAGGAGCAGATTTGTAAAGTCACATAGTTAAAATATCTTAAATATGGTTGTAGCTTTGATTTCTAAGTGTAATTTCCCAATTTATATGATTATGTTTTAGATGTTATTGTAGACAAGTCAGAGACCGATAGTGCAATATTAATCGATCGTACGTGGCATGGTTGCACGTACTGACCAGAAGAGGAAAAATGATGTTGTCTTCGTTTCCCCACCATTTGATATGTAGACTTTGCTAATTAAGTCGGATTGGTGTTTAATATGTTTTATATTGGAATTGATGATTGCCTATAACTTATTTGCCTGAAATTGTTACAGTGATTCTCTAACCATGTTATGCTTGATCTTGTCTGTAGTTTTCATTGAGCAAAATTTTTTTAGATATTACAATATATTAGACCGAATGCCCACAAATACTTCCAATAACAACATTTATATCGGCTTATGATTCATGCATATATCTTGATTGTCAGTGTTTGTACCATGAGCATATTGTTTACGTACCTACACCTAAGACATACCTCAGAGCAGTTTTTATGTACCTGTAATATAATTTCATATGCTTCAGTAATGCGTATCTTTGCTCTGATTATTTGTGCTTAGTAAACAAGCCATTCTCGATTCGAAATATTCAATTGCTTTTGGTACGTAGGGGTGAATTCATCAATATTGTGTTTTGTGACAATCTGAACTTTAAGTAAAGAAAAACAATATGTGTTTACTATGGATAGCTAAACAAGTCAGAAATGACTTGGTTAAGTTATGTTGATTGTTACTCATATATCACTGCTCATACAAATTGGTTGTTATTTAGACCTACTATACAATAATCCACACCATAGCATACAAAAAACATTCGATCAACTGGTCTGAGAGAGGAAGTGCTCACACCGAGCTTGCAAATTGGCCCATCTGCATGGGATTGAGTGAAATCAACTGCATTCGAAGATACATGATAACACAATGATATTACCTAAGCAACCATTATTTATACTTCGTATGTCGATTTTTGTACCGGATCACATGCTTACATACCTAAACCATACATCTATATACCTTGGATAAAATCTTACGTGCCTATAATAGCAATCTATATACTTCAGCAACGAGTACATATGCCTTAGTAACCCATGGTTGGGGAACCAACCGTTTTCGGTTGAAATACTCATTTGCTGATGGTAACAAGAGATGAGTTCATCAATGATAGTGTTTCCGCGACACTTTGAATTATATGAAAAAATTAAACAACATATATTTACTATAGATGGTTAAACAAATCATAAATGATTTAGTGAAGTTGTATGACATATGTACAATCATAGTCCAATTTCCATTCAGATGGCTAAATAAGTCGTAAATGACTATGTTAAGATATGTTGGTTGTTATAATACATGATTCCTGCCACAAATTGAAAATCTTTAAATCTATTACAAATTAATCCATATTGCACACAACATTTGGTCAAGAATATACTTGCATAAGGCATGACTCGGCCAAGTAAACGAGTGCTTTAGAGCAGCTCTGACGTACCTGGCCCCAACTTGACTTGGTGTATAAAATTCTACTAGTTATGTACCTACTGTAGTCTTGCATATAACTAAACAACACAATCTTGTAACATGTTTTCTAGTTGTGTACCTTCATAGCTCTAGTTAATTTTTGTTTGAATTAAGCATAAGACCTTGATAGATTCCGAAATAGATTAAGACTTTGTAATCCTCTGCATATGTTTCTAACGTATGTAACACAATGTGAAAATTATTTTCTCCTTTCTATATAATTAATTGTCACAACTCTAATGGAATTTTTAAGTTAGTAATATGCTACCACGCCCGCATGCTTTGATACATCAATTGTACACTCCCCAAAATCGTTTGTGTGCTTGTGATATGCTTCCAGAAACCTATGGCATTAAAGTATTATGCATAAATGAACACCATCACTACCCGTTGCTCGTGTCTGTATAGGTCAATACATTCAATACGTCTCCAATGTATCTTTCGTTTGCTTTAGTGTACCAATTACAATTAATTGTGTTTGAATATAATGGATGCCACATAATATGTTTAAGTATTTTATCCTATTTCGGTTATTACTTATTTATACTGCACTGATATTGTTGGGACAATAATACGCTACCACGCCAACTTACTTTGAGAGAGAGATCAACAAAATACCCCAGATAATTCATGTGCCTCTATTACTTTTTTTGAAACCTATGTTATTGAATTACCATACCCAAATAAATGTCGTCATATACCCATTGTTTATGTTCATGTACCACATAACATCCAAATTACAACAATAGTTTTATACAAGTGGGGTCTTATTGTTGTATATTTACCTACCAGTTTATATAATATTAAGCACGCCAAAATGAATGTCCAAGACAAATAAAAATTACACATTCGAAAGAACTACGGTACCTGATCTTTAAAACTTATTATGTCGTGCCGAGATGACCACAATGACCGCATTTTTGTGACTATTTTATCTTCTAGGAGTCACAACATTGTTTTTTTCAGTAGGCCTAGTTGCACAGATGAAACAAAAGAATTGATGCGGATGACCAAACTTATATATAGCACATCCATGTCATGCATCGGCACCAGATTGATGGGTTTCTCGTAAATTTTTTTTTTGTACATTTCTATACTGCAGTAAGCATCACATAAATCATTTTAAATCAATATATTACTTTTTTTTAATATAAGCACAGGCATGCTTTTAGAGCAATCTGAATATTTGCTACTCCTGGCATAAGCATTTTCGTAGTGCTAAATCGTTTACGTATTTATTGTTGGAATTTGTCCTCTCAAATGCAGCCCTAGAGGATTGGCTTCACTGAAGCCTTCGTGAGAATATATACGATAATGTCAACTTACTTTCTTATTTCGAACATAGCTTCCAATGCATTACCTCTGTTTCTCGTCTGTTCATTCATCATTACTATCACTTGTTTTCGGATAGAATCAGCCATCCCAACAAACAACATTGATCTCGCAAACCTTACCCAGCTATTCCACAGCTTAACTATGTTATTTATTATGCCCCACCGAGTACCTTCGAAGAGCAAGTTCACCCAACATTTGGGTTGTGACTATGAAATGAACTCATTGGCCAATGACATCGCCTTAAGAGCAGAAGTTATGTGCCACTCAAAATCTTTCATTAATGGGACATAATCGACCTTGTTGAAGACAACAATCCATTGGTTTTTATTATGCATTAGGTATTTCTGCATAATCTATAAGTAAAAAAGTTTTTTGGTCGGCCAGTTCATTGATGATGCCTTCGAGAAAGTAACATAAATACGTACATGAGTGAAAAAGTTGTCCACCAAGTGCCGCAAACAATACGCATGATGTGCACCCGGAAAGACGCAATAGATTGACTTTAGTAATCCCGAGTGTCTATCCGAGAAGAAGGTGTACTCTTACCAATCCATGTGTTCCTAACATTCCAAAACCGACTTCAAGTTCCGGAAAAACCAATATCAATTTTCATCGTTTTGCACATGCACCACTGCATATCAGTAAATATGGACATTTTGTTCCGTAAGAGATGACCTGGTGGTGTAGGGGTTGGACTTGTGACCGTGAGGTAATGGGTTCAAACCCCCGACGCCTCAGGTCACCTGCCACACATGGTTCGCCAGTGTGACTTTTCCGTCGAGCCTGATTTGCAGGATATTAGGTTCGCCCGGGGGTTTACCCAGTGCGCAATTTCAGGTAACGGCTGGGGGTTCCCACGTCATAAAAAGAAATATGGACACAATTAACAACATGCATTTAAAATGTACGTACTAGAAAAGACTAAAGTAAACATGTCGATGGCTATAACACTCAGTGGACAACTTTCGTGTTTATTTTTTAAATGTGTCCCATAAAAAATTTAAGGGTTTGCAATCCCTGGAAAGCCCCGGTCTATAAAGCACCTAGGGAAACAAAATTGTATTTTACCCTAAAATTACTCCCCCCGTCAAACTTATCGTGTACACTTTTTTTGTCATGCTTTTCCAAGAAAGAAAATATTTGTTACTAATTGATTATGTTAATCTTAATATAAAATTATAGTTGTTATACGATAATTATTTTTATTAATATATTCTTAATTATTTACTAATTATACATTTTCAAAATTTTGTGTCTACAACAAATGAGACACAATAGCCGGGACAGAGAGAGTAATATATATGATTAAAAAAAATTAAAATATATATTTAAATATTTTAAATACTATATCTCAATAAAATATATATAATATGAATATCATATTGTAGACATAAAATTTTATATAAAACAAATAAATAAAAAATATATTTATTTTATTTATAATTAATATAAAATAATTTTAAAAAATTAAAATGTTTTAAATATAAATAAAAATATTTATTTATTTAAAAAAGAGATAAAATAAAAAAAATTTAAATGAATCTATGTTTGAAATTTTATTAAATTAATTCATATTTATTAAATATATTTAAAATAGTAAAATATACAAAATTATAAAAAATTATCTTATATGAGACAAAATTAAAAAAGAAAATTGGATCATTAATAACGAAATCGAAGATAGTTCATGTTAAAAAAATAAAATAAAATAAATTTTTAATTTTATAAAATTTAATAATATAGGAGTATAATAATTTTAATTATTAATATATATGTTTTTATATAAATAGGGTATGTTTTTGCCCTAATCAACACATCTACCTCCGCCGCCCTAACCAAACGCTTCTTCTTATTATTATTATTATTATTTTTTTCACTTATTATTCCCCATTCTTTCAACTCTTCCTTCTTCCGCACAGGCTCCTAATACTTAAACCAAACCCTAGTAAAGCCCTAGCTGTTCGTTCGACCTCATGAGACCTCCCAGGGGGCGCGGCGGCTTCAGGGGCGGCAGAGATGGCGGCTTCAGAGGTGGCAGAGATGGCGGCTTTAGGGGTGGCAGAGGTGGCGGCCGTTTTCCTCCTCGTGACGAAGGCCCTCCCTCCGAAGTTGTCGGTCTCTCTCTTTCTCCCTTGCTTTGTCTTCTTTCACTGCGATCTTTTCTTTTCTTTTCTTTTTTCTCCTTTGAGTTACCACTAAAACATACGGACTAACTTACCTGTGCAGAGATCTCGAGCTTTCTTCATGCTTGCGAGGGCGATGCAGTGACAAAGCTGACGAACGAGAAGATACCCTACTTCAATGCTCCGATTTACACTCAGAATAAGACTCAGATCGGTAAAGTAGACGAAATTTTTGGTCCCATCAATGAATGCGTGAGTGTATATACCTTCCCTCCACACCTGATTTCGAGTTTCACGTCGCTTCATGGTTTTGTATGAATTAGTCTTTATGGTGATATTGCAGTATTTTTCTATCAAAATGATGGAGGGCATTGTTGCTACCTCATATTCTGCGGGTGACAAATTCTTCATCGACCCAGCTAAGCTTTTGCCACTTGCAAGATTTCTTCCCCAGCCAAAGTACGTTCATTCCTTGCTTGTTCTGCATCCATTAACTCTTTCTATATAACTATAACATGATATCTGCTTTCTATTCTAATTATGTGGAATGTGTTGCAAATTGTAAGATTTAACAGCCATCCATGGTTGACATATAGATGCAGTGTCACTGTGTTAGGGTGGACATTGATGTGGTATGTCCAGGCATTTGCTTCTTCACAATTAGAAGATTTAATGCATTCCACATGCACAATATTGATGCATTTGTTATATGTAGGAAGGAAGCCTAATAAGCTCGAGATTCTTGCTGTCTAGTATTCTATTCCATTCTTTGTTTATCTCTGCCCATCTTTTCCAAGCACTTGTGATGATTGTTTCGCCCCCACCCCCCGCCCCCCCCTTCTCTCCCTCCAATCTGTTTTTTCTTGTTTTTCTCCCGTTCTTTTCTGCTATTTTACTATCTTCTTTCCTTATTTTCCTCCGTTTGTATCTGTGGATCTAAGAGCTATTTTTTACTTCTTCGTCTATCAATAATGATTTACCTTAGGGCCCATTATTTATATGAATGCAGGATGCTGGTTAATGTAGCTAGCTAGCCTTTGTTGTGTGTATGCCACAAGAACTAAATAATGACATTGGTCTGTTGTAAAAGATGTGATCATTTTCAGTGGTAATTCACATGCGTTTATGCTGAATTGATTTGACAGGGGGCAACCGCAAGGTTCTAGAGGGGGGCGTGGAGGTGGAAGAGGAGGGGGTGCAAGAGGTGGTCGTGGTGGTCGTGGAGGTGGCCGTGGAAGAGGTCCTCCAAGGGGTGGTTCAAGAGGTGGTAGTCGTGGTGGTTTCAGGGGCAGAGGAAGATTTTAAAGTATTTGGGTGTGTTTTAAGCATTCTAATGTGAAGAAATTTCAAGTCCTATTTATCTATCAGCGATTAACTATTTAAGCCATTGGTAGTGTCCGTGCGTCTAAAGAATAGTTTTCTGTGGAAAACCCACCCCCCCCCCCCCCCCCTTTGTATGGTTGGCTTGGTCATTTTTCTGATGTGGAAGTGCTGCAGTTTTTGAACTGGAACATGCTAATATTATTTTGTTGTGTTTTGCCAATGGGGTCTGTTCCGCAAGAATCTGGCGAGAAAACAAATGAAAACCTGCCATCTTCAATAATGAAACTGTCGGAAACAAGACTCTGAATCAAAAACCAAACCAGTCAAAGTGAAGCCAAATTTGTAATTTAGAAGGTTGGGTTTTAGTTTGCTATTTTAATATTATGTTTAGGCAATATATACAAGACATAAAGTTGCTATGATATAAATGAAACTAGGGTGACCTAGTGGGTTGGAGTTCTATTTCTCCCATCCACCGCGTGTATATACGGTGAAATATACTCCCGGTTTCAATTGTGACAGTGGTCGATGAAAAGAAACAATAGATGAATGGAAGTGTCGCAAGTTGTTGTGTTAGTGATTGATTGATTAATTGATTGATTGCCTTGTCATTCTAATCTTGATATAGCTCCAACAGGCGGTGCATTCGTGTGGCCAAAAAAAAAAACACATTACAAAGACAGGCAGACACAGAGAAAGACAGAGAGACCTAAAGGGAAAATATAAGAAATGGACACTTGATAATTTAAGGAGGAGCTATAAATCCAAATAAATCACCAATAAATCATAAAGCCAACAAAAACAGCAGCACTGCACTTCCTGTAAGGTATCTACAAAGGGAAATCTCAATCACTACCTATAGGAACAATAATATTACAACCAATGCCAGAGGAACCAAAAACCCCTGTCCCTGTTTCAACAACAATCTTGAAGGGGGCGCGCTCGAGGTCGCAGCAACTATCTGGATGGTGAAATTACAGTTGCCTTGAGATATATTTTGATTTGTTACCACGGCTAGACCTTGAAAATTACAGCTCAGATCCTTTTGATTCTGGGCCTGGAAATACTCATTGAATGCATACGACGCATTGCTGTTGGCATCCAACCCATTGCAGGAGGAGCCATACCCAAGCGGAGTGCAGTCGGCGTATGTGCAGGCAAAATTAATATTTTCTGCGAGTTTGCTTAGGTCCTTGGCATCCGGCCTAAGCATGCACCACTGCTTTGGAAGATATTTCACATTTTCTGCAGCCACCAGATACTTATCCAATTGCTGTCCCGACAAGTCCATGGGGAACTTAGGCTGTCCATCATATCTGAAGATTCCCCAGTGGCGCTCGAAGTTACCTGGAGCTACACTCTTTCCATCCTCATCAAGAAGCCCAAACAAGTAAACTTCTATATAACCAGGGCGAAGAGGGGTTCCTCTATTACTTGCAAGTTTAGGTAAAAGCCCTCTGTAGAACCTCAAGGCGTTATTTATGTTGCCATTCCTGTCCCCATCTGTAGGCCACCCCACCTCCCCCACGAAAATGGGCATGTCACCATAACCAAGTGCTTTCAGGGACGAAACCAAGGTGTCAAAATTGGCATCAAAGACGTTGGTGTACTGCAGTCCGTTGTCCACAATAGGGTTGCTTACCCCATCAAAGAAGGCGTAGTCGAAGGGAAAATGTTCGTTGGCATAGAGACTCAAGAAAGGATATATATTCACCGTAAAGGGGGCCTTGTTTTGGTTTAAGAACTGAACAATCTGTGTCATCTGACCAAGGATATCCGGGCGAAATCTCCCAGCTGATGGGACTGGGTTGCCCTCTGGCGAACCATACACATCTGCATTCAAAGGCACGGTTGCCTTGATGGAGTCGGCATATCCTGCATCATTAAGAGCATTTTGAATGTTCTGAAGCGCTGGGAACGTTGTGTTCACAAAGGAGTTATTATAGGACGTAAGGAATGGTTCGTTGCCTACTGCCACATACCTGCATAAACAAAATCAGTAATGTTATAAATTCTACTGAAACCGCGGCAGATTAAGCTGGAAATTAAATACTATATTATTATACAACTAGACTATATATGAAATGCATATAATACAATTAACTACAAATTCCCTGGAATCTGTACTTAGAGAATTCTTATCTATTGTCAGGCAAAACCAATATTGAAGTTTCCTTTAACAAAGCAATTCCCTGAAAGTTGCCTAGAATGCCATATATGTTTTCTGCAAAGATATGAGATTTTGTGGGCTGACTTTGATCAAAGTAGAAAGTAAAGTTATCACTTGAGAAGAGCTTTATCATGAAAATCTTCAATCTGCATTGTTTCTTAATACATCTTCATTGCATTCATCAGGTACAACAGATACTGAAAGAAATCACTAAGAACACAGGGCAAGGCAACACAAATTATTGTTATCTATCCAGCGGGTTTACACAGCTGCTTGGAAAATTCAATAAGGATTCATGTCAATTGAATCACACAAATTCCAAGAGCGGCATCCTGTACTTTTATTTATACACATCCGAATGTAGAAACGTTTCAAACACAAGCATATAGGAAAAAATAAGGCAGGAAGGCTGGGGTCAGCAGTAGATGGGAAGAAAATCAAGCATTCAACCAATACAAAAACACAAATGCAACCAAAGTAACTAGATGCCGAATAAAGATAGATGGATAGATATCCTTGATTCGATGGAGGAGGTGAGGTAATCTCAGTAAGTTGGGAACAAGTTTATCATCTAAAAAAAAGTCAGATCCAAGAAAGCTAGGGTAGAGAGAAGAGAAATGTGGTACTTGATATTTACGCCGCCGTTGAAATTGTAACGGGTGATGTTACGCCTGACCCAGGACTTGGCTCGATCAAAGTTGCCCATGGCAGAAAGCATGTCATTAGGGATTGCAACCATGACCTCAATATTGGTGCCAGCGAGGGCGCTCATGGTGGAGTCGTCCGCATCGAATAGCTTCACCTTGGTGATTCCGTTGTCTTTGAGCATTTGCACCACCACTTTGGGGGGCAACTTGTGGGCAGCCATGGTACCCCAGTTCACACCAAGGCCCTCGCCTTGATCCAAAACTCCGAAGCCCCAGAGGAATAATAATAGATGGAAGAAGAAAGGACGAAAGCGCGACATTGATATTGACATTGTTTGCGAGAAAAAAAAAAAGAAAAGAAAAGGGATTGGATGGAGATTTTGATATTTTGCTTTAGCGGCGGAAAGGAAATATATTTTGCAAAAAGGGGGCAAAGAAAATGAAAAAGAGAGAGAAAGAAGAAGCAGGAGGCTCTGACTCTGCTCTGGGTAGAAGGTAGAGGCGTTGAAACAAGCAACTCCAAGCAAAGTGGATGGAAGCAGCGGAGATAATGAATCTTGAGGAGAAGATAAAGGGGCAATAGTATTGTATTGTATTGTATATTGGGTTGGGTTGGGTTGGGCTGGGAGAGAGGGAGGAAGGAAAAGAAGGGGCGTGGGTGTGAATCCGGCCGGAAACGATGAATAACAGACAGAGAGGGTGATGGGGATGGAGGAGATGAATGTGTGTGGGGAATGGGGATTGCTTGCCGTTGCCGGAGTGGATTGGATTGGAACGTGCCAGACTTTGTGGGAGGGAGGGAGGGAACTGCCTGCCAGCCAAGCCAAGCCAAGCCAAGCCAAGCCAAATGGTAAGAGTATGCAGCGGCGGCGGACGCGTAAAAAGAGTGCAGATCGGATTAGTGGGGGGAGAGATTCTCGACTCGGATTCGTGGGTGGGTGGGTGCTTATTATTACGTGTGCGTGTCTATTCTATGTTCCATTCCTGATTTATTTATTTATGCTTGATAACCATTCCTCGTAATTATTGATTGTATTTGTGTTAGAAAATGTATTAAGTAATTCAATTCCCCCTGGACGCACGGACGAAACCTCCCGCTCCACTCCCCAGGCGGGGCGGGCCATGCGGCGGCTGTGGCGACCGACCTCAAATACAAGCAGCAGCAGCAGCAGCAAATTAAGGAGGCCAATTGGCCAAGCCAGCCAAGATGAGTTTAAAAACCCTAATTTTGAAATCCGAGTTCATCTGACCGTTGGGTATATTAGATGAGGTCAAGTCCAGGAGAACCAAAACCCACGCGTTACGCGTACACTTCACTACAATAATATTAATACTACTCCTACTATCTATCCACACCCCCACGGCCCACGGGCACTTCCTCCCTCCGATAAACTAGTATTATTATTATTAGAAATAAATAATATCAGGAAACAAGATATGCAAATAATAAAAATATTTACATAATAATAAAAAATATAATAACATATTTAATATTATGTATACTTATTAAAAAAAATGGATATTTTCGAAGCGGAAAAAATATTATATTTTTAGTCGGTTACATTTATCATCGGTTATTATTGTGATATGAGCAAAACAATTAGGTGCTTTTTTTGAAAAAAAAAACAAAATAAATTATTCTATTAAGAAATATAAAAAAGTTGCATCGGTGGGGCAAATCTTACAACCGACCATGCCAGCCCTACCCTACTGACTGTCTTATTATTATTTCAAATGTTCCTGTCTATTCTATTCTATGCTGTGGGGAGATGAGATGAGGAATTCAAATTGGCGCGGCCGTCTCGTCTCGTCAGCAACCGTTGGGTTTGACTTGATTTGTTTGCGACGAAAGGAAAGAGAAAGGGTGGGCCCAGATCCAGATCAGCCCGGCTAAATTTAAATTGGGATATCTGATCGCCAAACCATCCCCAATCATTTGTACTGGTAATTACTAATTTAATTAGTAATTAATCGTGGGAAAGAAAGTTCAAAGGAAGAGCCAGATTCCGTCATCCAACGGCTATTTCTATTTCCAGTTACGACGATTGGAAATCTCATTTTCTTTGGGTGTTTTAAAGTTGAAATTCAATCCTCCATGACACTTCTACTATTCATTTTAATAATCAAACAAATAAATAAAATGCATTCATTGATTTTCCATCACAAAATAATAAAAATACAAGCACCGAGACCAGCAATATATACATATATATATATATATATAGCAACCGTAACATTGGAAGTACAATAGATAAGTATTAATTTTGAGTTTGTACAAACCTAAAAAATAATGAAAAAAAAAAAATATATTTAAGTGCAATGAATACCCACCACAAATATATTTAAGTTCTTGAAGGAATTGTTGATCAATACAACATGTTTGAGAAATTTCAAAGCATAGAAGAGTTTTAGAAAACTTCTCGCCACAATATTATTCAAGAGAGCACTCAGTACATATATATACAATTGAAGGAAAGGAAGGAGAGAGGAAGTTTTTATGCTAACAAACTAAATTCTCTTTAACAAACTAAAGGAAAAAACGGCAAAGAGAAGAAGAATGAGCTGTGAATGGATTGGACATAACAAATAATTATACAACAAAGAACCGAAAAAGTTAAAAAAAGCCTTTATGGATCTACTTCTTCTTCATCTTGATTTTCACACTTGCTCCTGAAGCCATGCGAGATCAAACAAAGCTTGGTGTGCAGAGGTTGAAACACAAAACCAAGAAGAGTTTAGTGAAGATGTCCGCTAATTGAGATTTGGACCTTACGTAATTAAGAGCAATGAAACCTTCCATGTATCACTGTCGAACTTAATGACATGCAATCTCTATATGCTTAGTCATTTCATGGAATACTGGATTAGCAGCAATATGCAGAGCAAACTTATTATCACAATGAAGAGGGATAGACTTTAGTACATGAAGCTTCAAGGCAGTAAACAGATACGAGAGCCAAAGCAATTCACAAGTTGTGGTTGTCATGCTCCTGTATTCAGCCTCAGTGAATGAATTGCTCACTGTGGGTTGCTTCTTGGCTTTCCATGAGATCAGATTAGACCCTAGGAACACGCAATACCCAATTATGGATTTTTTTGAATCTAGGCAAGTTCCTTAATCGGAATCACAGAATGCTTGAAATTGTAGTGTTGAATCAGCCGAGAATTGCAGATGGAGGTTCATAGATCTTTTAAGTATCAAAGAAAGTGTAATCCTGCCTTCCAATGAGCTACAAAAGGTTTATCCATAAACTGACTGAGTTGTTGGGTAGCAAACACTATTTTGGTCTGGAAAAATTCAAGTATAGAAGTCTTCAAATTAGTCTTCTATATCTGGTGGGATCTGAGAGGGAGTTTCCATTCTGAGAGGACAATCTCAACCCAGCAGGCAGTGGAGTAGATGTAGGTCTAGCATCGAGGATCTTGTGGTCTTCTAAAAGATCAAATATATATTTGGATTGAGACAACAACATTCCATCATCATGCTGTTTAATCTCAATGCCCAGAAAGAAACTAACATCCCCAAAATCCTTGATTGTGAAGGCTTCATGCAAGTATTCCTTCACTTCATGGATTAATTTTTCTGATGACCCTGTGAGTAATATATCATCGACATAAACAGTGAGAATGAGAATGTCTCTGTCATGGAATTTCACAAATAAGCAATGATCGTGTGAAGACTGTGTGAATCCAAAGGCGAACACTTTTTCTGTAAATGTCTTATACCATACACGGGGGGGCTTGCTTAAGTCCATACAAGGACTTCTTTAATCTGCAGACCAGACCATTTTGAGCCAAGTACCCAGGTGGTGGCTTAAGGTGTAACTCTTCATCAAAGTAGCTATGCAAGAAGGCATTATTCACATTTGTTTGTTGTATTTTCCATCCTTTTATCACTGCAACAACCAAAATCAATCTAACAGTTACACTTTTAACCACAGGAGCAAAGGATTCGCCAAAGTCTACTCCATGAACTTAGAGATATCATTTTGCCACTAGTCGTGCCTTATATATGTTCATTGAACCATCTATATCCTTCTTTATTCGAAAGATCCATTTGCATCCTATAGCTCTTTTCCCTTATGGCAGATGAGCCAATTCCCAAGTTTTGTTTTCCTCAAGGGCCTTCAACTCTTCTTTCATGGCTGATATCCAGTGAGTATGTTTGATAACTTCAAATTATGAGTAAGGTTCCACTTCACTAGAGTCATTAGACACCAAGCCACATGAGAACACATAATCTTGCATCCAAGTTGGTTTTCTAAGGGCTTTGTGAGGTCTTGGAGTTGGTTCAGTGGGTAAGGATGAATCATGGGTAGTGGTGTGTGATGGAGAGTTAGAAAGAAAAATGGAGGAAGGTTGATGATTAGGTTCTGAATTCAAATTTGGTGACAGAGAGCTTACCTCTAGGCTGACAGGCAGAGTTAAGGAGTTCTCTGCAGTGGCCTGAGAAGAGGAGCCAGCTAGAGCGAGATCCGTGGACTGAGAAAGGGGCAATTGAATGAGCAAGAACCCAAGTACCTGCATAGGGTAAGGAACAACTTACAGAAAGTGATTCAAAGAGTGTTTTCAACTTGTTTTGGGAATAGGTGTTCATAAAACACAACATCTCTAGAAATCAAGAATTTATTTGATTCAACATCTAAAAGCTTGTACCCTTTTGTTCCATCTACATACCTAATAAATATGCATTTTACAACACTTCTTTCAAGTTTAGTTTTTGATAGATTGGAGTTTAATGCAAAGCATAAACATCCAAAGACCCGAAGATGAATTAATGTGGGGTTGGTTTTATAGAGGATGTAGTAAGGAGATTTCCATTCTAGAATAGGTGTGGGAAGAAGATTAATTAGATAGGTGGCAGTGAGCAAGGCTTCCCCAAAATGAGGTAGACAACCCTGAATGAATAAGTAGGCTTCTCATCAGATGTTGATGTTTTCTCTCCACTCTCCCATTCTGCTGGGGATTACAAGGGTAGATTTTCTAGTGAATAATTTCATTTTTTTTGAAGTAATTGATAAAACATGTGGTTGGTGAATTCAGAGCCATTATCAATTTTAACTGTCTTCACATGGGCTTAGAACTGGTTTTGGATCAATTTTAGAAAAACTGCAAAGATGGATTGAGTTTGGGATTTGAGTTTCATGAGATAAGTCCAGGTCGCTCTATTGTGATCATCTAAAATTGTTAAGTAGTATCTACTACCATTGGATGAAATATTATAAGGTCCCCCCACACATCCAAATACAACAATTCAAAACAAGTTGAAGATATAGAAGAACTTTTATTGAATGAGAGTTTATTTTGTTTTGCAAAGTGACAAGTATCACAAGGAAAGTTAGGCAAAGCATTATCACTAAGGTTTGGTAGATGTTCTAACAGCTTTTGAGGGATGTCCTTGTAATGCCCCGATTTCGGAGTGTATAAAATAATATTATTATAACAAATAAATATTTTTATAATATTTTGGGATAAAGAAATTAATATTTTGGAATAAATTTTATTTCTATTTTGTATATTAATTATAATTATAATCACTGTTAAAACAAATAAATATCAATATCAATAAAAATAAATATAAATATAAATATAACTTAAATTAAATTATATTATATAGAATATAATAATAATAAATAGATAGCGTTGATTGAAATGATAATGATGATGGATGATAATGTTAACGATTATAATAATAATAATAATAAGATTAATAATAAGTATAATATAATAATATATATATATATATATATATATAAACAAACTCAAATCTTACGAAGGCAACAGAAGAACTGAAAGCAGAGGAAGAAAGAAAAAAAAAATTTAGTCGTCTGATTTTAAATTCGACTTTGGTATTGTATTTTTTACTATACGTAAAATTTAATAATGAATTTTAATAATTTAGATATTGGGTATATTAAATTAAAAATTCTTCAAAAATTCATAATTGACTATTTGAC